CCTTGGGGCGAGACTGTAGGGGACAGAGGGAGTCCCGATGCTTGAGAGTGGGGTTCAGCGAGTTTGGGCCAAGTTGATGTTGTGGGTGCTGGTTTCGCTCGAGGTGCTATGGCGGTTGCTGGCGTTGCGAGTTTAGCGACGCTGCGAGGGTGCTGGTCACGGCTGCTGGGAGTGCAGGTCAGGGTGCTGTCGTGTGCTGGGATGCTCAACGTGCGATTCAGGTGCCAGTGGTGTTGCGGTTGCTGGTCATGGTGCTTTTTGAGGTGCTCAAGGTGTGGGGCCGTTTTTGGCGTGCTCACGGTATGCGCTGGGCAATGCTTGGGCTAATTTCGGGCTCCAGAAAACCCTTCAAGTGCGCGTTGATGCGGATGGAGCTCCTGTCTTCCCTCCAACGCCAAGGGTGGTGGCCAACTACGTGGAACAGAAATCCCAATTCCTTTGGGCTGAGATTACGCAGCTGGATGTCGTAGGATTTGAGCATTCTTTTGGGAGCAAACATTGACCTCGGATCTTCTTCTGCCCCCGGCGGCTTTTTGAGCGGGGACTGTTTTGATTTGTGCGGGCCGATGCAAACAGAGAAATCGCAGAACTTTGGCGCCAAACGCGGCAGTGAAGGAGCCGGAGTTTGCAGACTTAGACAGTTTGATTCCATTCTTGCGCTGTCCATCCGCAGCGGGCTTCTTCTTTTTGGAGGGTGGTCGGGCGCCGGCAGTGTTGAGGTTGGATCTAAAGGGACGCCGCCGAATCCACGAGGAGTTGGGGGTCGAACTTGCCCCGGTCCCTCGGCGAATGAGTCGTCGAGGCCGGGAGGCGCCAACCTGGAAGAGGGATGTCGTGGGCTCAGCGGGCGGCTTCGCTTTGGGGCTCCGCGGAGTGTGGTAGGCTCCACCTTTCGGTGCCTTGGCTTTCTAGGTTCCCACAACGCTAAGCGGCTCTGTGGCTCCCAAGATAGCCGCTTTGGGTGTAGCTTCCCTGAAGCAACGAGACTTTCCATGGAGCTTGCAAGGCAACTGGAGTTTTCATGACGAATCGCGGGGGATGCTTGGTTTAACTGTCATTTTATGGATCCTGGAAGGCCCCTAGATTCTAGATTTTTCGTGAAGCGTGCATGGGGCGTCCTGAACTTGGGCCCCTGTTTGAACCCTTCGAATGTTCGAACGCCCTTCACTTTTGGCCAGGGATGCCTCTGAAAAAGTCGAAGCAATGCGTGCTTTCTTTGGAGGGTTCCCGTTTTTGCCGGTTCTTAACGGCTTTTCAACTTACCATTCATTTTTTGGGGGGGGGGGGCGTCCTCCCCCCCCCCAAAAGAAAAGGGGACATCCATTTACGCCAACGAGGGGTGCTTGCGCTGTCGCCGCTGAGGTCCTGGCACAGGCACTCACGGCCTTCGGAGGCGAGTTGGTCGTTCGCTTTGGCGGTTCGCGCGCGGTTCGTGGAGAGATGTCGGCAGACGGAATCCATTTCGCACCACGAAGTGCAACCATGGTTGAGACCATAGCGTTAGTTGGTGCCGGGTCAATCATCAGAACCATAACGTTTCGTAGGTGGTGCAGGATTTTTGTGCATCCGCAGTATTGCTTGACCCTCATTTCTTTTCTCCCCATTGTCTGCTCCCAAGCGAAGTGGGCGATGGGGAAATCGGCCCCGATTTTCATCGGGCATAGTGTTCTGATGAGGCACAGGGCAAGAACGCTCTGATGGCCAGCAAGAAACGATGGGTTCTACCTGGTTTCACGTAGAGCAGGTGGCTTTTGGATGTATCCTTTCAGGAACCCTCAACATGGTGCCCCAAAATGGGCTTTGAGAAAGCTTCCCTTTAAGGTACCCCCAAAACCAGTTTTGGCTTCCCCGTTTGATGTAACCCAACAAGGCACCAGGCCTCAACACACCCAAAGCAGTAGGCCGCCGAGGATTTTTTTCGGATTTTGGGGGCCAAGTTTTCCCCCGAATTGCAGGCAGTGCTGCGCTCTAGAGCAAGCGATCCCAAAAGAAAGAGACACATGACAACCTGGGAGACCATGGGCCGATTTTCGATAAAAGGCCATGGCCTTTATGTGGATTTGCCTGGCATTGAGCAATGTACCCCCAAAATGGGTGGTTGTCCTTTTGGTTTTCCTTTCAAACCATCAAAATCGGGGTACCCTCAAGAAGACCCATATGGACGGTTGTCATTCAATAGATCCGAGACAATGGGTAGCTTTTGGTACGGGCCAGACGTCGAATTCCTGGATGCCGAGCAGATGGTGTGCGGTGTCTTGCTCAGACATGGCTCATCACTGATGTTCAACCTAAGGCGACTTACCTGCGGGTCAAAAGTATGTACCAAAATGGGTTGCCCGGGTAAATGGAAGCAACTAAAACCTGTGGTCCAGATCCTGGCGGTTTCATTTTGACCCATACCCATTTTGGGGTAGGTGAATTTGTCTAAAATTTTGCGGGTAGGTGAATTTTGACCCATATCCATTTGTCTAACACCTGCGGTCCCCCTGGTGGCTCAATTTCGACCCATACCCACCTCAGCTACCCAATGGTTTTACATCTGCGCGGGAGATGCATTTCTACCGATAGGTGCGCTGCGATTTAAGCCCGGTGAAACTCAGGTAAGGGGGGTTCCCGGGTTGGGAGGTTTGCGGGGCGCGAATTTCACAAATCGAGCGCGCAATTCAGACAAGCAAACATTTCAACTCAGATAACAGAAATATGATATTCACAAAATGCGCGCAAACTTCAGAAACCGCGGACATGAAACTCAGAAAACAGACAGGGTACCGGGACTGGCGGGATGGTCGGGACCGTCAATATATGGTTGGGATGGTCGGGATGCACGTCAGTGTGGGCCGATCGTGTCGGCTGAATTTCACATCAACGCGGGTTGTGGGAGTTGGGGCGTTTGGGGGAGTGTTTGCGGATCCTTCGTGAGTCTGGAGTTTGTGCCTTCTGCAAGCGCGATTTCTTGCAGTGTAACTGCACTAAGATGCCGCCGCTCAGTTTTCGATGGTGCCAGGTCTTTTGCGCAGCTGACGCTGCCATTAGCCAGAGATATGAGCGACTGCCCTTTACTTACAGCAGCACACAGTAATGCCCTGGCGATACATTTTTTGAGTAACCTACCAAAGTCGGTGCAAAACGACATCCGCAAACGATATCGGGCCATGACGCACAGGTGGTTGAGATGTTGGGCAAGTCTTGATTTTGTAGCGACAGGTGATGACAGGTGCTTGCGTTACTAGGGCCCACAGGCAACCCACTGTCCCCTCATCTCGCGTTCACCATGAACGACCCAGCGCTGGTTTCAGAGCACCCTGCGCAGCCAGTTAGTCACGAGAGTGTGTGCTCGAGTGGGGACAGTCCAGATAGGTGCGGCCGCCCTTTTGATTCTTCACAATTTTGGGAGACCCCTTAAGAGATCCTTGAAATGGCAAGGGTGCTCATGGATTCCATATCATTCTGCCTGGGAGTCTCCTGCTTCAAAGAGCTTCGTCAACTGGTTGCATCTCCTGTTGCAGGTGTCCTTGTGACAGCTTGGGTCTTGTCAGCTTCGCATCCAAAGCTGAAGTTGTGAAACCCGTTGAAGGTTTCTCAAAAGCAATTCGTCCGGGGCAATTTCTTGGTATCCCCCCCCCTTTAAAAAAAAGGCTGCGTTTTTGTTCGGCGGCTTTTTGGTCCCAAACGGGTCCACGGATTTTTGACCCCCAGCGCTTCCGCGGGAAGCGGCCGATCCGGCCGAGCGGGCGCTCGAGGCCTGAGGAAGCTGGGCATGGAGGCCACCAGCCGGGAGGCGGGGAGAAATTCCACAGGGCTCCTTAAAAGATCTCCATGTTGCCACCATGTGAAACATGTTGCTTTTCAACACCATCTGGGTAGACCATTCTAATGCCGGGTTTTGATTGTGAGCGAAAGGGTGAGCCAAAGGTGAGGCAAAGGTGAGCCAAAGGTGAGCCAAAGGTGAGCCAAGAGCCAGCCCAGCTTTCTCTTCAGGGATCCTTCTCTGCCAAAATTATCCAAATTTCTCCCAGACAAATATGGGTGGTTTCCCAAGAGAGCCATGGGGAATCCACCTCTCTAGCTTCACTTTCCGGGGAGAAGAGGTGCTGTCTGCAGCGCGACCGGAGGCTTGTGAGATGATGAAAGACTTCGACCAGGCGGGGGCGACGCCGCATGATGTGGATCCCCCAAAATGTGGGGCACATTCGAAGAGGGGCCTCGGGAAGAGGATCCCCAAAGGTTGGGGAGAAGCCGTGGGGTTGGTTAACTTAGGCACGTCCATTTGTGAGCACTTTTGGAAGAGAAGGGCCTGGGGTTTTCATGAAGGGAAAGCCATAGGCGTTTTCGAAGGTTCTAAGGGGTTTCGACCATGGGTCTGGTTGGAACGACCCCCAGCCCAGGACGAAGATGGTCTCCTCAGCAGAGATGAGCTGTTGGAGATGCTCGGCTGTGTATAGTCTCGACGGCTATCTGCAAGCCGCGCCTGGAGAATGTGAGGCATTGACTCAGTTGGCTGGCTACATGAACTGGAACAATTCTTTATTCCTGGTTCATGTGACAAGCAGTAGGTCGGGTAACTTTTTGTGGTTTTCGGCGGGCGCGGGAAATTCGCGAGGTGCAAGACTCCATCGGCGGCTCTTCTTGCACGCGTTTGCTCGGGACACCATGTCATGGTGCCAGGCGATGTGTGCTTTGCGCGGCCCAATTCGATGCAAGGTGCCTCTCGAGGATTCTGCCCCGAATCGAGCGCATCCAAAAATCTTGCCGAGACTTCTGCCTGTCAGCGGCTTCTTGTGGGACAACCGTTTGGATTCGTTTTTTGTGGATTTCGCCTGTTCTTCCCCCTGTTGGTCAGTTTTAGGACTCTTTTAGTTCGCGACACTCCAACACGTTTTCTAGCGGACCATCTGCGTGACGGTGACTTGCGTCACTCGAGTTGAGTGCCTCCCTTTGCCGCAGCCACGTCAGAGGTTTTTGTAGGCGCTTTCCTTCGCGGCAATGCCCGGGGCCCACGGATGTCGGGGTGTCGGGGGAGTTTTCGGGGGAGCTTTCCTCAGCTAACCTGGCTGTGGGTCAAGCATAGGGAAGCCCTAAAATGGGTTGCCCTGGTTTTCATGGCAACATGGACTAAAACCTGCGGTCCAAGTCCTGGTGGTTTAATTTTCGACCCGTGGCCCATACGGGGTCCCTTTGCTCGATGCCCTCATGTAAGTACTGGCAGCTGAACTCTGCAAGAGCAGTTCCCCTAACGACTTCTTGTTTTTAGTTTTTTTTTTTTGCCAGGTGTCGGTTTTGCAAGTGGTGCTCAGAGAGACATCTGGTGCTGCACATGATGTTTGTATAGTTGCTCTACCTGCCGAATTTGAGGGTCATTTGAAATCATGCCATGTGGAGACTTTCGAGCGGAGCGCAAACTCACTGTTCAGAAATAATCGTTTGCAGGAAAACGCCCGCTGGACAGCCCAAATGGCAACAGCTTTGCGGGATGTATCCTTTATGGCAACCAATTTATGCGAGACTTGGGGCAGCGAGCCCTAAATATTTCCACCAAAAATATAGGACGGTAATTGGTGGTATGGTTTGGTGGTTTGGGCGTTAGCCTTCCCCATTTGGTTTCAAAACGAGGCGTTCAAATCCCAACCACCAATCCAAGCTACCAGTAGGCCTGACTTTGGCTCCAGTCTCACGGCCAGGAGGCAAGTGACACGGAGCGCCCTCCCATTGTTTCTAGTTGCCTGTTGCCTCATCTTAGCAAGATAAAGCTCTCCTTTCGGGGAACTCACACTCTCTGTTTGGCTTTTCCAGGATATGTAGATGCATCCACTTAGCTGGGTAACTGGTCAACTGGTCTAAGTCCCCTTTCCATGGCTACCTACTTCCCTACATCAGAGTGGCCCATTGGATGATCCACGTGGCTTACAGCCGGGCTCCGTGGATCCCGAGGCGGTCCTCTGCGCTGATGCGCGGCGCTGCGCTGCTGTGCCTGGCGTGGCCTCTGAGCTTCGTGGCACCCAACCTGACGCGCGCGACGGCGCCGGCGGGGACGGGGAGGGAAGCCATGGGTTGGTCTCATGGTACGCACCCAGAAATTGGGTGGCTTTCCCTTTGGTTTCCCTTTGAACCAACCCAAAAAGTGGTACCACCAAAAAGAGATTTGCACCCATATGCACTTCGTCGCCCTTCTTTAGGTCCTACCCTTTCTTGAGCTGCTGGAAAGGGAAACCCGGGCTTTTTTTTGTTGCGAAACCACAAAGGACCTAAGGACGAGTCAATTCGGGCAAACAAAAGTTGGTCGTAACATAGACCGAAGTGTCCATGGGGGGCGTGGAGGGGTTTCGGCGGTTCAGTTGTGAGAAAGGAGTCGGATGTGGTTTTCTTGGAGTTGGGAAGCCTTCCTTTTTGCGCTGGGGATTGGAAAAAGAACGCCTAGAGATCTTGGAGGACATCAACCAGAACCTTTGGACTCATAGCAATGGTGCATGGACCCGACTGGGTGGGTGGGACTGCGACCCGAACACGTGCCGCGTATCAAAAGCTCCACCTGGTCCAAGGCGAATCAACCGGATCTGACCTTTTGGTTCTTCCTATGGAATAATTTTTCAGTCATGGGGCCCCAAAATGGGGTTCAGCGTTCATTCCCAGATCCTCTGATCAAGTAAGAAAGGCGGACCCCCCCCGACCATAGGTGTCCTTTTGGTTGTTTTGCTCTAAAAATAGATGGCGATTCCTGGTTTACCTGGTGGTGCAAGATCATCTACAGGGAAATCCATCTATTTCCCCTAAAAGGACACCGATGCCCACGACATTTGGAGGAGCTAGCGGTGAATGACATCCGGTCAGGCCCCAGCGGCGCGAGTCGCGGCCGCCCAGCCTCTCCGCGGGGCCAGCGAGGCGAAGGGGGGGGTGGTGCGTGCCCGTTGCGGCCGCGTAATTTGTGGCGCACCTTTCTAGGGGTACCTTCCATTTCCATTCTCAACCCAGGGATCCTTGTTTTCCAGAAACCGCATGCACTGCCTCCGCACACGGTAGTGGCGATGCGCTCGATTGCCGCAAGGGATCCTTGCCCATGTGTGAGTGAGCAGATGGGAGTTTCTCAGTTGGTATACAGCCATTGAGGGGACCCCTTTTTTGAGAACCTCCTGGTGTTTTGCAGTGCTTCGAGCCTAATCGAAGAGCTCACACCCCCTCTCGGCTGGCCAACTGATGCGGCAGAGGTGTTGCTCTGGTAAGCCTCAGCAGGCTTTCGCCATGGAGATCAGAGCTCAGATTCTCAAGAAATGACTCCAGTCTGATGTTTCCCCGGATCAGGGTCAACAACAAAAACTTGGCCTTTATGAGGGCTTTGAGCGTGAGCCAGACTCTGAATGTGCCTGTCTCAAAACGGCCACGGGTCCCAAAAAAGCTGGTTTCCTTGTGGTTTCCCCTCAGAACACCCCCCCCCCCAAACAAAGACCTCCCAAAGAATCGTTTAAAACACTCCCCCCACAAAGCACCAGAACAACGAAACAGAGCACCAACTCCAAGAATGGTCGACCCACTCACTTAAGATTGTGCCCCCCCCCCCCCCCGAAAAAAAAGAAAGAAAGAAGATCAACAAATGAAAAACGAACCAAACATGCAACACTAGACATAAATCAATCAATGCTGCTACACTCTTGGCCCTTGGCCCCAAGGAGTCCAATCAGCCGCGTAGGCCTCCGCGCCTTCGGCGGCGATCGCGCCTGCGGCCTTCTCGGGCGCCACGCTGCTGCCGGCGGCGCTCTTCACGGCGAGGTCCATGGTCAGCGCCCCTCGGAGACGGGCGGTTTTTTCCCCCGTGTTTCCGTTGCGTTTCATCCGGGTGGGTGGTGTAAGTTAGATTTGTTTTTCCTTTGAAAACAAGGGGGCGATGGGAGGGCGACCTGTGGCAATGGGACTTGGCCATAGGTGTTTGGATGTTTGGATGTTTGGATGGTTGGTGTATGCATGTTTGGCGTTCCAGAAACCCCTATGGCCATCCTTTTTAGGTTTGGTTAAAAATGGATGGGTTCCACTGGAAGTTCCACTGGTTTAGATAGGGGTTATTCCAGTTATTCCATCCAGGGCCATCTATTTCTCCTAAAGGCCACCTATGCCTGCGGCCCTCAACCAAGAAGCGTGAAGCAAAAGAAACTCTTCCATCTTTCTGACATGGATGTGTTTTGCATTTTCATTTTTTGCCAAAAAGGACCATGGGCAACTGAACCCGATTCGGTGAAAGTCATCTTTTTGTGGGGCGTCCCTGATGGTCATCCCATGTAAAGGACCTTTTGATCATCCCCCATTTGTGTATCATGAAATGTCCGAAACCACCACGCGACTTCCTTTTTGCAGGAAACCGCGCCAAGCTGATAGGTGACCATTTTGAGTAATGGAGAGTTCGGGAAGCCGCTGAAGAGCGAACATGCGTGAAGACTTCAACATCAGAAGGCCGTTCACGAGCCTTGACCCACGAAAATTGGATTCGCTTCATCAGAGACTGTGGCCCGTGCTCGATGAATCAAAATGGTCATTGCGGTTCGGAGCGCTGGTGTCCTTGGTCCATGCAAACATACCGGATGCTTTTTGAATTTGTACGCCGGTGACCCCATATTCTCGTGGTATCTAGTAGGGATTCGGCCCCTGGTGACTGCTTGTGGCTGGTGTGACCTCCAATGTAGACATAGCAGAGCCTTCTTTCTTTTGCCTGTTTTGGCCCCTTTGAATTTGTACCCCGGTGATCGCCCATCCCTTTATTTAACAATGTACATTTAATAATCTAATATTTTGAACATTTTTTTTTTTTTTTTTTTTTTAAAGGATACACCAATAATATTAAACTAAAAACTATATGTATAATGAAACATACAACCTTATTTTTTCTAAACGAGAAACGTATTAGTTTAAATTTGAATTTGCACCCTGGTGACCTCCAACTTTTTGTGGTGCTCAGGGCTTGTTACCCGTTGACCCCCCCGCCTACAATGCAGACATAACAGATGCTTATTTCCCTGCCTGCAGTTGGCATGTTGAATTTGTACCCTGGTGACCCTCCATTCTTGTATTCAACAGGCATTTTGTTGGACGTAGAAGGTGCGACTAAATGAAAACGTGGGGTCAAATTTGCCATCTACTTGCGCCCAAAGGCAATGATCGGTCAGATCCTGTCATCGCTTAGACCTGAGCGAGCATTGAGCGCTGAGGTCCTGAACGTGGTGCGGCACGCCAAAGCCCCCGTGAGCGAGTTCGGCGCACCATCGGGAGTTCGGAACTTCCAGGCGTCGGGGGATGGGCTCTAGCTTGACTTGGTGTGCCGAGCTTTTTTGCTTGAGGTACCGCCTCAGAAAACCTGGCTCGAGCCACTTGGGAAGTCACGAAAAATCGAAAACCGGCGGTTCATGACTTCCATCAGCTGGATCTTAGTGTACTTCTCGAGCGCTGTTGCGCTTTGCTTTGAGTGCTTTATTGAGAGAGATGCCTGTAGATGCACAGCGTGAGAGCATGGCATGGCAGCAAAAGGGGCTGAGTTGCTTCGATCTGCAAGGAGATGGCATTGGGCTTCACTTCCGACATTGCCAAGAACAACCTGGGCGAGTCCTTCTACAGGCAAGGGGCGCAGCACTGCAAACTGCGGTTTCCTTTAATAAGAGCACTAGCTTAGAGAGTCAGACCCGACAGGGTGTCGTTTTTTGGAGTTGGCACCCCTTTGTGTGGTTTTTCAAGGGAACCCAACAGGAACACCACCCAACCGGGGCGCAGCACTGCAGACTGCGGTTTCCTTTAGGCAGAAGAGCGCTAGCTCAGAGAGTCAGACCCGAGAGGGTGTTTTTTTTGGAGCTGGCACCCCTTTGTGTGGGTTTTAAAACGGTAGCCCAACGCGAACACCACGCAAAATGGGTGGGTTTGCAGGCACTTGCAGCTTGAGTCTGAGGCCGTGGGTGCCATTCATTTCCACCATCTTCCTCTTCATCTTCGTGAGCAACTGGTCCGGCGCGCTGATCCCTTGGAAGATGTTTGAGATCCCGGCAGGCAGGCGCATGGAAGACATGATCAACACAGGAAAGGATGTAAGGAGAAACAATGCATAGAGCTTAGCATTGCATGGAAGCCCTTGAAATTCTATGGCAGGTTGCTTTTGTTTGTCACACGCGCCTTGGAAAGCCACAAACATATTAAGCACAATTCTGCAACGGCAGCTATTGAGACTGCGATGCTGACTATGAGAGCAAGAGTGAGACAAGGTTCGGCAGGCCCGCAACTTGGGCCGAAGAGCCTTGATCAAAGCCCCCAATCCTGGCAGCGCTTTGGACATGGCCCATGATTTTGGAAATTCATGGCCGGCCATGTTCAGAGTTCCTAGCAAGCGTGAAGAGCCGGAGACTACCCTCTCATAGTATATTGTTTGTTTCATGCACGCCTAATATATATATATATATATGTATATATATATACACATTATATATATATATATATATCTACATTTATATAAGATTAAACACGTCATATGGTAGCCCCCCCTGAGAAAAACACCCAAGGCAACCCAGAACTCAATTGTATTTGCAGTACTGTGAGACTTGTTGGCCTTTGCGAAGCAGGCGCCTTGCAGCTTCCGTCAGAGTCCATAACTTCAAAACTGAACACACTGAAACAACTGAACCCCAGCTCAATTATGCAGTGAGACGGCAGGGGGGGGGCAAGCGCACATATAGACATTTCTACATGCTGGTGTTGCGTTGTTCTCCAGCTGGTTGTACTTCGGTTTGTCAGCAAGGTGTAAGCCGGTTGATGTTTGGCCCATTGTGTGTGTGTCTTCTGTGGTATTTAAAATGCTGTGCGTGGCTCGATGCGTACTCTCTTCCAGTATTAACCTTCTCTGTACCAGTACTCTCCTCCGTGATGCACTTCTGATAGATGGTGCCTGCTTTGGTTTGAATTATTAAATCACATGTGGTGCAACCTTCTGTAATGCGCTCTTCGGTTGGGTCTTTGTCGCCGGTTGTTGTTGCCGGTCAATTGTACTGATTGCCTGTTCCTCCTTTGCGATTGTTGTAGCAGTTGTTGTTCGTGTAGCCGCCATGGCCTTTGCCTTTGTGGGGGTTTCCTTTGCCCTTGCGCTTGCCTTTCTTGCCTTTGTCTTTGTTGTACCATGTTGCGCCTGTGTCCATTGGTGCTGGTCCTTGGTTGTTGCTGCTGCCTGATGCGAGTGCTTGCAACTTGTTCAATGATGCGGCTGCTGTGTGGTACTCGATTACCAGCAATCTGATCTGCACGTATGTTGTGATGTTCCTGCTTGTAGTTGTAAATGTTGCTGTACTTCTCCTTTTGTCTCATTGAGCAGTATAGCTGTTTTAACAGGAGGGTGTCGTTGTCCGGTTTGTATTTGGCGAGTTGGAGTTCCCACGTTGTAAAGCTCTCCTTCAACTTCTGTTCGTCGAGCTGTGGCTTGAGTAACCTTGTCAGGTACCTAATGCTTCTTGTACCAAGCGGGATGGAGTGATGGAGTATTTTCGGTGTAGTAGTCACCATGTCTGCAAATCTTTAATGCTGGTCCAGCGCATGTGCTCACCAAGATGTAGTGTAAGTTGTTGCTCAGTTGTATGCATTGTTCTGCTACCGCTTGTGAAGGTGCTGCTGTTTCCAGTTAATCATTGTAACTTGTAGTTGTGATTGCTTTCACTGTCTCAGCAGCCTGTCGCATCGTCTTGTAGTTCCATTCTTGAAACGCGGTGTTCTCTCCTGTGAATTGTGGTGGTGCTATCTTGTGCTTGTACATTCCTTCCAACTGTTGCTGCTGTTGCTACTGTTGTTGTATCCATGCCATGCAACCTGCCTGCACACCTGCTGCATATACGTATACATCCGCCCACCCCACCCGGGCCGGCGTCTCGCAGTCGGCCCCTCGATCGCCCCTCGCCCCTCGATCGCCCGGGTCCTTGGAGCTGACCAGGCGAGCTGGCGGCCCCGACGAACAACATCAACACCACGGTGGCGCTGTCGCTGCGCCCGGCTCAGCTCCGTCGGACTCGAAGACTTCGAGCCGCGGAGAAGCGGATTCGGGGGGCTCGGTGGTTTGGGGGGAGGTGCGCCCCAAGAAGTCAAAGGGCACCAGGGGTTTTTAGGGAGCCCCGGGTTTGAGGTGCTGTTTGATTCCTGGGGTTGCAACAAATCCGCACCTGAAGAAAAGGCGGCCTAATCATTGTGATTCCCAATGGTTTTGGGCAGGGGGGTGAGTTGTGACTCGCTTGAGGTGTTTGAAAGGATCGCAGACGGAAGAGAAAACCAGGAAAATAGAGGGGACATCTATTGGGAATATGTCTACTCAGGGTCATCTATTTCGACCTACCTTCTTGAGGCTCACCTCTTTGGCCTACTTTGGTGGTGGCCTTGCCAAGAAGGGCCTCGGCTACTTCGCCCGCTACGAGCCTTGGCAAGGTTTCAGGCAATGAAGCCCTGGATTTGCCAACGAAAATTCGGTGCTCGTATCTTGCTGTCCCACAGGTGGTGTCCCTTTGACCGATCCCTGCAGCCAAAAGGGCAGCTGTTCCGGTTTTTATGGAGCCCCATAGTTGAGACATTGCTACCCGGGGTTGTCGGATCAAGGGGTTTATCCCCACTTCTATGATACAAGGGAATCTCCCTTTTTTTAATGGGGGGTTAGTCTTTGGGAAGCCCTTTCTGTTGTATCACAGAAGTCATTCCCCGCAGCCATGATTGCCTAGCCTGGTCGAGAGCGCGAATGAAGGTGAAGCCAACGCCCATCTTGCTGCCGATCAACATCCTGGAGGACTTTACTAAGCCGCAGCTGGCTCAGCCTTGGAAAAAGTCACAGGGAAAAACATATGTTTGGGTAATGTTCTTCCATTTGCTGAAATGAACATGCTGTATTTGCCCCCCCCCTGTTGGTTTTTAAAGAGAATCTATCGAATCTTAAGGACACATTTTCCTTCATTTTGCCTGGTTCGAACAAGCACCTGGAGGTTTTGAGTCGGTTTCCCGGAGCTCAATTTTGTTCTTTTTTTGGAGGGGCCCCTTCCAAATCAACCACCAGCGGGGGTCTCTTGTCCTTTTCTCGTGTTTTGTTTTCCCCAGGGCCACTGGTCTGGGGAGGTTTCTTTTTGTGCTGGATTTGAGGGTTCGGTTTTTTGTGGATGTGACTTGCAGTTTCGTTCGCTTTTTTTTTTTGCTCGTGAGGCTCGGGTTTTGAGGGGGTTAAGCCTGAATTGGTGACTCGTGGCTTGATCTTCGTTTTTTTTCTTCTTTCCAATTCCCTTGATGGTAAAGTGAAACCATCCAAATGCCTCGAAACCAATCCAAATCACAAAAATCAGACTATCACAAATCAGACGAGTCGGTGAACGTAGATGGCAGAACTTCCTTTATTGTTTGGGCAAGTAACTGGGACCAATCCAGGGTACCCTCAAAAACACACCCATTTGGACCACCGAGATATTGATCTCCTCAAAGCATTTGTTTGTCCACCCATCCGCGCCCATCCCCATTCCGACGGAAAAGTAAGAAGAGCAAGAGCGCGTCTTCATGCAGAGAGCTTCCTTTATTGTTTGGGCAAGTAACGTGGATGACACAACAGGGCTCCTTAAAAGCCGTAAAATATTCCTTTTGCAACCATTTGAAACATGTTGCTTTTTCCACACCAAAATAAAGTTGGAAGCCACCATTTACGTTAGGCAATGTTCAGGTGTATTTCATGCATCCGGATCCCTGCACAACGGGGGGGGAGATGGAGACGATGGAGACGGAGTTTTCTGTGCAGAGGCTCTCTCTGAGCTTCCGGCTGTTCGGCAACGTGGTGGCGGACGAGCTCACGGTGGGCGTCTCTTGGCCTCACGGTGGGGGCGCGATTTTTTCTTTCAAAATGAGAAATGGGTGGTCAAGATTAAACCAACAGGATATGGACGGCAGATTTTAGTCATTTTTTCTCCAAGCCATTTTGGGTCACCCAACGGCAAGCTCAGGACCTGTTCTGTATGTTTGAGGGTGCTCATTTCACCTTGGTCTTAAATGGTTTGCCGTTTGGCTGTGGTTGTCAAAACCGTTTTGGGATCCCATTTTGGTGGGTTGGTGAATTCACCACCCATCTTACATCTTAGAACCAATCTTAGTGGGCATTGGGATGTTCACTGGGGGTACGGGATTTGGACCCATGGCCAAATGAGTCACCCAACGGCCAGGGTTTTCTTTATCCCTTAAATACCAAAAGAGGGCTTTCCACCAGCAACTCCAGAATCAGAGGATGGAATGATTCCCCAAGCGGGATCCGATTCCGATCTTTCGGAAGCACAGCAGGATCCCTAGAAAGATTGGGAAGCACAACTGGGAGTAACGAACGGGCGTTTTCCCCATTGGCTTACCCCTGAAACATTCCCACAAAGGTGCCCTCAGAAAGAAGAAGAGACACCCCCACATGCGAGACGCAGAGGAGAGCCACCCACAATCTTACTGTTGATTTCCTCCAATTGGTGGTTTGGTGGTTTGGAGGTTACACGAACCAGAGATTGAAGTCCCCAGTAGTCCAAGCCATCAACTGGGGGTTGTTTGTTGGATGGACTTTCCAGCGACCCCCGCGCCATTTCACGGGAAGGACTACCTGTGGTTCCACCAACCTGTTTGAATTGGAACAGATTTGGAGGTTTTTTTTTTTTGAACTGGGTACATTTGACATAGACTTTGGGATCTCTTACATCCATCGAACCTGCAGAATTGTCCGCCAGAAGTCAACGCTCTAGTTACCCTAGTTGCCTTCCATTTGCTGAAATGACGGATGACTACACATCTTTTGTTTGCCTTTTGGTTTGAAAGGGAGCCAAAAATCAGGCCGTCCTTTCTTGGTGGCTGATGATAAAGGGGCCCCTCCAAAAAGAAGAAGTCGAACCAACTTGGGCAGTGGAGGTCCGAGAAACCGACTCAAAACCTCCAGCCGGAAAAGGTGCGAACATATGTCCACGAGTGATGGATTCTCACCAAGAAAGGGCAGGCACCAGCGGGGGTCTTCTTTTTTCTTCTTCTCCGTTTTTTACCACGGGTCTGGGGAGGTTTCAATCTTTTTTTCTGGATTTGGGAGGTTTCACATCAACCACCCAGCGGGGGGGGGGGCGTTGGATTCTCCTTGGATTCACCGCGAGGTGCTGTGCTTCTTGGTGCCCTTTGTCATCCCCCTGCCGATCATGGGCCTGGGCCTCTTCGCAGGCGGGGATCAACCACTGGGAATTGGATGATCGTTTCCCCGGGGAAGCCCTAAAGTACACCAAAAAAACAAACAAACACAGCAAAAACACCGAAGAAAAACCAAAAACACAACAACAACAAAAAACAAACCAAAAAAGCAAACACAAGCACACGCCACAAACGCGAAGGCAAACACAAGCACACAAGCACCGAAACACACAAATCGCAAAGCACAAAGCACAACAAACAAACACAACCAACACAAATACGCAAGCACACAAACACAGACACACAGACACACATACACAAATGCACAAAAAGACAACACACACACACAAGCACAAACTCAAACGCAAGCGCAGATGCAAAAGCAATTCCAATCACAAACACAAACGTGAACACGCACTTGGAAAGGGCACCCAAAAAATAACAGCGATGATGAAGGTCTACTTTGAGCGTGCGCTTTCTTCATGTGCTCCAAGCTACCCATGATACGACGGTTCGGGTTGGTGGGTATTTGAACTTCTGGCTCTTGTGGAGGATGGGAATGTGAGCCCCGACCTCCGAATCACCAATCCAAATCACCATTGTGAGGTGAATATTTCTATTTGCGCCATCTTCTTGGCTCTCCTGAGGTAAAAAATGGCCAAGCCCCTTACTTGCTTGGCCAAACCTTTCAGGTTTTGGGATTCTAAAGCTTGCAGATCCATGCTCTCATGACCCGTGGATTCTCCTTGTATACCTACCCCCTTTGTGGGTTGCCTCAACACCAAATCATTTGCGCTGTCAGGCTCCATCCAGGCACTTATCTTCTCCACTTTGGCCGCAGCCTACATCCACGAAGCCCTGGAGTGAGCCGACCACCCGCGCTTTTCCGAAAAAGGAGTGGTAGATAAAGCCTCAAGCGCGCCGCAGGGATCGAATGGAGCTTTCTACCAGAAGAAAATATGGGTGGTTTTCTCCAGAGCCAGGAACATGTCAGAGAGAGGATGACGAGTTGTTGCTCGAAAAGCGGAGCGCTTTCTGAGACGCCCAGCGGGCGAAAGGAGACGTGGGGGCGAAATCCCTCGATCAGGTTTTGCGGGTGGTGCGCGCAGGGTTGGCGCATTTTTTTTGGCGCAGAGCAGAGCTTGGTACATGTGCCTGCGTCCGACGGCCGCTGGATCTGAAGGGTAGAGGTTGTTTCTTTTTGTCCTGCCAACGACCTGCCTGTGAAGATGCCAGAAGCCCAGGAAGCAAGTTTGGGCTGGGGGGTTCCCAAAGACACTCAGCGGTGTCCCATCCATGTACGCGGCAGTGGCCCCAAATTTGCTTCCCCATGCGGCTGAGCTTCGAGGGATGGTAAAGACCTACGAAGATCGAGCTTCCAAGTAGAGTTCTTCAACACTCTCTTTTTGGGGTGCGGAATTTTGTCTACCTTGCCATCATGTAGGTCCTCTACACGGGGAATTCAAGTCTTGCTTGGGTTCTGGGATTATAGCAGCAAATGTAGGTGAACGGCGAATCCGCGGGAATTCCAAAGCATCCAGAGTACCCTCAATCAGGATTTTCCACCCCGAGGTTTCTGTGCTTTCCCTTCAAATCTTGCCAACCCCAAGCCAACCGACCACCCCATCACCCAGCAAGCAAGCCCCCCAACCAAGCCAACAACCCACCCACCTCTTCAGCGCGCACATCGACGACAGCCCCCCGACCTGCTGGTTCGATCGGCAGGGAATGAGAAATGGAATGCCCCATAGAAATCCCCAAAACGGTTCATTCCCTGGGGTCATTCCGACCTGACCAACCCAACTTGCTGGTGCGTGGCTAGAGGACCAGGTTCATTCCCTACCTAGGTCCTCTAGTAGTGCCCTTTCTCTCCCCTTTTTTGGTTGGGAGGGTTCCCCTACTAAAATAGACTGCAGAACAAATTGGGCACCCTCATTCCAACCTCTCAAATCTGGAGGACCTAGACAATACGGGCATACAGAATTAGAATATGGTCGGGTTGCTATCTACTGGAGGACCTAGCTACCTAACGCACCCAGCAAACCAAACCCCTAGGGTGGGTAAGCCAACGCACAGTTTCACCAATCTATCTGCTGAGACCAACGCCAAGCCGAGCCAAGCACCGAAGCCGCAGCCGCCGAACCCCGAGGCTGCGGTCCCGCTCGGCGCTGCTGTCCTTGGCCGCGCTGGCGGCGGGCCTCGCGGCCTGCCGCGCCTTCGTGGCGCCCCGCGGCGCGGCGGCGCAGGAGCCGCTGGGGGGAGGGGGAGGCGGCTGGGGGGAGGCGGGCGGGGGGGGGGGAAGGAGGTGAGGTAGGGGTGTCCCTCCGTGTTTCTGGAAGAAAAGGAGGGGGAAAATTATGAAACAACTGGTTGGGCCTAGGCAAAATTCTGGCGGAGTCTTTGAACGTATGGTCCTCTATTGCGTGAGACCTCAAGAGTTTTATGAACCTAGGACCGCCTTTGGCAGCTTGGACAACTAGTTGTTGGTGAGAAACACAGGGGGCATGCGGTGAGATTGACTCACCGAACGCACTCTGTGATTCCCAGGCCTCAAAGTCGTTGGCCCCAAGATCCAGCGAACTCAGGAGGGACGAACGTGAGTTTTCCGAGTTGCATGTGTTCAGACTCACGGGAGCCAAGCTTGCCCTTATTGTGAGCCTGTGCTTTGGCGCAAGAGCCGATGGGTGACAAAGAAACATACTTTGCCAGGAACCCCCCCAATGGCAACACAAATGGCTTGCTTTGCCTGCCTGGCTATCTTGGCTGGATTTCTGGCCTGTACGCACACGTGTTTGCATTCACATATGAGATGCTCAACCCGCTTTGTAGGCTACAAGATTCCGACCCATGGTCAGGGAACTAGGCCCCAGACCCAGTGATGAGACCATGCGGAGGTAGTGAGGTACTTCGAAGCCAAGTTTAATGTCAACCCCAGATGAATACACCCCTGGTGGATCAATAGGTGCCCCCTTTGAGCGCCCCTATGAATACGGACAGGCTTATTTTTTCTGGATCAACATTAGTCATGGTTCTGGGACTAAACTTTTGGTCATTTGGCTCGTATTGCTTCCTGTGGGACATCCAATCAATTGCTGCAGAGGCGCCACCCCAGCACCGCGGGGCGATTCCGACCAGACAGATGCAGATGTCCAGCACTGCGAGCGAGGCGAGCGAGGCGCCGTGAGCCGGTGGCCTGCCACTTCAGTATTTCTTGTTTGGGTTCTTTCTCAAAAGGGACCACTTCCTCCAGCTACCCAGCTTTGAATCCTTTGACCAAAAGGCTCAAGCATCGCCGCATCTCCACTAGGTCCCCCAGTAGTGCCCATTTACCCTTATTCTAACCTCTCTAATCTGGAGGACCTGGTCGACGTCACCGTCTCCCCCCCCAAAAAAAAAAACAATCCGCGCGGAAAGGCGGCGATCCCCGCCTTCTCGGGCGCCACGCTGCTGCCGGCGGCGCTCTTCACGGCGCGGTCCATGGTCAGCGCCCCTCGGCGTCATGTCTAGCCGGGTTGGGGGGTGTCAGTTAGACTTTGTTTTCCTAAGTTCAAAATCAGGTGGCACACATTGGCCCACTTGGCTTTGGGCTTTGGGGGCAGACTACAAAACAAGAGAGGGACAGACATTCGGACATTTGTAGCTTCCCCTTGGAGGGAAGCCAAAAGATCACCTGGTTGGCACAGTTCAGGTGTGGAGTGTCCCCCTGGAATTTCCCGTCCCATGCCCGTTTTTGGGGTACCCCCCCAATACTGGGTGCACCCATAGTTCCCCTTCTTGGGTTCAAGCATCGCCTTGTTGGTTGGTTTCCTAGGGGCAAGGCCGACAACGTAGATTAGAACATCTGGCGAAAGGCTTGCGCTCAGGTAAGCCACTTGCTCAAAGTCCGGGTAGATCAAGGTTAGTAAGGGATAGTCCCAACCAGAAACGATTGCAGACTGCCAGGGCAGTTTCTTTTCTTCTTCTTTTTTAATACCAGGTTTTGACTATGACTCAAGTCCAGTGTTTGTTGATTTGTTCCTTTAAACAAAAGAAGACGAATCAGAAGGCCCCCCTTTGCTTTGGGTACCCAATCAAGAGGTTTTGATTCTGACTCAGGTCCTGAACGTGGTGCGCCATGCCAAAGCCCCCGTGAGCGAGTTCGGCGCACCCTCGGGAGTTCGGAACTTCCAGGCGCCGGGCATGGGCTCTCGCTCGATTTGATGTGGCGAGCTTTTGCCTGACTAGGTCCCCCAGCTAGGTGCCCTTTCTTAACCGTTCTTTTGGGGAAGGGTTCCCCTACGAAAGTAGACTACAGAAAAAGATCGGGCACCCTTATTCTAAGCTCTCAAATCTGGAGGACCTAGTTGAGGCACCGCGCAGAGCACCGGCTTGAGCCGAGTTGTGTGTTACAACACAGGTTGTAGCACTGTAGATGTGTAGCAATTTTGTCTACTGCTTTCTGGGGTTTTGGATGTCGGATGCATGAGGTCAATGTAGCCCTGCAATGATTGGAACATGAAGTGCTTGGATCTTATGCAAGGAGATGGCATTGGGCTTCACTTCCGACATTGCCAAGAACAACTTGGGCGAGTCCTTCTACAGGCAAGGGACCCAAGAGGGTGTCGTTTTTTTGGGTTGGTACCCCTTTGTGCAGGGAACCCAACAGGAACACCACGCAAAATGGGCGGGTTTGCAGGCACTTGCAGCTTGAGTCTGAGGCCGTGGGTGCCGTTCATCTCCACCATCTTCCTGTTCATCTTCGTGAGCAACTGGTCCGGTGCGCTGATCCCTTGGAAGATGTTCGAGATCCCGGCAGGCGCGCGGAAACAACGAGGCGATGGTCGCATCACACAAGTCCCGATACCTTGCGGTAGCCCTAGCTTGACTCGCTAGAGGTTGACTGATGGCATCCTTTTCAAATCAAAAGGAAGCCGTTGTGACACGTACCCCCTGATAGCTTGGGTTCGCGCGCGCTCTTCTCTCAAAACGGGGCGTGTCCGCAGCCTCCAGGCATGCCAAAGACCCTGCCCTCTTGGGTGAAAGTAGATGGCACAATCCCCCCCCACCCCAGTTTAGTTTTCCCATCCCCATTTCTTACCCACACCAAGGGAATTGCGCCATTCACTTTGACCCTGGTGCTTGCAACCCACAACCTGCTTTTTGCTGCTGATGAGTTTTGAAAGACACCCACACCAAACACAACAATTGGTGTGACAGCCTCCAACAAGTGCATCAAGGATGCTCATTTGCTTGCTGTTGGGAATCATTTGACAGCCCTCGACACTTGAGGGCTCGCAACAATCGTATCTTAGCGGCGGCTTTGGTCGTCTTGGAGTATCCAGGGGCTTGGGCCAAATCGACCTACTGCACACCGTGCCGAACGGCGCGGGTGATGCTGGACAGACCGGATCCTGTACCTTGGGGTTGGCATGGAGGGTCAGGAACCTCTCCACAAAGTAGGGCCCCCCCAAGACGTTTGCTTTCCTCTTTTGGTTCCCTCAACATTCCAACTTCAAAAGGGCTCCGAAGTCCATTTCCAGAATCTAGTACCAACCCCTTGAGCGCTTTAGACCACTGTGAGGCACAACAAGAAACTCTGCAGAGAGGTCTCCGAGTCGGTGGGACAGACTCGCAGGTGAGCTTGCGGCGCCCACCAACAACATCAACACCACGGTGGCACTCAGTCTGTGCACACCTCGGAATGGGAGGGGAGGTGGGGGCGGGGTTATGTGTACAGTACGGTGGTGGGGGAGGGAAGGGTGGGTTGGATTGGAGGCGGATCCTTCAAGAAAGGATTGCGGTGGACCAGTTTTTTTTTCATTTTCTCCGATTGGTGGGCCCTTTTTTTGTCCCCAGAAGGAGTTTGGTCGACGTGAAGATGAGAAGTGGCGCCAGACCTGAGAAGTGGCATTCTGAGGCTCACCTCTTTGGCCTACTTTGGTGGTGGCCTCGCCAAGAAGGGCCTGGGCTACTTCGCTCGCTATGCGCCTTGGCTCCGGCTGGGCGGAAAGCGTTGCGCTCGCCCGTGAAAAGAGGCAAATCGGCAAATGGTCTTCCAGAATTTTCTGGACAGGTTGTATGTTGGGAGGCTACACAGGCACAGCGGCACAGCCATCTAGAGCTCCAGTGGGAGCTAAAACCTGCGGTCCCTGGTGGATTCATTTTGACCCACAGCCGCTTGAGTAGATATGCCTCACCAGATTCGCAGATGGCTTCTGCTCCGGAAGGGGACCAGCACTGAGGTGAAGCCAACACCCATCCTGCTGCCCATCAACATCCTGGAGGACTTTACCAAGCCGTCACCTGGACGTCTTGGCTGGGGATGGAGACTTGCTGGTGCTCAGTAGGGAAGAAGAACTGGAATGAACCCGAGATAAGCCATCCATCTGGTGGTTTCCTGGAAAAGGAGACGAAAGCCTGGGTTCATTCCATTTCTCATTCCGGACTGAGCACCAGCAAGGAGAGAATCCGAGTTGGTGCCTTTTTTATTATTATTTAACATGGGATCTGCAAAATATATGAATCGAGCTCACCTGGAGGTAAACGAGCTTACCAAGGTAAATATCCTTGCTTGGGGTTCCATTTGTTTAAATATTATTTCATGTTTTGGAATCATTGCACAATTTGCAGATGGGATGTCATCCATCTCAGCTGCGAAGTGGATGTTGTTCACGCACAGTGCGAGAGGCCAACAGATACCTCCCGAAACAAGGTTCCGGATGGAACCATTCCAAGTCTTTCGCAACGATTAGAATGGGGGTGCGAAATACCGTTAGACCATATTTCCTCATCCCTGTCTCCGTGAAAGAGGGGCAGAATTCTACTTGGCACAGGTTTTCCATTGAAAAAGCCACCGGTGGAGGGATCCAAGACGGCAGCCGCACGAGGCCAGTAGAACAATCTCCGGAGTTTGCTCCCGATATTGGTCAGTTTTGTTTCCAGTTTGCACACACGAAGAATAACTTCTAAAAAACGGAGCCGCCCCTGATTTAGGGCCCTCCGGATCATGCCAAAGTCAACATTGGCCGATTTGCGTCATGTGGGCGTGGGTCAACACCAATGGTACATTTTGGGGTAGGTGCACCACCCATTTTAGTCTAGTGGGGATTGGGATGTTCACTGGGGGTACAAAAATATCGACCCACGGCCATGTTTGTTCCCAGCATCCCGTTCCAAGCGTTCCGAGTTTGTCTTTGAGCTTCCGACTCTTCGGCAACGTCGTGGCGGATGAGCTGACGGTGGGTGTGCGGATCTCAGCCCAAGCAGAGGAGAGCGGCAGACGACTCCGGCAGATGGCGATTTTCCCTTCGAATTTGGTTGAACCAGACCGAGAAACAGGGGGGTCGTAGTTTTGACAAGCCGCAGGTTACCCCTTCGGATTCGGTTGAACCAGACGCACAAGCAAGGGGTCAGTTTTGAACGCAGGGCTGCCGATCTGTTCAACAATCACTACGGGGGCCCACATTGAGGTCCTGTGCTTCCTGGTGCCGTTCGTGATCCCCTTGCCGATCATGGGCCTGGGTCTCTTCGCAGGCTGGTGCACCTCTCCAAGATGGTTTCCGCTACCCCAAGCCCACTGCACCTTTGCACAGTGGCCATACCCTGGTGATCGATCTACCGCCTCAGTGATACTGTGGATGGACGAAATCCTGCACCACTGTGAAACCATGGTTGAAACCATTGTTTCTTTGTATGTACAGGGGAATCAGAAACCAGGGTTTCTTAGGTGGTGCGAGAAGCGGATTTCGCAACCATCCACAGTGGTTTGGGGCTGGGCACCATCCCAGTTCGCAGCCTCCCAAATTCTCCGACAGATGCCCGAGCAGGATCTATTCAGGCGCTGATCTTCGCCACCTTGGCGTCCGCTTACATCCACGAGGCCTTGGAGTGAGGGCGCGGCCGGTAATTTGCGCGCGGAGGGGAGTGGGTTCGCAAGCACCTGGCGGATTTCTCTTGCTGGCTTTATCAAAGCGCAGCGGATGGCAAGCAATGCTAACAGACCAGCAGGCAGTCTGGAAGATGCCAGCGATGCAAGTCCATAGCGGATTTTTCCCAAATGTTTTTTTTGCCTGGTCGAGGCAATTTGGAAATGCAGAGCAGCAACATCCTGTCCGCACTTTGAGTATTGGCCAGGTTTGGTGTTCATGCTTGAACAGGACGTTGCTCACTCTGAAGTAGAGGTGGCTTCTGAAGACATGACAGTTAGAAAAAAAGGGGCGCATTCCTGACTGGTTTGTTCAAAAAGTATCCTTACCCCCAACATATTGACATGGAGCCCAACAACCCATCATTTTTAGAGGAAGCTCCTTCCATCTTAGCTTGCAAAGATGGTCGACGAGGGGGCCCTTGTTGTGGTGATGTCTCACTACGGATTTCTGACGAGGACGGACCCCTTCATGTTGAACGATGCAGCCTGAAGTATGTATCGGGGCCTGTGTCTGAACGCTCAGAGAATTCTGGCTCGAACGCCAAAAGGGGAGATGGACAGAGGTGCATCCTCATCATTTGGGTTGAAGTGGGAAAACCTGCCTCCCTCAAAATGCATGGTTTCGGATTTCCATTTGGTTTTCCTTTAGACGTGTCCCAACAAAGGTATTCTCAATGACCAGTGCCTGTGAATTGTGTTTTCGTGCGGCAAGTGAAGCGCTGCTGATGAGTGCATGTACACGATAGTGAGAGCACCAGCCACTGCATTTTCATTTTGCACTCTCCCTAACACACGCACACACAAACACCAACCAGATGAGAACCGATTGCAGTTGATTTTCAGAAAGCCCACAGACACGGCCACGTTCCAAAATATATTGGTCGCACTGAACGACGCGATGCGTGTAAGCAGACTGGCGCCGGGCCTAGAAAGCGGATTGAGTGACCAGAAGGTTCCAGGTGAGCTTTTGCTCGTCCTTTGAAGCCCCACAGCAACAATCAGAGACCTTTGTGGAACCTTGTCACGCAACTGGGGTTATTCTGTTGACCATTTCTTGGGGTTGTCAAAGTCAGAAACTGGAACCGGTGGTGTCTCTTGAACCCACCTCGGGATCACGGGTAGCATAATGGGGCCAGCGCAAGGCAGCCACTTGCCATTTGTTTCCGGTCCAGTTCCTGCAAGTTGGTTTCCGAAAGTTGTGTTTGACCAACCAAAAGGACTCCCATTTCGAGAAGCTCGCACGGGCATGGGTCAAAATTAATTCCCCACAAAACCGCAGGTTTTAGTCCTTGGTTCCATTTACTAGGATTCCAAAATGGATTCCCGTTGACCCACGGCCACATTTTGCCTGGGTCGGGTTTTTTCGGGAAACGGTTGTGGATCTGAGGTGCGGGCGTCCAAGAAGCCTACCGCAGAGGACTCAATTAAACAGGCGTAGGAGCTTGGTATCAGCAAGTACTGCGGATGCGCAAAAAAATCCTGCCCACCGAAGAAACCCTGGAATGAGGATTGGTCTGCAAGTTACAGACGATGGTTTCCGATGGTTTCTTAGTTGGTGCAGAATTCCGTCCATCCACAGTATGAACATTTCTCAGCATGGCCCTCTTTTAGTTGGTAAAGGCGAACCAAAGAAAGGGGCATGATAAGTAACGCCCATTGGGCCTAAGTCTAGTTTTAGAGGTCCCCAGAAGGTGGTTGGTTTTATTTGGGCCCCTCCTTGAACAGCGAGGCTTGGTATCAGCCCCCCATATTTTTCGCTTGCTTTTTGGACTCAAAGAAAAGTCATTTGTACACCAGAAGCCATTTTGTAGGGGATTCTTTGTGGGCCCCCTTTCGTTTTATGCTTTTGGTTGGGCTCAAGAAAAAAAAAAACACGAACACCAGAAGCATAGGTGTCTTTTTTGGTTGTTTTGGTAGAAAAGTAGATGGCGATTCCTGGTCTACCTGGTGGTTGAATCATCTACCAGGGCCATCTATTTCCCCTAAAAGGACACCTGTGACCAGACGCCCTTTTGCAGCCCCCCAACCCTCGGGTTTCCGCGTCACGTTATTTGGAGGACATCCAGAAGCTGCGGACCTTCTTCGCACGGGCCGGCCTGGCGACCCGCCTGCTGAAGTCCCGGCTGGCGCTGCCCATCGCGTGCCCGGCCCAAGGTTTGTTTGATGGCCAGGATCTAAGCGCGCACACACAAGTGCATGTATACATATATATATATATATATTACATATGTATATATATATATATATATATGTATATTTACTTATGCATATATACGCATATATATATATATACAATTATATATATACACGCATATGCATATATACATGTATAATACATTATACATGTCGATAGATGTGCGTGTACACTCATACACACACATATATATATATATGTACATACATTACATACATACATACATACATACATAGATACATACATACACACACACATACATACATACATACATACATACATACATACATACATACATACATACATACATACATACATACATACATACATACATACATACATACATACATACATACATACATACATACATACATACATACATACATACATACATACATACATACATACATACATACATACATACATACATACATACATACATACATACATACATACATACATACATACATACATACATACATACATATGCATACATACATACATACATACATACATACATACATGCATACATACATGCATGCATGCATGCATGCATGCATGCATGCATACATACATACATACATATATACACACATGTATATGTGTACACACTATACCGTGTGTATATGCACGTGTGTATTTTGTGTGTGTGAATGTGGATGTATGTGTATATCATATGTATTTGTATATGTATGTATATGTATACGCATCTGTATATGTATATGTACATGACTATGTATATGCATATATATATCATATATATATATATGCATATGTATATGCATGTGTTTATACGTACATTGATATGTGCATGTGCATGATCTGTACATGTTACAAGATGCACACCTACTCCAATGGGTTGTATTATCCATGACACTAACACATGGTTTTAGGATTTCTTCTCTGCAATTTGAGGTTTGCCATGCGATTGATGCGTTTTTGACACAGAGGCTCTTGGCAAAGTTCTTTGTGGGATACGCCCGGCCACCGTGGTGTTTGATGTGCTGTTCCTTTGGTTGGGGAAGCCGACAAGGAGACTCGGCAGATGAGTTTCCTCTTATCCTTGTAGCAACCGCAGTGCGACCCGAGAGGTTGGATAGTTCGCTGGGTATCCGACCTCTTCCTTTCTGGAGGGCTCTAACAACCTGCCACGGCTGCCTCACTCAGTCCGTATCCTGTATGCTTCTCCGTCCTCCTCCCTCCTCCCTCCTCCCTCCTCCCTCCTCCCTCCTCCCTCCTCCCTCCTCCCTCCTCCCTCCTCCTCCTCCTCCTCCTCCTCCACGTTTGTCTTCGCCCATGGTCTTGCTCCATGGATGCCAGGTACCCCCTCAACTCCGCGATGCTGAAGGAGGGCGGAACAACTCCAGCCATGGCCGAGAGGGATAGCGTGCGCCAGGCCTCGCCCCAAGTCTGGAGCTCACACCTGGCGACTGGGGATCAACCTGGGCTTATTCTTTTGCCGAACAGCAGCGAGGCTGGGCTGGTCTTTTTGCGGCGATTCTCCCCAGAATGACAAATGCCAGCGAGGAACGTAACAGTTGGTCCATGACACCTGGCAACATGACGCCTGAATCCGTCTCTGCGGCGGTCACGGCTGAGGCTGAGCTCTCTGGCACCGACTGGAAGGTGACGCAGAAGGGCCTGGCGCATGTGACGCCCATCGTCGCGGGCATGTCTAAGGCGGAAGAGAGCGGGGAAATTGGGGAAATGGGGTGGGGTGCTAGATGCTATGGTTATAGCATTTTTTTTTGTGGGGGGGGGGGTCCTTTTTTTAGGCGACCCCCCCACCAAGAATTGGTGGTTTTCTGTTTGGTTTCGGGGTAACCCCAAAAGCAGGCAGACCCATCTTTGGCACGCTGACATGAGGCCCAGGCCGTGAGTTCTAGGGCACGCATTGACCGACATATCCAGACGTTTCCATGGCACAAATCGGTAGACGTGGCTTTTCTTCTCCATAGCGGGGGGGCATACCCTCCTTTCTTACATAGAAAACCCACCAGAAGGTCCTCTAAGGATAATGTTCGCGTTAGCTGGGAGGGGGGTGCGCTTGGGCTTGTGGCTTTTCTTAGCGGCATACCCTCCCACCTTACATAGAAAGCCCACCCGGTGGGGATGCTCATCAGAGCCCATGGCAACTCGAAGAGGCAGCTTTCACTTGGACGGGCAAGGCGAATGGCCAGTTCAGATGTGCCTTTTTCAGGGGAGGGAAAGACGAAAGGCCGATGATCGCCGAAAACCACAAGCCACTTGCAAATGTGGGCCACCCTGGGTCGCGTCCTGGATTCGAGTACACGGATGCTTTTGGTGGATTCGGTCAGACCCAAAGATTTTTTTTGGGGGTGGGGGGGAGTTGGCAACATCGAGGACCCCCTTGTCACTGTAAAGGAACCAACCATCGTTCGGAGTCTATGTTGAGGACACCCATTACATGACGCCACACCTGTCTCACATTGGTTCCTCTGTTGTGCGTTCATGGCTCAAGGGCGAAATGGCGAAATGGAGAGGTGTCTTCAAGAGGGGATCGATCCCCCTTTTGGTTTTGAAGGGAAACCACCAGAGGTGCCGTTTTGCGGTTCCGTGTCGTTTGAGACACGCCCCGCAGCTTTGAAAGATGCAGGCAGAGAATGCGACTAGCTCTGAGTCATCTCTGCATTCACATGGGAATAGTCTTTTGAAGGCTCAGTACTCTTTTTGGGTCACTCGAAAGAAATCCCGCCCCATTTTAGAGGTCCCCTATTTTAAGACTACCCCACATCTCCACGCTTCGCAAAACTGAGGGATGCTTGCTTTTGTCCGAAGATATGCTGAAGGCGCTTCACGCGGATCCCTATGGATGGTGTACCCAACATTTGTTTTTATCAGACAACAGCCACGCGGATAACAACATAGAACCAGTCGCAGACGCGGCGCTCGCCTATTTTTTCCGCCTTTGGGAGCCATGGATGTGGAGCCGGCGCGGGCCCAAGAAGGGTCAAAAGGTCTTGGTGGAAAAGAAATCAGCCATGGCAAACACTTGTAGGGTCTCCTTGTTCAAAGAGCCCTCCACCATGCACAGTTGCCTTGGCTTGGATGGAGACGATAATTTTGGTGCCGCTGATATTGGCAAGCGCTTTTCTCACATTGTGCTACGATGATTATGTTGCATGACCACTGCTTGTGGAGAATCGCATTGTTGCGCTTCAATGCAGGTGGTTCTTTGCAAGTTAGCCTTCATGCGTCCAGCAAAAGGTGCCCTGGAGGGATAACCCACGTGCAACCTGAGGTGTTTTGTTGCTCAGATCGGATCCAGGCAACCAGGTCCCCTGCGACCTGTAAAGCTCAAGAAACCCGAAAGGAGACTCTCTAAAGAGAATTCCTTGGATTTGATGGGGCATTTTCAGGGTGTGGGTCGTTTTTGTGTGGTTGTCCTTTTGGTTTTCATTTAAGACCACAAGGCAAAGGGACTCCAAAACAAGACAGACCCAGGTATCCCCCAAATTCACCATGGGAAGTTTCGACCAAGCCAGAGAGCCAATGGGAGTCTATTTTAAGGCTGGACACTAAAATTGTGGTTTTCTTCTGGTTTTCCCTTAAAACCAGCAAAACAGCGGTGCACTCGACAAAAAAAGGCCCCCAGATGGTGTCCACCAAATACCTGCTGAAAATTACCCATCTTTGATGGTAGCCTACTTCCAGCAAATGGAGGGTCCACGGCTCCACTCTATCTATGGTTGTATGTAGAGCGAATCTTGGCATCTTCAGACCAAACCTCAGCTTAAAGATAGGACAGAGGTGGATCCATGGGCGGGGCACCACATACATATATATATATATACAAAGGTATACATATATATATATATATATGTATGTGTATGGGGGGCCTGACCACATATATATATATATATATATATATGTATACACCTTTTCCTCTCGGCATTCTGTGTCCTGTCAATCGCAACGTGCAATGAATTCGCAGCAGAGCGGCTCAGGCCACGGGGCCTTGCCTTTGTCCCCGCCCCCCCAAAGGAAATGAAGCATAAAATATGGCGGTTGTTCTTTTTTGGTTTCCAAAGCCACCCAACTTGGGGTACCCCCAAAAGACACTCCCATATTGAGAGCAGCAATCAAAGTTTTGTACGTGATGCCTGAAAATTTGCCTCAAGCGAGGATGCGCATCTGGTGAGGAACCTCGGCTGTGGTGAGGCTGCACTGAAATATCCCGCAAGGACCTTCAGCATCCAAGTACGCAGTACCACCTGAAGTAATTGTCGTACACCGCCGAAATTCGGCAGATGACAACATGTTCACGTTTACTGCACGCCATCATCACAACCATCGCCATGTCTACTCCCTTCGCGTGGTTTTTTTTGCTGATAGCCCATCACGTTGCCAAAAAAGAAACCACCCATCACAATGCCCACGTCCGTGATGGTCCCTTACAGGTCGAGGTGGATGCAGGTTTGCTTTAGCTTCGTCCGCCCTTATCGCCTGTCCTGGCATTGTGGAATTGCCACACCTGCTCGCGTATCGAACGGTATGCCCAAAATGGCATGTGAGGCCAGATGGCTATGTGTACAAATGTGCTGCAGCATAGTGTCCACGATGCAACGTGTCGTCAACGTCAGAGAAGGTCCTGGCCATTAAACTTGTCAGTGTTGGAAGACACAGCGGCACCTAAAGCAACGGAATGCGGCATCATGGCGTTGGAAGACGCTTCGCGTACCTCTTCACCTTCTCCCTAAGTGAGATGCCCTAGCGTTTGGTCAAACACATGGTGTATCACAAAGCTGTCCGGTGGGTGTAGACCTCCATCCGAGGCCAAGAAGCGGCATCGATGGGTGGCAAAGGCTATCTCAGCCAAGCTGTTTCCCTCAAAATCGGCCAGTATCCGTAGATTGCTCTGCCAAACTCAGTATTTTGATGCGATCCAGAAGGTTCAACTAGTATGCTCCAACTTCCACATAGCCAGCCCTGGATCTTCAACCTTCCACCCCAGGTATTGCCGTGAATGCATGCCATGAATATTGAATTCGCCAGGATGATAATCATCAGGGTCAAATGAACCACCATCCTCATCCTCATCTTCATCGCCTTCTCTGTCACTGCCGTCCATGTTTGCCGCAGGATCGCGGCTGCGCTTCGACTTCTCACGGGGTTTGCGGAACTAGATCCCGAAGGATAGGTCCGCCCAGCAAACCATTGGTCTCCTCAAAATGGTTGTGGCAAACCGTCTGGTTTAGGTCCCCACCATGTCTCAGTGTGGGAGAATCGGGATGTACAAAGAGGAAGAAGTAGAGCTCTCCCACACAAAATGAGGCCAGCAAGATAGCCATCACGGCTGAGGGGTGCCAGGATGTCCTTTTTGTGCTCCTCACAGGCGCCTTAGAGGCTTCTCCTGGTTTTTGCCTCACTGTACCGACGTCTTCTCTCGCGCATCTCCATGGCATCAACATTCTTGGGAGAGAGGCGCATAATGGCTGACTGCATTGCAAGCCATTGATCGAAGTGGAGCTTTGCCTGCTTGCGGATGCTTGGGATCCAGCTTCTGCTTCTTCTGATTCCGGACATTCACAGTCGCCCCTCTCCTCTCTTGAGCAGCTGATCGATCTCCAGGTGGTCGTCCTCTCCCGCCGCCTCAGATGTGAGGTCCATGTCGTCCTCCAGCAAAAAGCCTTCAGCTCCATCTGTGCCGCACTCTCATCATGTTTGGCCTTCTCCAACTGCTCGGTGAGCTCCGCCGTGTCTTTGAACTTCTTTTGCTCCGCTATCAAACCGTTGCGGATTTGGTTCTGATAAGCCTCCCGCTTGGCTTTGCAGTTGTCCATGGCACACACTGTCTTCCCCACCTTGCGTTGTTGCTTGCGAAGTCCGCTCAGAGCACGCTGCATCTGTTGTTCCATATTTTGCTCAGCGCGCCCTGGCCATGTCCCTTGCCCTTCCCTGGACAAGCCTTGGCCCGTAAGCACCAACCATTCGCCCTGTTCCATGTTGTGCGGCTTTCCCTATACTCACTTCCTGAGTTCCTGGACTTTATCCTTTTGGGAAGACCCTTCAGTCTTTGGTAATCAAAAAGTTTGGCCACTTTTTTGTTCTTTTTTTCCGGGCCGTCAACTCAGGAAGTGAGTACAGAAAGGCCTTGGTGAGCTTCAAGCATCCCTACTAGTGACCTCTGGCTCAGCGTGCCTGCGATGCCATGGAGAAGGCTCAGTGCCGCGCAATCGCTGCGAACGGCTGGCACTGGGACAGGTACTCTTATTGCAAAGGCGATCCTTCAGCCCTCTCTCTCTCTCTCTACATATATTTCTATATAAACATTGCCAATTTGGGTGGGACAGTGGACATCGGCTTTGGTGCCCTTCGGTTTGGCTTCCTCATTCGATCGCGATCGATCCACCAGGAGCTGCAGCTACGGATCCGGAGCTTCCAGGAGGGAGGGTCTCGTCGGTTTTTGGGGCTTGGGACCCGCCCTTTTACTCGCCTTTCAGGCGTGTTCTGAAAGGGACACTTCCGGGGAAACTTCCGGAACGCCGAAGATCGCGTTTTTTTTGGGTGGGCGAGCCATTGAATGTGCCACCCAGAAAAGGAAGCCTTCGCGTTTCTGGCGGGGATTTCGAGAAAGGAGCGGAACAGGCACGGAGTAATGCCCTGACAGTGAGAAGGACATCCAGTTTTGACAGCCTTGCAGTACATTGAAGGAGTTCCTTTTCGCTCACTTGCCCTCCAAAAGCATCCGTTAATATCGCATCCGCAGGCTTCACTTTTGACGCAGGATGCGGGCTCCAAGCCTTTTCGCCGCACCTGGGTGTTCACAGAGAGATCAGCATTTTGCTCGACTGTGAAAAGACCAAGATAAGTCCGGCCGCATAGAGGAATGGAGCAGTTCTCCCCAAAACCCGAGCGATCTGTTTCTCGAATGACATCTCTGGATCTCTCTGCTCGCTTCAGATCCCGAAGTTCATGTTGCTTTGCATGCGCGGTGCCGGAAACAAATGCGGGGCTTCGCGCGGGTTGGAGCTGGCGTTTCTGCGTATTACAAGTTGGGTTTGGTCAGGCTGGGGGCGGGCGGTGGATAGGGTTGGGTTGGGTTGATCGGGTGAGTGTGCGGGTTGGGAGGGTTGATTATTGCAGTTGGATGGCAACACCGTTGATCACATGTTTGTTTTGCTAGAGATGGCCATCTGACCCTTGCAAGGACAGAGCCATCAAGCAGTCAATCAGTTCTGCAGGGGTAGCCATCGGAAGGGCTGCTCGGTGGGGGCTCCCGGGAGCGGGGGTGCGGTCCACCTGTCTACGCGTTCATTCAGGCAGGTGAGCGATCTTCTTCTTCTCGTATGGTTTTGCGGGATTTTTCTTCAGAAGAGTGATGACCACCATGGAGATCTCCTGCGGCCGGAGTTGCTTGTTAGATTCGCGACTCAGATCAAGTACCCCAAAATCGCACTTGCGCAGACAAAACATCCGTGCAATCGCGCACGGCATGATGCAATCAACAGTGAATTCGGGAAAGCCTGACTCGGGAAAGCACAACAACGCATGTGATTCCAGCCAGCTGTCCAGGATGCTTTCATTCTGCGCTCTGGCGGCCCCATGCTCATTGGTCGGAAGGACTGTGCGAGTGACATTTGGCTGTAAGGCTGGACGGCTTGGCAACAATGCATGCAGAAGAGAGCAAGAGGTAGACACAATCCGCTTCGCACCAGTTGCAGCTGGTTTATCTTTTGTTTTTGATAGGGGTTGATCCATCCCAACTGGATGATGACGTCCATGTACAGCATTTCGGTATGGGTCAAAATTAAAGCACCAACAGACCGCAGGTTTTTGTCCTTGGTTCCATAGGGTTACCGGGTTCCAAGATGGATACCCATTTTTGACCCACAGCCATGTCAGTATTTCTAGGACTGCGACATCGAGGTGAAGCATCCCTCGGTTTGATCCTCGGACATTTCCCAGCGCCGCTGTCCGGATGAAGGTGAGAGAGAGGCTGAAGCCAGCGGGACTCCAACAGTAGCTCACGCACTGGAGTCACCAAGTCAGAGACTCAACCAGGGCGCATGGGTCTGAATTTTATTTAGGGACACTTTGGTGGAATCTTGGGGAGTCATGTCCACCAGTCGCTTAGGTGGTTCCATAGTCAAAATTTCATAGCCAGGCGCACCCAAAGAATCCAAAGCCCCGAGGTCTCCGCTCGCCACGCCTCCATCGAGTTTGCGCCTGGCTTCCCGACTCGGCGAATGATCGATCGGCTCATAGGAATCCGATGCCAGCTTCTGCCGGGTGTTTGGTGAGGCCGAGCCAGGAACTGGCCATTTTGTTGGGGGGAAAAAGTGGGAGTGTCTCTTTTTGAGGGTAGGGTTTGTGTGGTTGTCAGAAAAACCCAGCATCTTGTGTGTCCTTTACCCCATAAAAGGAGTCCTTACCCCAAACCAAAATGGGACGGTTCCGTGGCTGGTCGCCCGATTTGTCCGCCCAGCTCAGCTCCCGAGGCCGCTCGCCGAGGACCGAAGACCGGGGCCTTTTTTTTTCTTTTTCCGGAGAGCTTCGCCGGGCTCTCGTTTGTTTTTTGGATCTCTGTAGGGTATGGTACAAATAGTTAGGTTGTGCAAGAAAATGGTGCTAGAGCCGAAAGAGTTAGAAGAAACAAAGACAACATTTTTGCCATACGACAGTCATGCGTGATGTAAAAGCTCCATGGTTTCAGGCCCAAGAAGAAACAGTTGCATTTGATTCCTCTGACTTCACTACACTTCGATCCGGCCAGGATGGTCTTTCGCCCCAGGCTGGGCCGAAGCTTGATTTTGAGTGTGGCGGGACAGTCTAAATGGTTGACAGTCCTATGTCACCCGCCAAATTGACCATGGGAACTGTGGGAAGTTTCGACACCTCGCACATGGCTGGCAAGCCAATCGCGGCCCACCCATTGTCTGGGACACAGCGATTGGTTGGGTATGCTTTGTGATTGCTTTCTTGCTTGTGATCACAGCTGCGGGTAGTTCCTGAAAGATTCCCCGGAGGTTGATGTCTTTGCAGGGTGTAAAGAGGATCCAACATTACGTCTTACATCACGATCAATATTCAGCCTTGGGCTACGCAGGAGTGGGGTTCGGCGAGTCAACCCCCTGTTTAAACCATGGCTTAAACACATATTAATTAGACAACCTCTTGTGGTTCCCGCCTGGCCAGGAATGGTTCAACCAATTTCGAACCCAACTCGCCCCCCCCCCCCCTGAACAGTGGAACAAGTCAGCTGGACCATCTTTAGGGAAAATCCTGGGGGTCTGGGAGGGGCAGTACTTACTTTCGCATTGCCAATTCTACTTTGGCATTGCCAAGGCTGACTCTCAGATTCCCAGTACTTACTTGAGTATTGCCCGTCTACGTTAGTATTGCCAAGGCTGACTCTCAAATTCCCAGTATGTACTTTAGTATTGCCAATTCTACTATAGTATTGCCAAGGCCGGTTTTTCAGCAAGCCCCCAAAACGGTTGGACACCAAAGAGGACCCCAAAACAGCCACATTAAAGAGGATCAGGGGCTCTTGCGGGCAACCCCCTTTGTGCGAATGTTGGCCCTTACCTTTTTGTTCTGTAAAGAAGTTATCTGAAATTTGATGGTTTGGGGGCCACTGGCAAAAGGGTCTTCCTGGATCCAGGGCCTTTACCCTTTGAGCTGGGAAGCGCTTTGTTTGGGTTAAGCACCCTAAAAGTAAAAGGCTAAGGCTTTAGTTTAAGATTCTCAGCAACCCAACAAAAACAGTTGGACACTAAAGAGGACCCCAAAGCAGTCACATTAAGGAGGATCAGGGCCCCTTGTGGGCAACTCCTTTGTGCGACACTTTTGTGTACAAAAGTTATCTTAAATCTGATGGTTTGGGGACCATTTCAAGAAAAGTATTTCCAAATGTTTGCCCGGATTTGTTTGCGCGTTGTTTTTGCCCCACTTGTTTGCCACGTTTGTTTTGCCCAGACGTTTCTCGGCATTTATTCCGGCAAGAAAACATGCCACAATTGAGGCCCCCAAAACAGTCACCAGATCCCATTGCGAACAAAATCTACAATAGAGGGCCTAGCTCCAATTGGGGGTCTAATATTACTGGATGACATTGGGCACGCTTACTAGCATACCACCAGGAAACACAGGCGGGGGCAGTGGGGGCGAACAAATATGGGTTGGTGTGAAAAACGCGACCCCCGCCCAGAAACAAAAAGAACATGGGGCTTCGGTTTCCCTTTTCATTTCTCTACACCAACCCCCCAAAAATACCCTCCCAACATGGAAGTGCAGAAGGTAGTCGTTTTTCCAAGAGGAAAGTGGTCTTTCTACGGTCTCTGCACCAAACCATGTCACTCGCTGGGAGGCTACGGAGCCTCGAAAAAGCAAATCGGCAAAATGGGCGCGTTCTTTTTTTTTTTTTTTTTTTTTAAAAAAAATCAGGTGCTGGTGACGGATCTGAGCTCCACCAACGGTGCGCAAGTGGAAAGGGTCGGGGTGGCAAGGGACCCATGTGTATATGTATTATAAATATATATATATATATATGTATATGTATGCATTTGTTTATTTATTTATTTATTTGTATTTGGTATAGATGTGTACATATACATATATACATATACATATGTGTAAAACAACATTTGACTTTAGCTAAGGGTGTCACCTGCCGTGCAATGCCCAAGACAGTTCTGAGTATAAGTAGGTAAACCATGCTTGCGTCCAAGATATGCCAGCACATGCCATGAATACAAACAAGCAACTGATTGCTTTGCAAATCATACCTAGCACCCAAAATATGCTAGTACACGCCATGAACACATACAAGCAAATGACATTGCATCCATGCTGGAGCTGGAGGACTATCGACAACTGCATTGCTGGCATAGTGTGCTCATTAACTATAGTTAACCATGGAATCAAATGAATAACTTTAGCTGAACTGTTAATAAGCTTTGCAAATGTGTTGGGATCCAAAGCATTTCGAGAAGCTCCCACAAGGCACAGAAGGCAGATTGTAACGTAAAGTCCCAATGTCTGAGAACTCCGCATTTCTCCGAATGCCGAGAGTGTTACCACACATTTGCAGTGAAATCCAAGCCGGAGTGACAACAAGGCCTGAGATCCAAACGAGGAAATTTCACCATTTGTTTTCCTGGTGGACTCAAAACCACTGTAACAACCACACCAGACTCAAATCTGAAAACGGGCCGTTGTTGCTTTGTTGGCGTTCAAGCTTCAACAAAAAAGACACCTGCTGTCATATCCAGCTGCGCTGTGTGTCTTCGAGCTCGAAGAGCGAGGGTAACCTTTGGATCCCAAAACATCCCCGACATCCCCTCATGCCACGTTGCCCAAATACCGTGCACATCGCCCACGACTGTCGCCAGCATCCCAACATCCTCCACACCCTCGCCAACTTCACCAGCATCCCCAGCATTCCTGCATCACCAGCATCCGCAGCATGAAAAGCACCCCTTGCATCCCCTGCATCGTGCCAACCCTCCCTAAGAGTAGGTTTTGGCGGAGGGCATGTCTGCGATCAAGTGAGCAGGGTTTCTGCAAAAGCGGGGCCGCCGCCACAGTGCGGAACACATCGCACATGCCGTGTTTTGCTTCATTTTCCACAGGTTTCTGTGGGGCTGAGAGGGGATGCCGGGGATGCAGTCTTTGTCTGATTGGCTTTGTGTGTGCCCCCCAACACGCAAACACGCCAACTCGCACGCATGCACGCAGGCGCGTGCACACGCGCACAGGCCTAGGGTGGATGGGTGGGTGGGTGGGTGTGGTGTGGTGTGGTGTGGTGTGGTGTGGTGTGGTGTGGTGTGGTGTGGTGTGGTGTGGTGTGGTGTGGTGTGGTGTGGTGTGGTGTGGTGGGTGTGGTGTGGTGTGGTGTGGTGTGGTGTGGTGTGGTGTGGTGTGGTGTGGTGTGGTGTGGTGTGGTGTGGTGTGGTGTGGTGTGGTGTGGGTGGTGTGGTGTGGTGTGGGTGGGGTGGGGTGGTGTGGGGTGGTGTGGTGTGGTGTGGTGTGGGTGGGTGGTGTCGTGTGGGTGGGTGGTGTGGGCGGGTGGGTGGGCGGGCGGGCGGGCGGGCGGGCGGGCGGGCGGGTGGGTGGGTGGGTGGGTGGGTGGGTGGGAAGGATGGGCAGGATGGGAAGGATGGGAAGGATGGGAAGGGTGGGAAGGGTGGGAAGGGTGGGAAGGATGGGAAGGGTGGGAAGGGTGGGAAGGATGGGAAGGGTGGGAAGGGTGGGAACGGTGGGTGGGTGCGGGAGGTTGTGAGGCTCTAGGATAGAGGCAGAAACCGACAAACGCACCGCATTTCAAAATAGTACTTTACAGTGTTTGCAAGCATCTGCAAGAAAGAGGCACGCAGAGTAGAGTTGACACCTTCAACTAGAATATAGGAAGGTGGGGGAGGGGTTGACTATATATATATATACTAATTACATATAAGGGCGTGCCCCTTTTTTGAGGGTACCCTTGTTGCTCAGTGGCCCTTTTGCACTTAGTCGTGCCTAGGGGCGATCTTTGGGCTTAGTCCACTTGCTGGTTGCCAGTCGCCGAGCAGCTGTCACTCCCTAGCTCAGGGTGAGGTTTGAGCATCCCAGGTCCATGTGTTGGTCTCAGATTGAGGCTGGCAGGGTTCTTGAGGGGTTCGCGCAAAATGCGCGAAGAACCAATTGAAAGGTCGAGTAAGGCCTTGAACATGCACCTGCTGTTGTGGAGGCTTGGCAGCTGACTTGTTTTGGAGCCCAAGGTTGAAAGGAAACCAAAAGGACATCCACCATCATTTTTTTCCGTGGGGGGTGTCTCATGTAGGACACATGGATTTCTCTTTGGTTCCCCTTTAAACCAAGGTGAACATGGTCCCTCAAACAACCGCAACCTGAAACGAATATGAACACATCTTTGCATGGCACCGACTTTCCATTTGCTTCTCTGATCAACCCTCCAAATGCTTGTGTCGAGCATTGGTGCATGCGGCTTACCTTTTGGTGGACATCTATGAGACGTTGTCCGCGGATTTTGTGGGTTCCCATCGCAGAAGCCGCGCAGCAGGTACCTTTGCCGGGGAGCAGCCTGCCGGAACCCGGGTCCCGCCGGAAGGAGCCAGGAGCGGAAACCCCAAGGGAGTTGGATCCATTTGGTTTCCTTTGAAACGTCTGGAAAGTGCGGAACCCAACAATGGTTTCCTCAGAATTTTCGTCCAAGTCAGGTGCTTACGTCAGGAAGTTCAGGGGTAAAGGTTTCCTTTGGTTATTTCGCTTTTGAAACACGATCAATTCGAGGATGTCACTTTCAAGGTCCCAAAAGGGAGGGCAGCGGAAGACAAGCAACAATGGGGTGTTTGGTTTTGCTTTGAACAAGGAGTCCCAGTACTCTTTTTCCCTTTTCTCGCCGTTCTCCCCTTTCTCCCTCCCCTTACTTGCTCCCCGGTCTCCCGCCCCTTTCCAAACGATCACACTTTCATGTCACCCAGATGAAACCATGATGTTTTTTCTCGGGTCTTTCCCCTATTCCCACCGAGTCTTCTGCCTCTTCATCCCCTTCCATTCTGGCTTTATGGCTCCATCGCATGTTGAAATCACGCACTTTTGGGGGTCCCCATGTATGTTCATAACTGCTTCTGATTTTGGTAAAAGTATTGTAATTTGATTTCGGAGACTGGACAATATTGTGTGAGTGTTCAAAAGTCTCTACCTCGCTTCCGGGCTTTGGCCTAACGGCTGCTGGCAAAAGGCTCCATCGCATGCTGGAATCGCACACTTTTGGGTCCCGCTTTTTCCATCCAGTCTGCTTCTGCAAACCCACTTCGCTTCCAGTCTGCTGGCCAGGCTGGTGATCGGCAACTACCTCCGCTTCGGCTTCTGCCCCTTCATCTACCGCCTGGAGGCCGTGCCTCGCGCCGGCCTGGAGACTGAGGCCTGCGACTTCGGCGACTTCGCACTTCGCCCAACTCGAGGGCCAGCTTCAGCCCAGAGACCACTCCGAACACATCGCCTGGTTTTCGGAGGAGAAACCTGGGCTTCAAAAAGCATACGGAAAAGACGGGTGGTGTACTGCCTTTATACGGGCTTTGCACGGTTTTTTGTTTGGGTTTCAGGAAGCAACACCAGGTTCTTCGACCGAAAACCTGGTTTTCGACGAGCAGCAGGTGCAAAGCCCGGTTTTTGCTGCCCGCCCCACTTTTTTTGTAGGTTCTTCGAGTAGCAGGACTAGTAGAGTTTTGAACCACTACGCAGGTTGGTTGTCCAAGTGGGGGGCAAACTTGGCACGACAGACAAACTTTTCGCCGTGCCCGTGCAATCGGCAGATGTTTTTTGGCCATCCGCTCAGGTGACACAACTCCGGCTGAGAGTCCTGAGAGTCGGGTGCAGCATCCCCCATGTCCAGAGCCTTCAAGGGTCTTTGTTTGGGTATGGGTCAAAATTAAACCACCAGGGGAACGCAGGTTTCAGTCCATGTTTCCATTTGCCAGGGTTCCATTTTGGGTACCCTTTTTTTTGGGGGAAAACGGTGACACAATGGCCTTTGTACATGTAACGACTAAACCTGTAGTTTGCCCTGGCTCCCTATTTATGTATTGGGCTTTTCGGTCGGAAACCCAACGGGTACAAACATTCAAGTTGGTGTCCGGAGTCGTGTCCATTTGCGTGTAAAGGGGGGACGCCAAACATGGTCCTTTTGGTTTTCCATCAATCAAAGCATCCGATTTTTCTGTTCCTCTTGGGTTTTCCCTAAGACACCTTCCCGTGTTTTTGGCTTGTTTTCTTCTAAAACCGGGGATTTGGTTGAGGGCATTTTTTCTTGGAAGGCTGCGAGTTCCAGCCGCGCCGAAAGGCGGGGGGCAGCGGGCCTCCGGGGAAAGCCACATTTCTTTGATGGGTTCCTAGGTCCCCCAGCAATTGGTGCTCTTTCTAACCCCTTTTTTGGTTGGAAGGGTTCCCCTTCTAAAATAGACTACAGAAGAAAGTTGGTAGCCTTATTCTAACCTCTCTACTGGAGGACCTAGGTTCGTTTGGTTAGAAATAGATGGGTTTGTACTGGATTAGATGGGTTCGTGCCCCGTTTACAGGGAACTCTAACTTTTTCCTCTATTTTTTTACCAGGAGGACGCCTATGGTTAAAGGCTATAACCCAAGAGTCCTTAGGCTGCGAAAGACGTTTCTGTTTGTACCCCTGTTTTAAGAATGGAAGCTCAGGACCGCATGATGCAGCCTGTTGAACGGCCCATGCCAGCCATCTCCAAAGTATGTGAATTCTGGTTGGCTGCCAAAGACCATTGTGACGGCACACCATCCAGAGTAAAGTCCCGGGCGAGCCTTGTTCGCCAGCGCCTGACTTGGCGAGAAGAGGTTCAGGGCTCATGAGGTTTGCGCGGCCGGGAAAGCCGAAGTTCCTCAACTCCTGGCTCGCGCAGGCGACAACAGCAACTGCAGTTTGCCGAGACGTCCTACCTGGGATGGCTCACGCAGGCGATGCGTGGGAATGCAATTTCCAAGGCACCTGACCTCGAGTATCGAAGTGGTTGTCTTTTCAGGTTACCCATGGGTACCCTTTTTTAGGTTGGCTTAAAGCGGAACCAAAAGGCAGTCACAGTTTTTGGGTGTCCCCGTGTTTTGCCACATGCTCAAGTATTTTCTGGACAGTTGGAGGAGGCATCCACTTGCTGCTTCTAAGGCTCTTTGTCACGTTCCGAAGTTGTCTCATCACGATGTGGAGACATGAGGGCCTGCATATTTGCAGTGACATGATTACCCTTCAAAGTACTAGAACGGAACCTGAAAGAGAATCCCCCCCTTGTCGGACACGAGTTCAAGCCAGATTCTGATTACCCTTCCAAAAACGGGGCGCAGAACTTAAAAGAGGATGTCCCCCTTGTATGAGACTGGTTCAAATCAGATTCCTTCCAGATTCCATGGGTTTTGCCAATGTGTGCAGGTCAGAGAGGAGTACGCTGCTCGAGACAAAGCCGAAGTAGGCTCCTTCTTGGATGTCCATTTGGGAGTCAGGGACTTGGAATGTTATTTTAACGCCTCCGGCTCAGACCGCCGACATTGCAGGCCTGCTTTCTTATATGTGTCTCATTTTTCCTTTGGAATTATCCCATTGCAAGTTTTTCTTTGGAGTTTCCCTTTGGAACTTTTCCATTGGAGTTTTGCCTTTGGAATTTTCCCCGTGGAATTTGCCCTTTCTAATTTTCCCATTGGAATTCTCCCATTGAAATTGTCCCTTTGAGTTTTTTCCCTTTGGAATTCTTTCTTTGGATATTTTGAGTTTTCCCTTTGGTACTTTCCCATTGGACTTCTCCCATGTTCCCTGTGAGATTTTTCCCATTGGAATTATCCCGTTCGAATTCCCCATTGGAGGTGTCCCTTTGGAGTTTTCCCTTTGGACATGCCCCATTGGACGCCCTTAAAAGATACATTTTGCCCATTTGAAACATGGCTTTTCCACAAAAATAAAGGGAAACCACCATTTACATGTAAGGATCCCTGTTGGAAGTTTCCAATTTGCATTTTTTTACCCCATTGGACTTTTTCCTTTGGGGTTCTCCCATTTGAAGTCTCCCATTTGGAATTTGTCCCTTTGGAATTCTCTCATTGGAATTTTCCCATTGGGTGTTTTGCTTTGGAACTGTCCCAATGGAATTATCCCTTTGACATTATCCATTGGAATTCCCCCATTGGAACTTTCGCAATCGAAGTTTGTCTTTGCAGCTTTCCCATTGCATTGTCCCATTGGAACACTCCCTTTGAAATCATCTCATTGGACATTTTACATTGGATTTATCCCATTGACATTTTCCCATTGAACTTTTCCCTTTGGAGTTTCCATTTGGAATTTCCCCATTGGAAGTTTCCCTTTGGAATTTGCCCAATGGAATCATCCCATTGGAATTATCCCTTTAGGATTTTCTTATTTTGCCTTTTTTGGAGTTCTCTCCCATCAGAATTTTTCCCACTGGATTTTCCCATTGGAATTCTCCCTTTGGGATTTTCCGATTTAACTTTCCCTTTGGAGTTCTCCCCATCGGATTTTTTCCTTGAATGTTTTCCCTTCGGCATTTTCCCTTTGGACTTTTCCCCTTTGGAATTTTCTCTTTGTAAGTCTGATCGGCTTACAATCTTGAAAACTTAGTAGCTTGACTTGTTAACATTTTCATGCCTTCAAGTCTGAAACTAGCAATGGCTTGGAATCTTGAAATCTTAGCGGCTTCAAACCTTACAATCTTAATGGAGTTGCATCATAAGCTGTTAGTGGCTTAACGTGTCAACATCTTCATGGCTTAAAGTCTGAACATCTCAATGGTGTCAAATCTTTAAAACCTTAAGGGCTTCAAACCTTAGAATCTTCATGGCCTAAAATCTTATTGGCGTAACATCTAAAAGAACATCTTAAAGCCTTGGTGGCTTAACGTGTTAGCATTTTAATGGCCTAAAGTCTGAAAACTGTAATGGCTTACAATCTTGAAATCTTAATGGCTTCTAACCTTAGAACCTTAACAGGGTAAACTCTTGAAATCTTTGTATCTTAATCAAAGCTTAGACTCTTACTGGAGAAAACGCTTCAACTCTTGGTGGCTTCACGTGTTAACATCTTAGTGGCTACAAATCTTGTTTTTCTTGATGGCTTAACACATTGAACTCCTAGTGGCTTAACATCAAAACTATTCATGGATCAACATCTAAACAGGGTAACAACTGAACATCTTGGGTGCCACAAGACACGAATAGGGACCTTTCATTTGCTTAACATCAAAACTATTCATGGATCAACATCTAAACAGGGTAACAACTGAACATCTTGAGTGCCACAAGACACTAATAGGGACCTTTCATTTGACCCTCTGCGCCCCTTTTTCTCCACAATGCCATCCAGATCATGCCAGTGATGCTGGTAATGCTGGCGATGTTGCGCTGGAGCTGGAAAGTCTTGGGGAGAGGTAGGGGAGGGTAACAGGTAAAGAGGTCAGGAGCATGTCTTATGTCCAACACGCCGTTTGTTGTCGGCGGATTGGGTGTGTAATTCTTTAGGGGAACCTTGGCTTGTTTTGCTCCGTGCCCGGCAGAAAAAAAAAAAAAAAAAAAAAAAAAACATGACACCTATGGAGCTTGCACGGGCGGCCGAAGAAAGCTGGTTTTTGACTCGGGCGTCTCGCGTGGGGTCCAAAAAGTTGCGAGTGTCCAGAGTCAAACAACAACCTAGAGTTTGCATTTGAGACTGGGTCAGTTCTTTTCGCATCCCTGGGAGCCAAACCTGTTGAACAAACCAAGCTGGATATAGAAATTTTCCAGAAAAACATGAAATGGTCAGTTTCGGAACAGTCTGAAATTTCTCATTCCGGGGAGCCGGATGTAGCTGGAATCAGAAATTCCACAACATGCTGAAATTGTCCGAAAATTTCAGACGATTGTGTTGTTTGATTCCACTCAATCGGAATCAGAAAATACCAAGCTGGAATCAGATTTTCCAGAAACAAATCAGGCAATTCTGAAATTGTCTGACCCAGGAGATTCAATCAGATAACTTCATCCGGGAGTGAATCAGAAATTGTCAGAAAATTATGGAGCTGGACAATATCAAAAATTCTGAAATTTTCTGAATCCGGGGGCTGGATTCAGAAAGCTTCAGACAGTTGTGTGTTTTCTGATTCCGGGGGCTGGATTCAGAAAAACTCAGATTTTTCTGAAATGTTCGGATTGCGGGAGCTGAAATCAAAACTTTTGAATTCTTATTTTTTCCGGATTGCGGGCAGAATCAGACAATTTCAGTACATTCTCTGAGCCGTCTATGTTTCTTTGTTTGTTTCTTTTCTTCTTATCTTTCAGATCCATCCATCCATCCATCCATCCATCCATCCATCCATCCATCCATCCATCCATCCATCCATCCATCCATCCATCCATCCATCCATCCATCCATTTATCTAATTGTCTGTCTGTCTGTCTGTCTGTCTGTCTGTCTGTCTGTCTGTCTGTCTGTCTGTCTGTCTGTCTGTCTGTCTATCTATCTGTCAAATATATCTCATCGATTTAACCTATCTAATCTGGATATCTATATAAGGTATCTATCCATCTATCCAATCTATGCATCCGATCTATCTAATCCATCTAACCTACCTCATATATTTATCCCATCCCACCTATCTAATCTACACAACCTATCTAAGCTATCTAACCTATCTAATCTATATCTGTCTTTCGGTTTGCTTCCTGTCTATCTCCTTCTATCAATCTATTTGCCTATGTATCTATCTGTCTATTTATCTATCTAGCTATCGATCAATCTATCTATCTATTTGTCCATCTAGTCTATCTATCTATCTATCTGGGAGTCGTTCTAAAGGTCCTTGTAAGGAGTTTAGTATTCGGTGACCATCGGTGTTGGTTGAGGTAGCTCCGCGAAAGATTCGCGATGGAGTTGCGAAACTAACTGTTTTTCTCGCGAAAGTTTTGCGTAACTGCATCTGGTAAATCAATGATATGTGGAACCGTTCATCTTGTCTGCTGAGCCTTCCTTCTATTCTGATTAAAACACTTTGTTGATGTTGCGCTGATAAAGCCTGGTGAGGCTACAGTTTGATACCCTGCTTGGCTGGTTAGTGCTCCAAGCCTGTGTATGTGTGTCTGTGGGTGTTAGTCGGTGGCTTTCCGCTCTGAAACGTGGGTGATGTTTCGCGAAAGTTCCGCGAAAGATCCGCGAAAGCCCGCGCGAAAGCGCAGGCTTCGATTGCAAGGGTTCTAGTCAGTATACTAGGTTGGTACTGGAAAGCTGCGACTTCAAGCTGGAGCTGCACGGCGAATGAAAAGCTGCGACTTTCCAGCCGGCGCATGTCATGTACTACCCCTGTGATGAACAGTTGCGACTTTACAGCTGGAGTTGGGAACTCGTCATTTCGCTTACAACGCTGGCACTTAAAAGCTGCGATTCTCTGACTCGAGAAATGAAAAGAGCACGGCGATGAATCCGCGAAAGATTCGCAAAAGTAACTTTTTTATTCGCGAAGAATGGCCGTTTCGAGACAAAGGAATTTAGATCAACCACCAATCTATCTATCTATCTACCTAAATAACTGTCTAACTAATCGATCTATCTATCTAATCTAATCCAATCTAATCCAATCTAATCTAATCTAATCTAATCTATCTAATCTAATCTAATCTAATCTAATCTAATCTAATCTAATCTAATCTAATCTAATCTAACCTATCTATCTATCTATCTATCTATCTATCTAATGTATCTCAGCTATTCAAATATCTAATCTGGATATCTATCTATCTATCTATCTATCTAAGCTATCTATCCATCTATCCAATCTGTGCATCCAATCTATCTATCTAATCTATCTAACCTACCTAATCTATCTCCTATACCTAATATATTTATCCCATCCCACCTATCTAATCTATGTAAGCTATCTAATCTATGTCTCTCTCTCTATCTGTATGTTCTTTCGGTTTTCTTCCGGTGTATCTCCTATCAATCAATCTATCTATCTGTGCATCTATCTGCCGAGCCTCTGGAAGTCTGCTGCAAAGAGACCTTGGCAACCACCGAGTACAGCCCTGGGTCCCAAATAACATTTGCGCAGCTGAGCATACCTTATCTTGATTGCTGTTGGGTTGGATCTTCAGACTTTGAAATTTTAATGGAAAGCAAGTTAGTGTTCATTGAGCCCACAAAAAGTTAAACTTTTGCAGACGGGTCAACAGCTTGTTGTCAGTGGGGGATTCGACCATGTACCAACCATGTTTTCGGTACATGCTTGGCGATAACTTAATGCTGGCGCACGGGAAGGGCAACTCCCAATCTCTGTAGGGTTGCCTTTTAGTACCGAGCACAATGCGGTTTGCCCCACTGCTCCGTAAGTGGGGGCTGGTCTCTCCCAAATGGCTGCATGTAATAGGTTTTTCTTTGAAGGTGTCCCTTTCCCCCACCTCATCCTGATTTTTTCCGCAGACGGAAGAGGTGTAATGTTGGACCTTGTTTATTGTGGGGGCCCCCCCTTCCCCTCCCCCCCTCAATTCAGACTACCGATATTAAACCAGGTGCAACATTAGTTGAACTCCGCACGCACTTTGGCACCGGCCCCCGGCCCTGGCCATCCGCGCAAAAAATTGGGCGAGGCGCGCCGGCGTCGCCCAGCCCATCTCTGCAGGAGTTGGAGGCCGGCTGCCGGCTTGACAGTTTCTAGGCTTCTAGTAGTGCCCTTTCTCACCCCTTCTTTTGGGGGAGGGTTCGCCTAGTAAAATAGAGTACAGCAAAAAGGGTACCCTTATTCTAACCTCTCTGCTGGAGGACCTAGGTTTTCGTCATGGCTGGTGGTTGCAGCGTTTGCTTTCAACCAGAGCCTACTTAACGGCCCGACACAGCCCGTTGGTGCCCCGTGCAGATTTCAACTAGCCACATTGCTTGAGCCAAGAGCTACTGAGCCTGAAGCTTCTGCTATGTTTCTTTTGATTTCCCTCTTTTGTGCCTGGTCTCTTTGGCCCCTCTCTCCATCCATGTATGGCGCCTTGTGCCCATACCCTGGGCTTTTGCTCCATGCTTGAGCCGTTTCGTTTCTCACTTCTCGAGTTCCTGGATTCCCAACTTTTCGGAAAGACAAGCTTAGCGGCAAAGAACAAGTTCCTGGACTGTTTTTTGGCCAGTCCACTCAGGAAGTGAGTATCCTCAGGTACCCACCAGTTGATGGTTTGGTTTGGACTCGGAATTGATTTGAAGCTGTAGAGGCTAAATGGGTCTTGCCTTCATACCTTTCTGGCCAGCCACTCAAGTGAGAACGGTGGTTTATTTTCGCTTTACTTGCTGGTGCGATAGGTAGGGAATGAGGGAATGAACCGCTTGGGATTCCCTGAAAGGAAACCACCTCGGGGTGATTCCAACTCATTCCCTGTCCATCGCACCGATCGCAAGTAAAGGGAAACCAAGCCGAAAGGAGGACTCTCAAAGGAAACCATAGGCCTGGATTTTTTTTTTTTCCTTCCGTTTCTCATTCGATTTTTCTTTTTTCCGAAGCCAAATGGTTTTGATTCGCCCCTCAGGCCACCTGCACCGCCTTCCTGCAGCGGCCGCTGTCCAGGAGTTTGGCCGGGCCGGCGAGGCGCGGGCAAGCTCCCGAAGTTTCCTTTCTCCGCACAAGCAAAAGCCCGCGATTTTCTTGCTGCTCAGGGAATGAGTTGGAGTGACCCCTTTTTTCACTCCAACTGGTGGTTTCCTTTTTCAGGGGCTCAAGCCTGGGTTCCTTCCACCACCTTGTTTTGCTTCCCGCACCAAGTGGTGGTCCGGCCACCTTCCGGGTATTTCAAAAGGACCCAGGGAAAACGTGAAGACGAGCCCGGCACACCGAACGGAGCCACGCGGAGCCGCAGGTGCGGCAGCGCGGTGAGCCGCTCCAGCGGTCTGAGCTACACGCTGGCGCCGAGGCCCGCCACCATCGCCGGCACCAGCGAGGTGCAGGTGGGGTCGGGGGGTCGATTTGGCCGAGCCGAGGGGGGGGGGGTGGATGGGGGCGGAATTGGGGCCCTTTTCTGCAACTTTGTGGTCTTCTTGGGGTTGAGTTGCGGGAGATTGGCCGAGGCGAGGGATTCGGGAGCCGAAGGGGGGTGGAGTTGGTTGCCTTTTGTTTGGGAGTGCTCTTGGGGTTGATTTTTGCGGGAGATGGTATTCTTTTTGGGAGTCTGTGGGGATTTTGTTTGGGTCGCCGATTTGAAGTTCACTCCCCAAATGACTTGTAGGGAGCCGGGCGAAGCCAGTGCAGCTGGTAGGGTTGGTTCCGGTTTTGAGACGTAGCCCGATCCGCAATACCGCTGGTGGTTGGACCGACAACACCTCACGAGCATAGGTGTCCTTTTTGGGTTGGTTTGGTTAGAAATAGATGGCACTGGTTTAGACTTATTTTCTTCCATGTACCAGGGCCATCTGTTTTTTCACAAGGACACCTATGATCAGGAGATGCCTGCCTTGAGATAGGATGGGATTAGGTGTGGACTCGAACCCTCAATCCGGGGCATGTTTTCCTCATGGAACTATACCCTTCAAGGGTTCTCCCGACGTTCCCACAGGGGGCAGGGTATCACTTCTGTGCCCCTGGCGCCCTTAAGGCGGAGGAGGTCTTTGGCAGCCCCCGTCTCTCGCCAGGGCTTCTTATTGTTCATGGTTGTTGTTGGGACACCTTTCCCATTTTTGCTTATTGTGGTTTAGTGGTTCAACTCCAACCACTTCACTGCCAAGAATAACGATTTTTTGCTGCCGTGCCCTTCCAACGACCAAGCCTTCGCCCACTTCGAGTGACGGGTTTGTCCTGAGGTGGACACCCTGGACGGCGTGGAGCCCTCCCAGGCCGAGATTGAGGAGGAGGTGGAGCGGCTGGCAGGCGACGGTTCCTTTTCGCGTGGAGCTGTGGACCTGGGAGCGCGAGTTGTTCGGTTGTGATTATCGTGGTCATTGTTATTAGTGTAGTCTGTTTTCTTGTTATTATCAGAGTCATTCACATGTTTTGTCATTCATGTAATTATTTATTGTTGTTGTCAAGCAACAGTTCCGTGGTTTCCCAATGTTTATGGGTTTATCCCCCAGCTGAAAGAAGGGGACCTCGGGGTTGGGCGGTGCAAGACATCTTGCGGACATGTTGTTTGGCAGGGCCCAAGGATTTCTCCAGCTTTGGCTGCGACACATTCCGTGCAAAACAAAGGTCAAAAGGCAAGTTGTCTGTTGCATGCAGGCGGTGGATCAGGCAACTTCAGATGCTGGCGGAGCTTTGGATCCACAAGATGCTGCCCTGCACATGCAGAGCCAAGAATCCGGTTCCATGTTGTCATGATCTTGGAGCAGAAACGACGGCTGACTGCAAGTGTTTGGTAGTACCTGGGTGGTCGCACATTTTCCAACCAAGACACTTGCAACAAGACACATATAATAATTCTACAGCAGGATGTCACGGCAACCTTCAAAGGGGTGTGGCATGAGCGTGTTTCGGCAATTCATCACTGCAGCCTCCACGGCTCCGTGGGCGCATGCCAATATGCTTCACGCTGGGTTTGGGAGGATTTCATGTCAGACCAGATCTCATCAAAAGAGCCGAAGCTCCATGAAATGAGTCATGCACTGCGCACTCTTCCTCGGTCCCAATTTTTGGTGGTCGTGTTTCCGTGTTCCCCGTGTTGCCCCCCCTCCCCCGTTCCCCCCCCACCCCGTCCCAGCTCTTTGTGGTCATGTTTCCATGTTCTCCCCGTTCCCCCCCCTCCCCTCCCTCCCCCCTCCCCTCCCTCCCCCCTCCCCTCCCTCCCCCCTCCTTACCCCCCCCCCTTTCCCGTTTCGTCCGGTGAAAATCGGCGAGATCGATCCCGCCATTGCCAGGTCGGTCCTGGGAGGTCTGCAGCATCCTGCGCCCGCCGCTGTCCTCCGCGGGAGGCTCAACGGAAAGGAACGCTTCCTGAGTAGGTGAGATCAGTTGGGAGATTTGGATTGGTGGCTTAGATGAAATGGTGAGGTCAGTTGGATTGGTGGCTTAGATGAAATGGTGAGGTCAGTTGGATTGGTGGCTTGGATTTGGTACCACTTAGTCGGTAGATTTGGATTGGTGGCTTGGATTTGGTACCACTTAGTCGGTAGATTTGGATTGGTGGCTTGGATTTGGTACTACTTAGTTGATAGATTTGGATTGGCTTGAATTTGGATTTGGACTTGAACTGGCTTTTGTAGAGGACTGGGAAACTGCTAGGCTCCAAACCAGCAATTTGGGGGAAGCTGAAATGGGGGAAGCTCTCAAACTCGGGACCCCCTGTTTTTTTGGGTTTTCAATGGAAAGTGGAACCACCGGCCATGGAACACACAGAACTGCAGAAACCCCGGTGAGCCAGCCCAAAGCGAGAAGCCAGCCTTAAAGCTGCAGCCCAGAACCGATTCTAGACCTCATAGCTTGCAGCTGGGGAAAAACCACATGGTTGTAATCTAGGAAACTATTCAATGTGTCGAACTTTTTCCCGGAACAATGAAATCCGCTTTCCTGTGGATGTTCCCTTTGGACTACAATGTTTGAAGGGTACCCTCAACCCCACCGCCCAAACAAGCACAAAAACAAAGTGGCCTCTTGAATGTCAAAGTCGGTTGCGGAGTGATAGCGCCTGCGCCTTGGAGAAGGATACCCCAAAGGCCCCACGAACTCATCCGCTGAAAGGGAGCCACTCCTAAGTATTTTGTGGATTGATTGGAGTTTGACATTTCCGGGCTGACATATGGGATGCCAGAGTTGATTGGTCATATTGTGCTGCGCGTTTTTTTCATCCGCATTTGGGGGTGTTCCCTGAATGGATCTGCCATTTGATGGGGATGAGTAACCCCCAAGTCGAGCCCGACACTCAGCTACGGTGTAGGGGATGTGGGTTGAGAGAAGGGAGAAACAGCGGAAGTTGTGTCGCTCTGAGTGACTGGAGATGAGTTGGACCCAACGAGTTAGACCCAAACTCACCAGGAAATGGTGAATTTGGGAGGTACAGGTTCGCAAGAAAACTGGCCAAAGCATGACGTTTCCCCGAGGCCGCACATGTTCACAGCTCACATCGGGAAGGAGCATAGCTCAGGGCCAAACTTCACTGGCTATTTGTTTGACCCTCATTCCTTTCAGGGCTTTGCCCCTTATCAAAGCAACAACTTGGGGATGTGTCAAAGATCCCGGGCCAAATTTGGGGCGAGGAGACAGAACATGGAAGGCATTTGCAGAGGTGTCCCGGTTTTATTTGTGGTGGTCAGGGGCTTTCAGGTTCCAGGCGTCAGCATTCAAGTGTAGGGTTCCAATTTATGTATGCCGGTGGTGGTGGTGGGAGGGGTACAAGGAACACTTCTCCCACGTTGTCCATGGGCCAAGGCCGGCCAAGGCGTGTGCTAAGCAGTAAATATGGGGAGGGCGCTGAGAGAATCGGAGGTGTACTAATCCTACGTAATCCGCTTGTTTCAAGTGTTTCTTTGCTTGTTCAGCCGGGCTGGGCCCGGAGCTGCCCGGAAGTGCAAGAATCTTGGAAAAAACCACCCCCCAAGAAAATAACTCTAAGAACAACGAGGTTTTTTCAAGAAAGCTCTAGGAACAGCGAAGTGTCTTAGGGAGCCGCAAAAAGGAAGCGAGGTATACCTCAGTTGACCTAGGCTGAACAGCTGGGCGTTTCGGTGCCGAGGCTGCAGACCTGGAAGCGGTGGAGGGCCAGATTCAGGAGGCTCGTGCTGGAAAGAAACAAAACGCAGTGACTCGCTCGGACTCGGTCGCTCTGACTAGGTCCCAAAGTGGTGCCCTTTGAACCTTTGAATCTTTTCTGGGGGAGGGCTCCCCTACTAAAATAGACTACAGGAGAAAGAAACGGCACCCCTATTTTAACCTCTTTAGTGGAGGACCTAGCTGAGGTTTAGCGGGTGGGCTGAAGCCCTTGGTGGCTTGTGAAGCAAGCTGGCGATGGGTGAGTTACGTCTGGATGGTGAGGCGTCAAGCAGAGTGGACCATCATAGCGTTCAGTGTCTTGTGCGCGGAATGCAGTAGGTCAGCAAAGGGCGCTTGGTTGTTTTCCGAGGATGGCCACGCGCCTTTCAATTTTTATTCCGGCAATCGTTTAAGCAACCCAGAGACAGGGCAATTCCGCAAAGTCGTAAAAGCTGACCAACCCTCAGTCAAAAATTGGACACAGTTTCCTCTGGTTTCCCATTTCAGGGTTGCCATTTTACGATCGGAGTTTCAGAGAAGCCCAACGGCTTGACTGCTAGGTTGGATCTTTAGCCTTTTGAGGAACATGTACGTTTTCCCACTAGCCAACAAGAAGCAAAGGGGCCAGTGAAGCAAGCAAGCAAGCCAGCCAGCCAGCCAACCAGCAAGCAAGCAAGCAAGCAAGCCAGCAAGCAAGCAAGCAAGCAAGCATGCCAGCAAGGACCATGCCAGCAAGGACCATGCCAGCAAGCCAGCACGCGCACTCACTCACGCAGGGGGGCCTGCCGGCGCGCCGGCACGCCGGCGCGCAAGCCAGCCAACAAGCGAGCAATCCAGCGAGCAAAGTAGAGTATTTGGCCAGGGCTCCTTAAAAGATACATTTTGCAACCATTTGAAACATGGCTTTTTCAACACCAAAATGAAGGGACACCACCGTTTTTACAAGGCAATGTTCAGGTGTTTTTCATGTAAGGATCCTTGTCCCAGGCAACAGCCAGCAGTGGGTTTCCCTCGTCACCTGCTGCGTGAGGGCCTCACCTTCATCACGGAGTCCCTGCCCAGATTGGCCGCGGAACTGGGCCAGGCACGGTGACATGCCAGCAGCTCCCCGCCCCAAACGGGCGCGTCTTTTGTTTTTTGCGAGGGTCCCTTCTTTTTTTTTTTTGGGGGGGGGGGTTGGTTTAAAGGGAAATCACAGGAACGCCGCCATTTTCGGGATCCGCCAGTTTAAGGCGACACCATATTTATTTGAGAACATACACTCCGGGTTTGGGGTGATCTAACTCATGGCAGATATTGGGTTGCTACGACCTGCTCATGTTGCTGGACATGTGTCGCATGATTCAGGAACTTTGGGTTTCCAAAGTTCCAAGCGAGAAAGCGTGAAACTGTGCACTCTGCACACTGTCCCAAAGGGATGCGTTGGGTTCTCCGCCAATTTGTAATGTGTTCTCGAATTCCGTTGCAAGTGTCAGCAAGAAAGTCTTTGGATGTGGGGGGCGTGCCAAGAAAGTGATCAGAGCAGGGGCATGTAATCTGAGGGCTGCCGCTTTGAACACATCTTAGATTGATACAATTTTAGACTTGTTTTTTCCGGGATACGGATGTTGCCGACGAAAAGCTCACCTTGGAGAACGCTGAACCACCATTAGTATTTGGACACTCGAACCATGTCGCCTTTTCGCATCCCCAGCATCACCAGCAGGCCCTCTTTTGCCGGGTACATGCGCCAGGCTCCCACTGAGGATCTAGTGATTCTAATGATCGGTTTACAAGTATTTGTTTGATAATGACTTGCCACTTCCCGCGCGCCTCCCTTTTTGGCAAGAAGGGGTTGGCCAAAGGTCCTCCCTCCAAGCCTGGCAGCCAACCACAAACTATAATCAACTGCGAATTTGCGGGGCCCTTGACCCACTGCTGGGTACATCTCCTTACAACCGCACCAGAGGCGCCTCGACTTGCCTAGCTCGGCTCTTGGATGCTCAAGGGCGCCAAAACCAAAGGATACATTTGAGAAGACCTGTTCCACCAGGTGACCACGCAATATCTGTAAGCCATGAGCACTAGCTCCCTCCGACACGGCGCAGCTGCTTGCGACTCCTTTCTGCTGCTGCTGCTGCTGCTGCTGCTGCTGCTGCTGCTGCTGCTGCTGCTGCTGCTGCCTTGCTGCTCCCCAACAAATTTGCATGGCATCCAACAAGGTTACGTGTTGATATCGAACTGGGAGAGCGCAACAACTCAGCACAGAAGCTCGCTGTGTGCCGAAGTCTTAGCTCTTGCGTCGCTCCGTGAGGCAAAACTTGGCCTTTGTCTGCGCGTTACGCTCCTCGCTTGTCCAAAGCGGATCCACCTTTGAATTTGACCTGTTGGTTTTCCTATTTTGGTTTACTTTTTGTCATGGGCCCAAAAGGTTAACCTTTTATTTCCAGGGCCTTTGGGCAAGTAAGACTCAGGAAAGTTGCACGTGCAAAGGCGCAAAAACTCGAGCAGCCTTTCAAGTGAGGACCCCTCGCAATCGTTTGGACACTTCGGGGCACAAACGCATCTAACTGCCACCTGTCAATGCACTGCGCACCTGTCAGCGGGCGTGGGACTGTTATGCCCGTGGACCCGTTGCGTGGCTTGCATGCCCGGAAGCAGCCTGAACCGGAAACACGTGCAGCAGTCAGAAGGTAGCTCCCATCCGGAGCTCCCAACTTTGCTGGCAAGAGTGTAGTGGCCACGGAAACCAATCAGCAAACATTGGTCAACCAACCAACCAAGCAACCAAGCAACCAACCAATCAAGCAACCAAGCAACCAAGCAACCAACCAATCAAGCAACCAAGCAACCAAGCAACCAACCAGTCAAGCAACCAAGCAACCAAGCAACCAACCAATCAAGCAACCAAGCAACAATCCAACCAACCAGCCAGCCAGCCAGCCACCCACCCCACCAACCACCCAGCCAACCAACCGGTGTCGCGTGAAAAGCCGCAGCTTCGCTCCAGGCCATGCTGGGCGCCAGCTTCCAGGGGCTCCTGGCGCGGGGCGCGGTGTCTGCCCCGGGCCACGCCGGCCGCCCGGGGCCCCAGGACTCGACTCGTCGACTCGTCGAGTGGCGCGTGGCGCGGAAATCGCTGAGGTTTGTTGGGTTGGAGCCCGGGTCGTTCTTGGGGTCGATTTCTGCAGAGGAAACAACCCGGTTCTTTTTGGGTCTTTTTCTTTTTGGGTCGATTTCTTCTTGTCGGTTTCTAAAGAGGAAGAAAACCCTGCTGTTTGCCAGCAGCCGACTTCTCGAAGCAAGGGCAGCGAAAGAAAGAAAGAGGACGGCTTGAAGAAACCTCATGAGAGCGCCCACCTGCCCCCCACCCAACAGGTACACAAAGCCGTGTGTGATCAAACCCTTGCGGGTTGAAGGCATGGTCATCAACCTGTGGGCCTAGGGAGCTTACTTGGATCTTCAACCCACTTGGTAACTCCATGGTAAGCCATCCCCAGAAACAAAGGCATAGCCGCGAGAACTTATAAACCTACATGTGGGTATGGGTCCAAGTCAAACCACCAGGAATTGGACCCGCAGGTTTGGTCCATGTTTCCACTTACCAGGGCAAGCCATGTTGGATAACTATTTTTGGCCCACACGCAAGGCAAGGGACATCAAGAGCGAGAGAGAGAGAGAGAGAGAGGCGAGCGCTTATCCTCGGACGCTCTGGGCGCGGGCAGTGAGGCCGGGTTTCTTTTTGGGTGCTTTGAAGGCGTCGGCTTTTGGTTTCGCTTCGGATTCGGGGCATCGATTTTGCTTAGGAAACAGAAGACCCATATGTCATGGACTAACATGTATTCATGCGTGCACTTCGCAGTTTCAGGTCATGGATCTAAACGCCATGAATCCGGACACCAACGTGAAGTTGTTGAATGACAAAGTCGTTTTGACCCTTGTACAGCATTGTGAGAGAAGCGGTGAGCCACACTGAGGTAGAGGAAAATGGCGATCTTCCAAGCCCAATCTTCCTAACAATGACCTGGAAGTCACTTGCATCGCTGGAAGGATGACTGCCGTTCCATGTGGAACATGTCAAGGATATATTGGCAGGCATTTGGATGAGCTGGCAGCCCTTTCCTTGATTCTGTCGAATTCTGCTGAGCCATGCTTTTGTACAGTTTGTTTGATTTATTGTTTGTTTGTTTGTTTTATTTGCTTTCTTTGCTTGTCTGTTTGTTTTTAGCGAGTTTGCTTGCACGCTGGCTCGCTTGTTTGCCTGTTTGCTTGCTTGCTTGCTTGCTTGCTTGCTTGCTTGCTTGCTTGCTTGCTTGCTTGCTTGCTTGCTTGCTTGCTTGCTTGCTTGCTTGCATTCTTGTTTGTTTGTGTGTTTTCCTGTTCCCTGCCTGCCTGGCTGCCTGCCTGGCTGCCTAGCCTGGCTGCCTGCCTGTCTGTGTTTCTGTCTCTTTGTTTGCCGGTTGGTCGATTGGTCGGTCAGTTGGTTGGTTGCCGTTATTTTTTTGGTGACCAACTTAACTTACTCGTAGTCCACTCTTAGTTTGGGAACCCCGAATTGCCAACCCAGAAGAACGGTACCCAACATAAGGCAACAACAAAGTCCCATCTGGGAAGCAACGAATACCCCCTCCTCGTTGGTAGTTTTAAGAGGAAAACACACACTTTGAGCCCGTATGGGTATGTGCCAAAATAGGGGGCCTCCCAAATTGGCGGTTGTTGATTTGTTTTCCTTTAAACCAACTCCAGAAAAGGTACCTTGAAAAGACACATCCGCACGGAGTCTTTTAACTGTGCTTGACAATTTGCATGGGGTGATCTGAATTGGGGATCCTTTGGTGGACATCGTTGGGGAGGTTTGTGGCCACCGACCATCTCGGAGCCTTCTTTCTGTGTTTTTGCAGTCTAGCCGTTTCAGGTGGTTTTGAAATCACAAGGAATATCGGTCCGTCCTCCAAAAAACCCGGGAGGACCGGTCCTCCATATTTTTTGCAGCGGGCATTCGACTCGGAAGACCTGGGCTGAGGTGAGCAAGCTGGTGCTTGCAGCCGAGCAGCTCATTGGTCTGCTGAGAGCCGGGGCCAAAGAAGCGCCTCCGATTTTCCAGCTTCGCAGCTTCTCCCTAATGATGATTTGTTGGGGAAAGTTACCCAACCCCATGTGTATGTTTGGAAGGGACATGTTGACCCCATATCAATCAACCCCGGTGTTTTTGGCCCCTCCAAGAGTGGTCTGATTCCCCACTCAACCCAGGGACAAACCCCGTGTTTTTAAGCTGGGGTTGAAACATATGGGGTCAACATGTTGGTTTGGACCCAGAGCCCTGAAGGAGGGGCCTCCTATTTTCCCTCCACAAGATCTGCTTCAAATCCAAATCCAAACCACCGAGCTCCAAACCACCAACTAGAGGGAAGCTGACTCTTGGGGGAGTTCTGTTTCTAGCCGAAAACGATCAGGGCTCCCTTTCAGAATACCCAGCCGAAGGCGGTCCCCGCGATTTGTTGCCATGAGTTTTGAAAGGAAGGCTCAACGGGCCGAACAACAGTTGTCCCGTGCGTGCTCGCAGGAACACACTGCATTGATAGGTGGCGGCCTCCTTTACTTAGGGTTGGTAGGGATGGTCGTGAAGTTCTTATGCAAAGGTTTTAGACAACCAATGTAAAGGTTCCTATGAAAGACACCATGACCCACAATTTGGAGTTTTGACCCTGGAACGCATGGCTTCTTTAAAAGCTTGCCGAGATTGGTGTCTTCATATTGAGCTTAGTGCCAATTTGCAATATTTGGGGGACCAAGATAGGAGTCAATTTTCTGCGCATGAGCGGGCCGAATAGCGTTGTTTGTTGAGCCTTGGGCCGGTGATGTGCGCAGCCGCGTTTTTTCAAATGCGACTTGGGCAGTTCTGGAAAACACGCGCACCACACCCCAACCTTGTCAGGTCAAGATTGAAGACGACGCCGACTTGGTGCTCCCGCCTTTGTCCTTGATCCTGGGTTCTGCTGACAGTTGGAGGATTTTGGCATGGGCTTTGCTTGCGGCGGACCAGGGCCCTCATTTCAGGCCCCTTTGCTCTACCGTCCTTCTGGGTTGCCGCCCCCCGGAGCCAAAGTCCCCTTTGGGTTGCAAAGCCAAGCTGCAGGGTGGCGAAGTCCGGCGGGGGAGTGATCTCCGATGCGACTTCCAGGAAAGCACCTCAGCCATAGCCTTCGAATCGACCCATGAGTATGCTGTGACATTGTCCGTACACAGCAAAGAACTGCGGAATATCGGTGTGTGTGTGTGTGTGTGTGATTCCCAATGTTCTTGATACAGCTGTGTCAGAACATCACGTGTAAGCCCGCTAACAATGCATCATCCTGCGAATTTTGTTTTGCCTTTTGGTTCGCACATGATGAACTGTCAATGTTTGCCGCTATACACGGTATCAAAAGAGATGACAGGGCAGACGAGACCCAACATGCCACTAGGAAATGGAGGTTACTCACCACAACTCAATGGCATTGGAGAACAATGTTCCTGATTCTGCTCAACGTGCCTTCCAACCAGTATGCAAGTGCAGCTTTGTTGTCCACATGAGCTGTATAGTCTAAGTCTAATTATGGTCCATTTGAAGCAGAAGGGATCTGGGTTGTCCTTGTTTTGGACGGCGCCCGTTTCTGGCTTTGAAGGGACTCCCCTTTGGGGGCCCATTTTTTGGGGTCCCTCTTTCAATCCACATCCATTCAAAGTGTTTTCGTTTGTCTCGGCTGAGGGGAGGTCTCCTTTGGTTGGTTTTCCGCTTGCAGGTGGTGTGTCCATCGGTTGGATGGATTTGAATTGGAAGGATGCGGCAAGAGGGCATTTGGACATACCCCCTCCATTGGTTCAAGCACCTGTGCCCGGAAAATTCGCGTATTTCCCTCCGAACCAGCCCTCAACGGTGAACCATGTTCTATGCCACGGGGCAAGAACCAGGTGCACCACTCACCGAACAACCTTCGTCCCTTGAAAAAAACACCCTGTTTTTGAACCAGAAGTGACTCAAAGCACGGTTGAAGCCAGGAACATCGAACCACCGCCCCACCCCCACAGCCACTCGCCTCACTCGCGTAGCACTGGGCCTCGTTCAAAACGACGCCAGGCGCTGGCGCGCACGGTGCTGGAGGACTCCAGCCGCTTCTTCGCCGACCTGGAGCTGTGCGCCAAGCTTGGGGCCCCCAGGGCGATGCCGTCCCAACGCGGGGAACGTGCGCGTTGACGGGGCGGAGGAGGTGAGGCCGCTGGCTCAAAACCAATGTGTTGGTGAAGGTTAGGGCCAGTCCCAGCCGGAGTTATAGGTGCGGGATTCCGGCCTTCTACTTCTTGACATGGTTCTGGGTTCACCATTTTTGTACTAGGCTTTTGATTGTGACTCAGATGAGGTCACAATCAACGGGAAAAGTTCACCCCATATGAGTCAACCCCGGTTTGTGAATAGGGGGGTGGGCCCCCGCGTTCCAAAAGTGGTCTGATTCCCCACATTTCACCCGGGGACATCCCCTATTCATAAGCTGGGGTTCAGTACTATGGGGTTGTAAGGGACAATCTCCTTGCCACGGGTGCGGGGTTTCCGCCGTTTGAATTCTTTGCCTGGTTCTGTAGACCATTTTAATTACCGGGGTTTTGAGGCCGACATTTGATTTTTGCCGTGTGGAGAATCTCTCATTGCCAAAAACATTGCGAAGAGTTCTTCTGCTGGATGTCTTACACTAGCTGGCATCGTCAACTTGTATAAGTCATATCGCACAGATGAGCTTCGATGGAGAACTTGCACAGACAACTTGTGTAGAGAACTTGCATACACGACTTGCATAGAACAAGTGCAGAGAAGGTGCCTAGAGAAACTTTGCACAGGAAACTTGTGTAGGGAAACTTGCATCGAGGGCTTGCATCCAGAGCTTGCACACGAGAAACCTGCACAGACAAATTACTTCGATAAACTTGCATAGAGAGCCGGAACTTGCAATGCTAATGCATCGACACAGTTGCATAGATAATTTGCACAGAGCGACTTACGTAGATAAATTGCGGAGAGAGGGCTTGCATAGAGAACTTGCATGGAGGTCTTGAATTGAGAGCTCGCCTCGGGAAACTGAAGTACAGAGCTTGGACAGGGAGCATATATAAAGAGCTCGCAAGGAGCATGTAGCAGACTTGCACAGAGATCTTGCATTGAGAGCGGCATCGAGAAGTTTACCTAGAGAACAAACACGCAGAGAACGTGCATGGCGAACTTGCGCGGAGCAACTTGTGTAGATCTAGGGATTTTCCTATTGCACCCTGGGATCGCACCCTAGGGAGACTACCCAAAATAATCCCCAAGTAAACCAACATAGCCTAGGTCTTATCTGGAAATCTCGATCGGCTGATCTTCTAGAGGGCGTGATCCCAGGGTAGGAAACTTGGAGAGAACTTGAGCCAAACGTCAGGTTTTGTTCGCGCAAATGTAGCAGGTTGGTTAGGCCGGTATGGCTTGTGCACGTGTATAGAGGCATACAAGGCGTATGTTATGACGTCCACCAAATTCTTTTCAAAGCGCATGGGTTTTGCAGACGTGGAACACCAATGCCTGGGACTAGACAAAAGCAATAAGTTTGTGTCAAGGCAGGCCATCACAACTGCTCGACCTGTTTTATTGGTTCACAGGTTAACTTGTCTTGGCATCTCTATTCCATCCTGTGGCTGTTCCCTTGAGCACGTGCATGGTTGACGAACTGTTGACACAATAGGAACTCTTTCCTTTCCTAGGCATCAAATTGCATATATCCGTCCGAGGTGGCGCAAAGTCTCGACATGGGAGCTCTTTGAAGAGGTCAACGACTGATTCTCCAGCTTGCGGATGTGTGATCCAAATCTACAGAATTGGCCAGGGCCCCTTTGAGACAGGCGCTGTGTCGAAGCAGTTGCGCGAGATCCATTTCCTGCAAGCGAGTTGTAGTGTAGTGGTCTCACGGGGTTTGCATAAAGCGTGCTGCCCGGAAAAAGGAGCGCGACTTCACATGTGGCAATGCACAGCAAATGCAAAGCAAAGCTGCCCTGCAGGTAGCGTCGGTGCTGAAAGCCGCGCAAGCACTGTCGCACTACCAGGCCAGTCTTCATGAGATCCCGAGTCATTTTTTTTCACTTACCACAACTACAACACCATTTCAAGACATAACCTAATCTAAAATACCATACCGGGAACATTTAAACCATTTCTAACACACGCCATGAAAAAGAGAGAGAAGAAAAACAGGTTTTATCATCGTGATTCAGAAGCTTAACCGGGGAAGGCCCCCTATCCTGCTGGTTCTCAGATAATCAATATTGGTGTTGGGAATGAGCCCGAGGATTCCCCTCAACAACAATCCAGAAATGGTAAAGCTCAAGCGCTTTGCCTTTCAGCCCATCGATGGCAGGGCGGCCATGCGCGGCACGTGATGCAAGATCCGGCAGTGACGGAGGCGGAGGTGGGGCTCCCGGCCGAACGGACGACCGTTTTCGGGGTCAAGAGATGGCCGCGGTTGCTGCCAAAGGTGACATGGCTCTGAAGGGCTTGGGGAACACTCTCCAAAATCCCCCATGGGAGATACATCCCCATGCAAATGATGCGCACCCAAAGGTTGCGCACCAAAGGCTGCGCACGCAAAGGCGCACCCAAGGCTGCGCACCAAAGGCTGCGCACCACTGAGAAAGAGGACCAGGACAGGGCCCAAAGACGGCTCAAGCTTTCGTCAGCTTTGCAGAGGTGGGTTGCAGTCCCGAGCATGACATGAGCTTTATTGGAGGGCCTGGGAAGGCTAAAGCTTTCCTTTTGGGGCACTGTCCTCTTCCATGTTGGAACGGGGGTGATCAGTCAGGGTTTGCCTTTGCGAGGGTTTGGGTTGTTGCCCGTGCAAAACGTGAAGAATAGGACAATCATGAGAAAGATGCACTATGAATTAGATGGAGGATACCCTTATCTCAGTATAGGACACGTATTGGATGCCGCCCTTCCATATCGGGTGTCTCAAGTCTCAAGCGCGAACGGGAAGCAACCAGAAAAGCAGGAAAATACACCCGCTTGCAGAATGGGACACTTCCACTGGGCAAAACATCAGCTTCTCCCTGAGGCCATTGATTATCGTCTTCATGATATGCGGCCTCAGCGGCCGAAATGTGCGGTAGCCCATCAACGCTGTGGATCGATTGCTTCCAGGGTTTGCATAAGGTCTTGTACACCACCGACATTCCGCAAATCTTCCGAAGGATTCCATGCATAGGAGGCGCACTGGCCAGTCTCGGACTGAGGGGTATCCATGGTACCCGAGGCTGGCCTGCCGGCCCCATCCCAAAAGCTTGTTGGTGCTGGGTTCCGCATTTTGGGACTACCCCAAGGTGGACTTAAACCCAAAAGTTTTCCCTTTTGGGGAAATCAACCACATCTGGGTTGAAGTTGACTTTGGGGTAGTCAAAAAACGAAACCCTCTGTTGGTGCGTGTCCGGGTGTTGGGAATGAGTTGCGGTTTTGGGGGATTCCAACTGGGGCTTCCGATAGGCGGGGGGTTGTCTCGGGGTCATTGCTGATCGGTGCGCCGGGCTTGCGCCCTTTAGGTTGAACCCCCCGAACGTGGCCTCGGGTTTCGCCTTCACTCCCAAAACACACCCAAAAGGGGCCACCACAAAAAATCAGGCACCCTTGGACAAGCATGTGTTTTGTTTTCCTCTTTTTTGGGGGGGGGGAACAAGTTCGGGACCACCTGGGAACTGGCTGGGGGTGAATTTATCCCTCATTTCCAGTGGGGTGAATTTGCCGCGCTGAGATGCGTATGGCCGTGGCCCGGGCTGGATCACGAGCAAAGTGGGGGTCGGCCATGGCTGGGATGACGTAGGGACAGGCGCGGATCGGGCGCGGAGCGGGCCGAATGGATTGAGCCGAATGGAGGAGGGCGATTGGAGGGTGGAAACGAAGGGTGGGGTTGGTGGAAACGGATTGAAAAGCTGGGGATTGGATATCGGTGATTGGAGGGTACTTGGATATTGGTGATTGGAGGGTACTTGACAGGGACCCCGAAGCTAGGGATTGGTTGGATATTGGTACTAACTTCGGGTTGCTTAAAAGGGACGCCCGCAAATCATTTTGGGGTTCTCCTTGGAGACAAACCCCTTTGAGCAACTGCCAATTCGCAGGTAGATGTAGTCAACCAAGGGTTTATGAAAATCTGGGGTTGACATGAGGAAACAAGTAATATGGTCAGCACCTATATTGGTTTTGGGGTCCCTGATTTCCGGTCTGACAGGGGTCAAATTGTCAGGAAAGCTCCCCGTGCTAGCCCCTCGCCCAAAGGCTCAATCGAAGGGCTCTTCTTCAACTCTGGCCCTCTGGAATGGGAGCGCAAAGCTCGGATCCATGGCCCAAAGCGAGTCTTGGTTTCGAGTGCAGCGATGTTGAAGCGAGCAGAAGTAAAATGCCACCACTGTAAATACGAATCTTTCCAGATGGAAATCATGACCGTTTCCCGGCAAGTTGGGCTGCGACCCCGCAAGCCGCACTGACAGAGAGAGCCGGACGCGCGCTTTTTCCGCAGGCCGAGTTGCTGACTCGCCACTCAACCGACTGACTGTGGATCCCTTCGATGACACGCCGTGAGCTTAGGATGTCTGCCATGCACATTTTGACTCGAGGCATGACCTGGTTTTCAAACTGATTCAGATCATGGCAAAGAGCCCAGTTCGGCATATTTTCACCTAAAGCTTAGTTGGGGTTTGGACGGCGGTTTGAGGATGTGAACCCCTGGTTCTTGCAGGTACAGGGGAACCCTCTCCTATCCAAACCAGCAACTGGGGGGCATGTTGTAGGGAGTTTGTTGGTAGTGATTCTGATTTGTGGACCCTGCGTGACAAATGGGAACCTATAGTTAAAGAATAGGAGGGCGACGTCTTATTTAAGAGGGGTATTTTTTGACTTTTACGGGAGAGACACCCCCTATACAATCTGCTGATTAATCCGGGATCAACATGAGTCGAAGGTCAACCAGGGCTTGGCTGGTTGGCCGTTGCTCGATCCTTCCGCTCGATCCAGGCCGCACTTCTCCACCCGCCAGGGCAAGAAATTTGTGCGGCCCCTAGTGCGCTGGTTATGAGACTTGGCTTGGTGCTTAGGGCACAGCTTCTCGGGAGAGGTTTAACCCTTGCAAGTTTCTGCGGAAGCGGACCTGATGGCAGTTGAGACCATCCTATCACTCGGTAAAAAATACAAATTATGGGTTCCAGCATCGGAAGTATTGTCACGGACACCCCAGACGCAAGGCTGTGGCATGAACACACCGAGGTCTCGAAAACCAAATGGAATCCTCGAAAGAGCGGCTCGCAGTAGATGTACATACGGCCCTGAAACTCTGCAGATTTGCGCATGGAACCCTCAAACAACCTTCAGAGTCTGAATGAGGCAAGTTCGTAGAGTTTGTGATTTGCAGAGATGGCGATCTGATCTCACTGCTGCGGGTCTCAAAAATGGCGTCAGATCCCTTCTCGCGTCGTCGTTCGCGAGCAGGATTTGTCGCATCCTATTGGTTGGTATGGTGGACAAATAGACGGGATAACAGGGGATGGGTATGGCAAAGCTGGTTGTTATCAGAATACTCACAGATCGCTTCAAGTTGCCAAAAGCCCGGCAATTCACAAGCCCTGTTCGCAAGATCCCCGCAGGAGAGCAATTGTAAGCAGGATCAACGTCTTGGTTGCCTGGATCTTGACACCATCTCATCTAAAACATGATCACTTGGAAAACATCGCGGGTTTCTGCCGCTTTCCGTGAGGCTTTGAGACTCATCAACCCCCCCGTAAGTGACACAGTCACATGGACCACTTGAAGCATTGAAACTTATTTCCCATGGCCCCACGGACCGGCTTCGCGAATGTCGGTCGTTGTACCGAGCCAGCCGGTCACCTGGTTCCACGCGCGTTTTTGGATGTGTCGCTGATGGTTGGGGCGGAAGGCCTCGCAGATCAGCAGGCGTTTGTGACAACATATGGCTGTGGTGGTCAAAACCGTTTTGGGATCTCATTTTGGGGTAGGTGCACCACCCATTTTGGTCAGGAATTTAGTGGGGATTGGGATGTTCACTGCAATTACGGGATTTTGGCCATATGTAAGTTGGCGGTTTTTGAGCCGTCCGGACTAGGTTTCGAGATGTGTTTAGTTGGGGGGAGTGCGGGTTTCCACTTGACCCGCTAAAAACAACTCTTGTCAGAGGATCTGAGGACGGCCAGGCAACAACACCCGCGGGTTTCAACGCTTCATGCCGCCATAAGAAATACTGGCCTCAATGGTTCTCCTTGTTTGCAGCAGCGGTTTTTCTGGTCGCAATATGAAGTGGTGGCCAGGCTGAGTGGATGAATGATGGGTGGATGAGTAGATGGGTGGACCCGGCTGGATGGGATGGATGGGATGTTCAGCTGGTTGGCCGGGATGTGCTTGGCTGCTTGGCAGCTTTCGGCTGGCCGGATGGGTGTGTTGAGTGGAAGGTTGGGTGAAGGTGCGGTCTGTTTGCAGCTCTCTTTGGCAGTCTTTGCCCCTTCCGAATCGGATCTGTGATAACAAAAAAAAAGAAAAAGAAGAAACAGCTGTCTGGAGCGGCGTTCCTGGCCTGCCAACTGCCAACTTCAGTCACACTCATTTCCTGGCTTGAAGAATTCAGCGGAAAGGGCGAGCCGTCTCTATTTTTCAAAGGCCTGGGTTGCCGGACATTCTACAGGAAAGCAGCTTGTTCGCGGTGTTTTGGGGCCATGTCCTGTAGATTTTTCCGTAACCCAACCTGGACGGATTCAACCATGGAGACTTGAGAGTTGATGCTGACGCAGCGTTGTGACATGGCCTCGCTTTGAGCGCAAACGGTGCCAGCACATGGAGGAGCACGCAAGTGGAGAAAACTTTGTTTGCGGGTAGGCCATGTACAAGAGTCGCAACCAGAGAGGCATCTCGACATTTTCCAGAAAATCCAGAACCAGCAAAGCCAGAGAGAAGCCTGAAAGGTCAGAGGAACCAGAGCCAGAAACTCAAAGGCTCCAGAAACACCAGAAAAAACAACAGAACAGAACAAACAAGACATCAACAGAAAGAAACAGAAGAACCAGAAAAGCCAGACAGCAGAACAACAACCCGAAACATAGAACTGGAGGAACTAGAGGAATCCTCTGGGCGTCCATGACGTGCCTTGGGCTGAATGGACATTTCGGACGCGGACGAGCTCCCGCCCTCCCCAGAGTTTGGGCAGCTCCAGGCGTGGGTTTGGGTGGGCCTAGGTGAGAGACCCTGACGCAGGGTCCCCCAGCAATTGGTGCCCTTTCTCTCCCCTTTTTTGGTTGGGAGGGCTCAAACCTACTAAAATAGACTACAGAAAAAAAGTTGGTACCCTTATTCCAAGCTCTCTACTGGAGGACCTAGCTGAATCGACCGCCAGTCAAAACCGGCTTATTCACTACATTTCTCTTTTGGGGAGGTGGGGGGGGTTGTCTAAGACCTACTTCAAGGGGCGATCGATTTTCGGTACGTCAGGAAAGCGGGCAACCATGGTGAGAGAACCCACAAAAGCCATGTGTTTTTTGGTCTCTGGAGGTCGCGAGGCCTACTAACCACTTCATTACGGAAGAAGTACGCTGCCCCGTTAAGCACAAGTTACCCTCCTTCCCACGAGCTTGGCAACTGACAGGGGGTCCCTTCAAAAGGAAATTTATCTTCCAGGTACCTCCCACAGGTGCCATGTTAGTTGGAGGAAGGGTTCCCTTTGGCCCACGTTGCCACGCAACCCACCAGAGAAGTGGTCTCTCTTAGACGAAACTGGTCTTCAGGAGCCCCCAGTCAGATTCCATGCTCGCAAGCGGGAGGGCAACGTGGAACCCAAACAAGGCCCCCCCCCAAAAGCATCGAGTTTCTTCATGTGAGTTTTTTTGGGTCTATTCCTGTTATCACAATTTCCAATCTATGGGTATGCGAACTGATTTAATCACCTTTGGCTTCTATACAAAAAGCGAACGCTACCGTGGTATCTGGCGAACGCGTCAACGAGTTTGTGAAACCATGAGATGGGCAAGGGTCAAAAGCAAGCCGCTAGGATATGGCCACAGGTTTTGGTCCTTTCCATTTATGGCAACCCATTTTGGGGTTGCTGTTGACCCCGTATTAGTCCACCCCAGTTTATTTGTATCGGTGTTCCCTCCAAAAGTGATGATTCCCCACTACACCCAGGGACACCCTCTAGCAATATATACTGGGTTGATGAATACTGTGGATGGACGGAATCCTGCACCACTTTGAAACCATGGAAAGCCATTGTTTCTTGGTATGGGGAATCATCTTAGCGTTTCTTAGGTGGTGCGAGATGGATTTCGTCCATCCACAGTACGGGGTCAACATTCCAATATGGGCGTGGCTCAAAATTAAATAGGAGGGGCAAACCGCAGGTTGGTCCATGTTTCCACTTGCCAGGGTTCCATTTCTTGATTGCTATTGGGTTGCATCTTTAGGCTTTAACTTTTTGGGGTTTCCATTAAACCCACAAAAAAGTTATTCGCAATTTTTTGCAGAGGGGTCAACAGCATCTAAGATTTTAGAACCGGTTTTTTCAGCCACAGCCATATGTTTGACAGATGGGCCGTCGGCCCCCCACCGTATGGTGGACACTCGGGGTCTATTTTGCAACTTGATTCTTTTAGGGTATTGTTTTTTTGGGGTTCTTGGTTGCAAAATAGACTCTCGGCGTCCATGGCAGTTGCCCCCGCCCCCCTCCCCCGGCGGTCTGGAGGTGACTGTGACGCCTCCCGAAGGGCCTGACGGCGGTCAGCCGCTCGAGCCGACTCTGCCGACCCCGGAGTTCGGTGAGTCCGAAAAGCTAAAGGCGGGCGAAGCCTAGGGCATTGGAACACGGCGCCTGTTTTTGCTTTTTTTGGTTTATGTTGTTTTTTCTTCTTCCCATTTTATTGTCCGGGGTTGTCTTTGGGTTTGGGAGATGTTGGGTTGTTTCATTGTTATTGTTGTTGAGGAGTTGACGGCCAGAAGTGGACAGGGAACCGTTGGCTTTTGGGTTTGGCGAACTTAGAAAATAATGGCAACCTTTTCAGCTTTCCGAATCAAAACCAGCCAAAGATTTGTTCGTCGAAAGAAGCTCGGGTTTCCGATCCAAAGGACGGCCAGGCTTCGTCTTTCGCCTGTTTTTGTTGGGCGGTGACCCGCGAAGCGCAGGTGGCAGAAGCAACCAAAGCCGTTGCTGAATCTCCAAAGTTTCTTGGCGGCTCCCAGCAATCCCCTTGGCGTTTTTTTAGCCTTGTAGTGTTTAGTGGTGGTTTCCATTTTTTTTTGAATAAAACTCCACTAAAAGTTATACTTTGTTTTATACCTCCACTAACAGCGGGGGATCTCAGGGCGGCCCAGGTTTGGGTCTGCCACTCCAGCGTCTCCCACCTTTGGCGAGCCAGACTCGCCAGAGGCGCCAGCAGCGCCGGAGGCAGTGCCTCTGGCAGCGCCGCGGGAGCAGGCGGGGCTTGGGGAAACGGTTCAACACGGGCCCTCTGCTGCAAAGGGAAGCCAGCAGCAGTTGAACATAGTCTACTTTCAATTTATGTGTGCGCGATTTTTTTTCTTTGATGCTTTTGTTTGGGGTTGGTCTTTTTTTTGGCACAATTCTGGAGTTGCCCCTGTTTTGGCACGTAGCCATACAGTCTTGCCCGAAGCAAGCAGTTGGCCCACAGGTGACCATACCATCCACCCCGGACTTCGGCAGCGCAGATGAGCGCAACTCTGTTGCCCAGTGGTGCCCTGTTTTCCTTTTTTTGGGTAAGGGTTCCCCTTTTAACTCAACCAATCAAAAAAGCTTTGCCCTTCCCCTTAGCGGGGCGGCCTGATTTTTGGCTTCGGCCGAAATGTGGGCTCCACTCACTCCAATTGGGGGGGGTCTTGAGCAATGTGGCGGAACCAACCAAAAAAGCCTCCGTTTGCTTAAGAATATGTTTTTATTTTCCCTTGTTGGTTTTAGAAGGAAGTCATCACCACTGAAAATTGTTTTATTTTTTCCTGGGGCCTTAACCGAATGGAAGAGAAAAGGGTGCCCTTTTCTCCCATGGAAATCCCCTGGGCATCTGAGGCAAGAGCAGCACCGCCAGCAGCCCACAGGGCTCCAGCTGCTCCAATAGCCCGGATGCCGGGCGCGGGAAGCGGCTGTCCGTGGACACTTTGGTGCATTTTGCTTGGATGTTGGGACTTCAACTTTTTGCCAACTAATGGTTTTTCCGTTAAACCACTCAATTTCAAACTTTTAGCAGGGGAGCAGATTTCGCAACCAAGGACATGCTGCTGCCGTCGCCGGCCTCGCCCAACGAGCGCAGGGAGAAGGCGAGGTTCGACTTTGCGGAGGAGGTGCCGGACTTGGTGAAGCAGAACAAGGAGCTGATGCAGGAATGCCTGGCCCTCCGACTCGAGAAGAAGAAGGATGAGCAGATGCTGAGCTGGTACTACGAGGAGTATGAGGAGTACGAGGAATTCATGGATGAACAGAGTCGACAGAGGCGGGCTGAGAGGGATCTTCAAGGCTTTTTTCCAAAATGAGAGACACACTCTAGTGACATGGGCCAGATCTGCTGCTCGTTTGGAGCATGTTTGTAGATCCCCCCACCCTTTTTCGCTTGCAGGGCCCCAACAACCCCTGCATTTGGCAATGCGCCAAATGCTTGTCGCAACCGTTTTGTCGGGCGGGGAGGATCCAATCTCTGCCAAAAAAAAATGAAGAGGGATGTGAGATCGGCGCATGAGCCTTGCTCAAACTGAGGGCCCTCGTTTGATGGGTTTGCAAGAAGCCAACAATATGGATGGCGCTCCTCACTGAATCACAGCGACTTTCGTGTGTGCGTTTCAACGGGCCGAATCACGTACATCTACGGCTTGGAGTAGTCAAGGACTACTTTCCCGGTACACAACAAATCTAACATATTTCCGTTTCAGTTTCGACCAATACCTCTGGTTGGTTTGTGAACTCCCGATCAGCAAACGCTGGATAGTAGTAATTAGTTTCGATAGACGTCTGCAATGCGAGTGCCATTCTACCAACTCAGGAAAATCTCAGTGTCACAGCGTCACATTTTGACCACGGCTGGGGGAGAAAACTGCCAGTGGCGTCGTTGTGTTGGAAAACATCACCCAAATCGAGCAACATAAAACAAAGCGGAAGCAGCCCAGAAGCAAATTCTTGCTTAAATAATGACAGCAAGATGGTTTCACGAAGACAATCATCAAAGCAAAATCGAGAGGTCACGTGAACCGGAGGCCGCGACTCGTCGAGATGGAGGAACTGGCGCAGGAGCACGCGGAAGTGCGGAAGAGGCGCGGGAGGTTGGGAGTTGGGCGTTGGTGGGGAGGTTGGGGTATGGTGGACACTTCAGGTCAAGCAACCTCCTCCTTCTTTTGTGGAGGTGTGGCTTTTATCCGGCAGATCAATATCAAAGCAAAGCCTGAACAACTCCAAGACCAACCAGTTCAAATCCGTCCCCCCAAAGTGGGGTCTCTGAGAAGCCGTACTTTGGACCACGCCCGGAGACGTCGAGTCTCAGAAGCCTGGACACGTCTCAGGCTTCAAGCGCAGCTGCAGGAGCAGAGTGTCCAAGTCTTGGACGATCAGGTTAAGGAGGCCAGCCGAGCCGCCCGGGGTTTCGCCCGGGTTTCGCCTTCCGTTCGAAACTCGACCTCGGACACTCGACATGAAGCCCCAAAAGCTGCGGTTTTGCCGGGGTTTAAGCATCAACTTGTTGGCCCTGCTTTTTTGGTGATTCCACCAGGGTCATGGATTAAGGATATTCTTTGAGACATGCAAAGATTAGCGAGTGAGCTCCATTGGAGCACTAAACCCGCAGACAAGTCAAAGAGTCCGCCAGTCTCTCCCTTTGTGACGGTCACGAGGGCCGATTTTTGGGTGCGAAAGTCGGACATCTGAATCCTGTGCAGCTGTGCTTCATAATTATTTGATTCTCCGTACTGAGTTGCGAGCTTGTAATTGCATTGAGGAAACATCAAGACAATTCCACTGAACACAAGCTGCCCACAAGCTGCCGTCACTGTTTCTTTTTTGCGGCACCTTGCCGCTATGGGAGCCCGAGTACACACATGGACTCAGGAGCAGGGTACATTTTAAGTGGATGAATATGATTTGCTCCCAGCACCTTCCACGGGTCTACCGGACTATCGGTCTACCGGGAAGGTTGATGATGCAGTGGTTGTATCCCGCAGGTTTTGGCCCTTAAAAGCGGTTTGGTGCTGGAAACTGTCCAATGGCTTGCCGCACTGCTTTGGGTTTCGCTCCGGGGCTTGGCGAAGGAGGGGATGGGTCCCATTTTTGTTTTGCCCACTGTGGGTCTCAGGGAGCGCAAGGACAGATTTGCACCGGCTGAGAAAAATGGCTCAAGATGCGCGGCGCGTGTTGTTCCTTTTTATTTTTATTTTTGTCTCAGTTGCTTTGCGCTTTCGGAGCCAACCGAAGCTCTCCCAAGCCAGACCAGATGAATCGCCCAAATGTTTGTTTGTGTGTGTGTTTTTTGGGGGTACCCTTTTTAGCTTGGATTAGGTTTTTCATCCCCCTATTTGGACAAACAGGGAACCACCTCCAATGTGGCTGGTGGACATGAATCCCCATCTGAATGATGTCAATCACAGGGTCCCCCATCAAAATTCACCCCCAAATTGGGTTGTGTCACACTAGGGGTACCCCCAAAACTTTGGTACATTTTGCTTGGCTGTTAGGACTTTAACTTTTTGCCAACTCATGGGGTTTCCACTAAACCACTGAACGTTAAACTTTTAGCAGGGGAGCAGAAAGTAACCGAGAAAAGAAAATGTGGTCTTCCTTTTGGTTTCCTTTGGATCCCGGAGGCTCGCCAGCGTCAGCAGCTGCAGCAGGAGGCTCGTCGGCCTTGGTGTGTGTCGAACTGGGAGTTTGAACCCCTATGGCTGGATTGTCCATTTCCCTTTACAACTCGAAAAAGGCACCAAGTCAAAAAAAAGCAGCAACACAAACACATACACACACACACACCCTCAAATGGGTGGATGTCCGTTTCCCTTTACCACCACCCAACACGAAGAGAACCCACACCCTTCAAGCTCAAGTTGGAGCCAGCCTCAGATCCGGGATTGTGACTCAACCTGGCCGCCGGCCTCTTTGCCGGGATGGTTTCACCCAAGACCAGCCGTGAGTCGAGGGAATCATCCGCACAGACTCGCGGATACCAAGAAGGCCAATTTGGACTGGCGCACCTCCCATGACTTGATGTATGGGTCTCCCACCCTTTCCGGCAGAACAGCCCCAAGAATTCTTCTGGAAGATGCTGACAAGGCTATCTCAAACGGGCTCAGATGCAGGAACCTTGCCCTTTGGTGTTGTTGTTTTCTCATAGCCCGGTTTTGAAAGGGATACGCTCTGAGGGGCCGGTAAAACTCGTTACCTGACATTGTTCATCCAGGCCCCCACAGCCATGTTGGTGGGAGGTACGTTGCTCAGACACCCAGTGGTGCCCTTCTTTCCTTGTTTTCCGGAAAGGGCCTCCCTTTAAAATCAATCCGCAGAAAAAGAACTGGACGCTGATCCCTTTTTTCCTATGAAATTCCGTTGGGCTTCTGAGGTTCCAGCTTGGTACGCGCGTTTCTCCCTTCTCTTCTCCACATCTACTGGGACTTATGCCATTCGCCCTCCCATTGTAAGCCTTAGCCGGACTTGTTGTGGACTCCACGGCGCAGCGTATACTGTCCGAGTAGCATCGCGCTACTCCATACCGTAGCCTGCATTGCAAGCCTTAAAACAAGACTGGCCAGAACCAAAGATCTGGGGGCCCATTGGAGGACCCAATAGACCGCCGCCTTTATTTTTGTTCTCCTTGTAAGCCTTAAAACAGAACCAAAGACCCCAACCCACAACCCCCCACAACCCCCCCCCCAACCCCCCCACAACCCCCCACAACCCCCCCCCACAACCCCCCCCCCCCCCAACCAACCCGCCCAGGACCGCCGCCTTTTTGTTTCCTCCCCGCCGGAGAAAAAACCTGCGCCAACGAGGAGGCGCTGACCAGCACCCTGCGCCTGGAGAACGACGACCTGGCGGCGGAGCTCCGGGATCTCCAGGCATCCAGCTGGCGCGGCGGTAAATTGGAGCGCCTTGCGATGTCCAACCCAAGTGGCTGTGGCTCAAAAAAGTGGACTTCCAAAATGGCACGCCCTGGCAAATGGAACCAAAGGCTAAAACCCGCGGTTTGCCCCAGCTCTTTAATTTTGAGCCACGCCCAAGTGTAAATTGAGGGTTCCTTGTGGTTCCAAACTTGAAGCTTCGGTCCCTCAAAATTTAGATTGAGGGTTGCTTTTACTTCCAAATTTAAGGGGGGGGGGCTTTTTTTTTGGTTTCCCTTTGAAGCCACTCAGCAGGTTTCATTTATCCCCCAAGCCACTCAGCAGCTACACCGGAATCCAGCAACTTGGTTCCTTAAACAGCAGCTTGGTGCAGCCTTTCCAAATTTTGGTTCCCTTTGGTTTCCTTTGGGTTCCTATTTGGGAACCTTTGGGTTCAAATTTAGGGGGGTGCAAATTGCAAAGCAGGGGTTTTCAACCCAAAGGGGGGTTCCGGTTCCACTTTTGGCTTCCAACCCGGATCTTTTCCCCTAAGCTTTTGTTCAAAGCTTTGGAAGTTCTTCGCACTTCAGAAGTTGCAAAGTGCGATAAGTGTCAGTTTTCTTTGGCTTCGTCCTGAGAGAAGCCATCCCGTTTTGGACTCCAAATGGTTGGATCTTTTGAACACGATTCTGGACATGTTTGTTTTGTTTTATACTTTAGTGGGAAATTATGTGTTTTTAATAATACTCTGACTCGGACTTTGTTTGGATATTTTCCCTTTGACCTTAAGCGATGTTGACTTGGATGCTCAATATCATAGTAATAATTTTCTCTTGGGGAAGCCACGTTTCCCCACTCAACAGCAAGTGAACACTTCTTGCACAGCGGTTTTTGGCACAGTGTCTGTTTTTGCGGTTGGTGCCGTGTGGTACCCCTGTTTGTTATGCCGGCTTTTTCAGGGAGGTTCAAGGGAAAATTGTTCTTGTCGGTTTTTGGAAGCTCTCGGAGAGTTTGATTTGGGCCATTCGGGGTCGGAGGTATCCAGGGAGATGTTGGGAGGCGAAAGGACGGTGCCTACTCCGGTTATTTCGGGACAGGAGCGCCTGACGCAGCACACCAAAGCGGCGCAGCAGGCGGAGGAGCAAGGCGCGGTCTGCGTCCTTTGTCCTTTGTCATAACGTTTCTATTCTAACCCGCTGTTTACACATGGCTGTGGGTCAAAACCAATGGGATCCCATTTTGGGGTAGGTGCCCCACCCATTTTAGTCTATTTTAGTGGGGATTGGGATGCTCACCGGGGGTACGGGCTTTTGACCCATGGCCACATCATGCAAACCACCCTTGTAACCTCCTTTCTGTACCCCTTTCTTGTATCCTCATCCAAACCATCTACATATCATTCAAACCATGTTCCGCCATTTAGGTGTATCTATTTGAGGAGTTTTATAACGGGAAACCGAAAAGACAACCAAAGCCAGTCTGGAGGTCAAACCTTAAAACAGGCACCCCCTCAACAACCCGTCAAATCACCACTGTCCTTTTGCTGGAGTGAAGCCTACATCCGATCGACGCCAAGTTGCCTCGCAAAACTGAGTGAGCTGGTGCCAATGTGGATGCCTGCCTATTGACATTAATATATATATATATAGTGTATATATATATATAATAGACATACTATGCATATACATGCATGTGTCCTATACCTAGCCCACGTATCAGATTCTACAGATTTTGTGTGCCTGGTGTGTCTCTAAGCATCATGTTGCTTTGCTTCTAGCACGTTCGCTGCTGAAATGGGCGTGTTTTTTGAGGGTACCCTTTGGTTGAAAGGCACCTCTCTCCACCTGGCCAATTTTGCGAAACCCAGGCCCGTGCTCGTTAGGAAGGCAGTGAACGTTTCATAGTCTCAGGTTTCAACCAGTGGACTCCAAATGAATTTGTGCTGATCGATTCATCGATTCGGTCGAGGAGAAGATGAGAACACCTGGATTTCCGAATGAGAGCTTGTGCCGTCTTCTTGCACCAAGCTTCGTGAATCATGGTCATCCGCCCAGAGAACAGCATCCTTTCGGAGGAAAGATTCTGTATCCACTAGCTCAATTTATCCTTGAACATGAGGGGGTGTCTTAAAAAAAGCGACACCAAGCATGTTGGGTGTCCTTTTTTCCTTTCAAATGGGTCCCAAGTGAACAGGTTGCTGGGTGGTTTCCATTTATTCCATTTCGACGGTAATTTGAGTGTCACAAAACATGGACCCAGGGAAAACCACAAAAGGGTGGCCTCAATGCCCCCTGACCATAGGTGTCCTTGCTATTTTAGAAACAGATGGGTTCTGGTCTAGATTGGTACTGAGACGAACTCCTGCACCACCCAAGCCCTGGTTTTCTGAGGATTCCCCTGTACATGTTTCTTAGGTGCATATGTCACGTGGGCAGCCCATCTATTTCGAAGTCCTCTTTTAGGTTACGTTGGTTTTGAAATAGATTTTGTATTTCAGATTCAGGTCTTCTTTTAGCTTCTGCTTTAGATGTTTTGCACTTCCCATGTTCCCAAAATAGATGGGTTCTGGTTAATGTGTTTTTTTGGGTATTTCCCATGGGAAGCCCGATGGATTTCTTGCAGCAGTTCGGCTGGACCGGTGAGGTGCTGCCCTAGAGGCCTCCCTGCAGCAGGCGGTGGCCAAAACCCAGCGCGCCGAGGCGCGGAACGCCGGAGCCGAAGCGGAGCCGCGAGCTGGTTTTCCGGTTTTGGTCCGGTGCCTCCGTGTCACGCTGTGGTCAAAACCGTTTTGGGATCCCCGTTTTGGTTGGGATTAGTGAATTCGCCGCCCATTTGAGGCTTTATTTTAGTGGGGATTGGGATGTATACGGGATTTTGACCCATGGCCGTGTCCCTTTGTGGAGGACATCGGAACAAAGGTCGTGGAAACTGAATTCATCTAGTTGCGCCTGGAATTTGAGGCTACCCCTTTTGGGGGTTTGGGTTTCCGAGCCATGAATTAGGCAGTTTGAATGGACATCAACATCAAATTGCAACTTAAGGTTAAAGACTAGTGACCCCTGCAAGAGGAAAGCCATTGAAGGTGCCCGCATTTGAAGACACGATGATATATGATCCCTCTCATAAATCAAGGGAAGGAATTTTGATTGAACCGCTGAGGGTCTCATTACGAGCCAGGCTTCCTATCCGAACTTCACCCGAGAAAGATGATGGACGCGGACACGTCCTACCAAACAAGCGCGGTTCTTTTCTTCCAGAGGTCGAGGTCGCGAAATAGCACGTGGTTCTTGGGACCCACTCAGTTTAGATCAGCATTTGAAGTCTCAGGAAGTTCTTGAGACAAAAGAGTGGCCCAGTGGGACGATTTTTGCGATGGTTGAAGCGTGCAAGCTTCAGGTGGTGTAGCTTTGCCTCTTGACATGTGGCCACCTTGGCCGTGGCAGATGTTCTACCCACTTGGGTTGGCCAGTTGCCCCAGTTGCCCCAGTTGCAGCCACAGTTATTCCCCCCCGTTGTAACCATGGCTACGGTCTACTTCAGATGGGGCTCAAGGAGATTCAAGTTCTGCCTTGAGTTTGTATCAAAAATTGGGGGGGACCTCCTCCAAGCGCAAGTTTGGTGGCTTCCCAGTGAAGGATCGTCTCCAGGAAATGTCCAGGCAGTTGGTACTCCATGTGGGAGTTGATCAAACGGTCCGATGAACATGGGATGACCATTGGCTGGAAAGCCACCAAAAAGAGTCGAGCCTTCGACATGGGAACAGTTACCCATGGTCATGGCGACCTAAATGGAGTATTGATCAACCCCCCAGGTGCTGCTCCCTAATGCCCATGATTGGGGGGGTGTTCCCCCCAAAAGTGGTCTGAATGAATCCCCACTAAAAGGGGACACCTATGAATCAACCAGAAACAAGTCATTCATTGATAATTTGTTTGAGTTTCTGGTTACTTTGATAAAATAATGATTTTTGTTTATCACAACAATTTGATAGAAAATGAGTATTTTTTCCAGGCGCTGCCCCGCGAACGCCAGGCGGCGGCCTCGTCCGCGTCGCAGAAGGCGCAGCGAGCGGAGGCTCGCGCGGAGGCGGCGTGGGCTGCAGAGGCGGAGGCGGCGCAAGAGCAGGCGGGAAGGCCCTTGCGGCTTGCGGGTGGGTGGGTGGGGTGGGAGGGTGGGAGTTCGAGTTTTCATTGATGTGGTTTTTTGTTAGAAACGAGCGAGCGATTTTGATCACGCCCGGGGATCAGCTGAGATTTCAGGTGGCCGCAATCTAGACATTGTAGGCTATGTACTTCCATTTGTTCCGCTGGACTTCCTTCAAGCATCCCGGAACGGTCTGTTGGTTTTCACCGCAGGCTGTCTGACAAAGCATTGCCAGACTTCGCTCGCCTTTTTTGACTTTTTATCGCCTTTTCCTTCATGTTCCAACTCAACCAGCAGAAAGGCACCACTTTGTGTACAAGGTACAAGAGTCTAGGTCGGGCCCAGAAACTTGCTTGTTTTCAGCAGTTTTGTTTTCTCTCGGACTGCGCCCACCAGGGTTTCTTCAAATGGGGGGACCCCCAAATCTTTCGACTTGAACACCACTCACGTATTTTCAGAACCAACTGCGCGCTCTTTGACTCTTGGCTTTTGCCCTTGCTGACCGGCGTTTGGGGAACCCCACAGCCACACAAAAAGCAAAGTCAGAATCACCAACCAGCAACTTCGCTGGAGGGATGTGCTCGGAAGGCTCGCTCGCTCCATCTCCCGAGGACAGCAGTGCCACGCGTGAGGTGAAGAGTGCGATGGACGCCCTGGCAAGGCCCGGAGTCGCAAAGATCGGCGCCTGGAAAAGCGGAGTGTCTAGCGAGTGTCTCTTTCCATTGGCCGAAAAATGATTATTTTTCATTTTCCTCTGTTGGTTGTAAAAGTCAATCAATTTCACCATGGACACAATTTTCGCATTTTTGTCCAGGGGGCGAGAAGCAAATTGGAAGGGTGTGTCTTATGGGGCACTCCCACATTCAGATCAGCTGCACAACCCATACGCGAACCGGTCCACATCCTGTTGTTTGTTTTTTTTTTTGGGGGGGGGCTCGCTCGTTTTGTACCTACAACCAACAACCCAACAAGCAACAACCAACAATTAAGAACCAACAAGTCAGAGCCCACATATACGAACCAACAACCGCATTGTTTTTTTCACTGCTAAGCGCCTCCTGACCGAATTTTGTCCAAGTGGGTCGTTTTTTTTTATTCCCCCCCCCCCCCCCCGAAAAAACCGAACCACCGAACTCACCGAACAACCAAAAGCTCGTTGGGTCGAGCTCCGAGCCGCGAAGTCCGTGCCTCGTGCCTTGTGCCTGGAGGTCTCGGCAGGAGATGGAGGAGGTGACGGGAGTGGAGTGGCGCGCGGCGGAGGCCTTTGATCGTGTGGCGGACTTGTCGCGGGAGCTGAAGCAGGCGCCGGGGGAGAGGGGGGAGAGGGGGGAATGGGGGTGGGGGTGGGGTGGTTTTGGGCTGGGCTGGGTGGTTTTTGGGTGGGGGTTCAGGGGGTTGGGGTGGTTTCTGGGTGCTTCAGTGGGGAACTTCAGTGGGGGGTGGGGCTGTGGTGCGTTGTTTTGGTTCGATGTTGCCAAATTTGTGGGCTGCGCCCGCGGCTCAGTAAGCCTTCACAAGGTGCGCAGCTTGGATGCTTCTGAGGTATTGTGCGAAGTTGGTAATTATTTTCCGTGCTCCCCTACGCAACCCAATGCATTTCTTTCGTGGACTTGGTCTTACTGCAACCAGTTTTGGTATTTGGTTTGAGCTTCCAAGTGAGCGCTGGTGAGGAGTGGGCGTGGCAGCACCATGTGGGTTTGTTTTTCGTTTCAGGCTGCCCTTTTTGGGGCGGTTTTACAGGGGAAAACCCACCCACTTTGGACGCACACACGCATCCGTTTTGTACAAAAGGACATCGTCTAGGCCCCCATACGAATGTTGCTCATGTCCGCGAGCGCTACTCGGCTTTTGCCGTGGCCAGCTGAGCTCGGACATTTTGCCATCCGACCCATGGAGAAGGGTTACATGCATCGAGTTCTGAACTTTTGCCTTCAATACCGGCAAGGATGACTAAGAGGCCTGACTCGAGCTGAGGCAGAAATGGGTTTGTGCGTCAACATTGCTCTCCAAAATTGCATTCCCGATGTTGGCCTGCTTGCAAATATGGGTGTGTCTCAAAATAGGCCCCAAAGTTGGTGGTTTCCCTCTAGTTTCTCTTCAAACCAAGTCTACATGGGCACCCTCATCAAAAGACTCCCCCCCCCCCACATCTCAAAGGGGCAGCCCGTTGCCTTGACACCTTCTGGTGGGGTACCCTTCTGGCTATGAAGTCCCACCGAAATCTGAAAGGATCCATTCTCACAATACGCACATCGTGATGCACAATTCATGAAAGGGGGGTCTTCGCCCCCCACTTACTAGCTGCTTAGGTGATTCCCCAGCTTATGTCGAGCAGGTTGGGCAAAAGTTGTTTAACCAGCCAAGCCCTGGGTCGCATCGTTTGTAGGTAGCTTCCTTCGGGGGGAGCCCGTTTGTTGGGGCAAGCCGTGTTAATTTGGGGGAGTACCTTGAAATCAGACCCCGAAGCCTTTGAGAAGCAAGAGGAACTACTTCCCCCGGAGCTCTTCCAGTTCCCACGAAAAGACAACACAAAAGAAGTCATGGTCCAAAATGAGGGGTTTTTGCCTATGACCTAGATTGGTTGCATGTTTTTTTTAAAAAGAAAACAACCACATATATGTCCTATAGTTGTTTTTGGTTTGATCCTCCATCCCTGGAGTCTGCGGCAACCAGGCACAAGCCCTGGCAGACTCCGAGAGCCAGCGCCACAGCGCGCAGCTGGCGGCCTTGCGAGCCGACGCCCAGCGCCCTGGCAGACTCCGAGGGCTGCGCGTGCTGGGGGAGTCGAAATTTGGCTGTGGGCCAAAAATAGGTACCACAAAATGGCTTGCCCTGGTATATGACACCAAGGACTAAAACCTGCGGTCCATATCCTGGTGGTTTAATGTTGACCCATACCGATTTGAGTCCTACGCAACAAGGGGCACACAATTGAGGAGGAGAGCAAACGGAGAAAAACCAAACCAAGGAGTCTTGACCATGGCTCACTTCCATTCGCATGATTTCTTTGTTTCTTCCCGAATGTTGGTTTTAAAGGTCATTTCTCAGTACTGGACACAACCCCCATGTCCCAACGAGCGCCAAACGTCATCCCCCCAATTAACCGCAGCAAACACCGGTGAAAGACAAGCCAATATCAATATCTGCCAAGCGCGCGAGCAAGCTATCTAGGTCAAATCCAATGCCGTATGTACTTCAGGTAAGCGGGCAAGAACCAGACCTATAAGCCACATAAGTCTCCGTTCAGTGGATTATAACCAGGCACACCTTGCCGCTTACTAAGTGCACGATTGCCCCTTTGAGTAGTTGATCGATTGCTCCCAAGGAGCCATCGACCAGCCACAAGTACCGTTTTCGCCAGCAACTGAAGGCCTCGTTGCCAACCAACTGTTGCCAGCTGACTTGAACAAAACCATGTGTTTTTGGTTTAACTTGGAGGTTCCCAGCCATCGAGCTTTTTGGTTAGTGATGTTAGTGGTAGTTTCCATTTAGCCCAAAACGTTTAGCAGGGGATCTGAGAACAGCCCAGGTTTGCTCATATGACGAAATACGTTCCCCGCCCTGTTCCAAGATTTAGGCCCTTTTGTGATGTGATTTGGCAATGCATCATGGGGAGCCACCTTGAAGGTGGTACATCCATCCCGACCTAAACGGCGTCCACCAAAGGGTCTCCAACTCAGATTCACACCGATGTATGTGCACAATGCGTATTTCCAACTGGAATTAAATTGATGTGCTCAGTCTGGAGGATCCTTTCCCGGTTTTCGCGAACGTTCACCCATGAGCGTTTGGTTCGTTGCCACCTCACTTCGGTGTAGGCTTCACAGATCCAAGGGGTACCCTGGCTTGGGCCCAGCCCCGCGCGAACAGGGCAATTCTCGGCACGTGGCTCTGCGGCGCGGAAGCTGGTGCACTTTGAGCTTGTGAATGGCCATGTTTTTTGTTTTCTGGCATGAAGAGCTATTGATCAAGAGTTTTTACGGGACTTGCACTGTGACTGAGACGAAGGTTCACTATTTTCGGCCAGAAATGTTTCAACTGCATCTTACTGAGGGTCGGCGCTTACACCTTCCAAGATGAGAAGACAACCCGAACAGAAGAGGACACAAGCATGCTCACAGTGGAAGCCAGCACTGCAATTTGTCTCCCACATGCCCTGCAACTCGTCTCCCACAAGCCCTGCAAAGAAACACGGGCCCCCCAAAAGACTGGCGTCCTCAGAATCTGATGTTTTGGCAGGTTCGGGCCCGCCAAAATTTGGAGAGCACCTGCCACGAACCCGGCAAGCCCCTGAAACGGGCCTACATCCCCGATTGGGTTCTTCGCGTTTCAACCCACGCGACTATAAACTTTATTGGTCGCCGGCAAATCACCTTGAGCTTTCTTGGCGCCCTGTGGCTGCCGGTTTTTGTTTTTCCCGTCCAGCTTTCAGGGGTCATTTTTGTTTGTCAGTGGGGCTATTAACCTGGAGGGCAGACTTTGCATGATGGGCTTTCTCCTGGGAACGACCTCCCGCGCTGGAAAGTTTAGGATCTTGTTCTAAGTTTTTGGAAGATGAAGCAGAGGTTATTTTTAGGACCGTACTCTGGACTCTCCTTTTGAAGGACTCCATTTTGGGTAGTTCGCCCATCAGCGGAGTTCCTTTCTGAGCTGCAAATGATTTGTAGATTCCCCGAAAGCAAACGAACAGGGGGATGTACGACGTGTTCTCTTCTTTTCCAGTGCGCGCCCCAAACGAGCATTCATGGCTCAGGAGCCCAGAAAGCTTGCTAAACGGAGGGCACACATCCCTATAGTTGGGTCAACGTAGCAGATGCAGATGCCGTCCATGGACGAATCCCGCACCGTCTGGTAGGTGGTTCATCCCAGTTTGGTTCCATTCATTTCTGGTGCTACTACTGGACTTTTTCCACAGCAGTAGCACTCAGGGGTTGCTTTCAGGGAGGTCAGGGCTGAAAAAAGGGGGGGGGGGGGGGGTTCTCAATACACACCCTTGGTTTTTCTGGGGGGAATCAAAAGGAAACCACACTAAAATGGTATCCAATCCCAAAAGTGGAGGGGCCGTGCCCACATCTTGGTTTCTGAAAAGATCGGAGAAGCCCCCTTTTGGTTTTGCTTTAAAGGGAAACAACAAAAACACCAGCCATTTTAGGGACCTTCTTTCCAACCATGGAGGTGGACATCCTCCAAACAAGTATTTGTCAGTATCCATGCTTGGAGGCTTATGTATTTATTTATTTATTTAGTTATTTATTTATGTATGTATTGAGTTATTTATTTATTTATTTATTTATTTATTTATTTATTTATTATTTATTTATTTATGTATGTATGTTTTTTTGTTTACTTACTTATTTATTTATTTATTTATTTATTTATATGTATTATATGTATGTGTCTATATATATATATATTTCAGAAACACACTCTTAAACAAAAAAAGGACTGCGCCTCCGCCTCCAGCGCTCCCCCCTCCACCACTTCCGACTGATCCCGCTGTGCCGCGTTTCTCAGGGTGCAGATCGCGGCGGTGGAGCAGCAGGCGGCGGACCTGGCGGTGCGGCTGAAAGTCGCGAACTCCGAGTGGCCGCTGAGCGAAGTGCCGAAGTTCGTTTTTTTTTTGGGGGGGGGAGGGGAGGGGGAGGGGAGGGGAGGGGGAGGGGGAGGGGAGGGGAGGGGAGGGGGAGGGGAGGGAAAGGGAGATGGGGGGAGGGGCAGGCAGAAAGGCACGGTGGGGGGGGGGGGGGGAAAATTGGTATGAGGGTTTGCGTTTGGATGGGGGGATAATTCTCTGGGCCTCCTCCAAAAAATATCTCGGACAAATCTTAGGGCGGACGAAATAGGAGACCAGATCTGAGCATATATTTGTTTGTGCACCCCAGATGTGGGCCAGGGTAAGGGCAGCCAATGTATAGCGTGCCGTCGAATGATCCACATATATAGAGTTACTGTGTTCCAGGCAGAGTTCACCTAGTTAACATGGCCCTTTTGGCATACAGATCTTTTTGGGCATGTTACGGTATGTTGGCTTCGGAGCAAGCCCCAGTCTTGAGAATTCAATCCTCGGATAGTGAAGCTTGGGACAGTCCCAGCCATACGGGCGGGTGGGATATGTGCCGTCGTGGTTCTTGACATAGTTTTGGGAATATGCTTTGTTGCCAGGCTGCAGGTTTGTGACTGCGTTGTTTCCCAAATAAGTCAACTGCTGAAACCCAACAAGACACAGTGACCGTTCGAACCCCCCCCCTTACTGTAATGGAGATCGGATGGGAAACATTTGATGGGGTGTCTGGGGTCCTGCCTTCCGTTGAAACTAAAGGGGAAGACACTGAAGGCGTTGGATTTGCAGGTTTGGTATCGGATTTGTCTATTCATTCGTGAATGCGGAAAATTTGTGCATAAGCTACTTGCCCCACCAAAACCAGGGGACAAGTCCAATTCTTTCCTGCATCCGCAATTTGGACCCGTGGCTACGAGAGTGTTTCAAACTGGTATTCAGACCCCTTTTGGTGGAAAAATCAAAGGGAATCCCTGGCCGTTTTAGGAGCTGGGCCGAGTCCTATTTGGAGAGACCGGGCAAAAAGGTATGGCCGCCCCAGCTTGGATCTGGCTGAATGCCTGTTTTCGAGGCTCGGCCTTCGAATGGGACTCCAAAAGGAAGCCCAAACCCTTTTTTTGGGATTTGGGAGGTCCGATTCCTCAAATGAGACCAGCTTATTCCGTGTTTTTTTCTCCTTTCAAGATGGAAAAACCCGCGAGGAAGGATGCGCAGGCGCGGTTGGAGCTGGCCTCCGCTTGCAGATCCGCCACCTCGGATCAGAAGGACCCATTTTTTCGGTTTCGCCGGCAGGCAGGAACCCAGGATCTGGGTCAAAAGACCCATGGGACGTTCAAGATGTCCGTTTCATTTTGTTTGGTTTTATTGTGCTTTGCTTTGCGTGAATTTTTGTTAGTTGTGTCTTGAGTCAACGTCACATCGGGTTCATCTCAACGTTCTTGACCTTCCAAAACTTGCCAACCTTGACTGATTTCCGCCTGGAAGCCGTGTCAGAAAGGGCTTTCTGTAGTAGCGCACGATGTGGCTTCACAACACGACCCGCGTTGCCCACCGAAACTACTCTGAAGACTTTTGAAACAGCCGTTCAAAAGCGGACAATTACACAGGGGTGCATTCCCAACTTTCTTTTACACTTTTCCAGTGTGCGGCGCACCACCCTGACACTCTCGCCGCTAGGGAAGCGCGCGGGCAGGCGGTTGTGGCTCTTTTGTTCAGCGTTGGTGCAGCACTGATCATGCCAACAAAGCCCGTGAACAAGCGTTTGGTTTCCAACTTCGTCAGCCAGACAAAGGCCTGTCCACTTCCGAGTACAAGGACCCCCCGTATTGAAGTCAGCTTAGGGTTATGACCAGACGGGCTCAGACAGGAGAGGTTTTAGCGGAACAACAAAAAACTCAAAAAACAACTCAGAAACAACTCAGCCAAAAACCTCGACTGAAAACACAGACTCAAAAACAACACAAAAATACACAGCAGGAGACTCAAAAAAAACACAAGAAAAACACAGCAGGAGACTCAAACAAAACACAACAAAACACACAGCATGAGATTTGAGTTTTTTTTTGTTTTTTTTGAGTCTGTTTTGAGTATTTTTCGAGTTTGTTTTTTTTTGTGTGTGTGTTTTTGTGTTTTCTGCGGTTGTTTTGCATTTTGCCCCTCACCCACCCCCGACCCCTCCCCGACCCCCAGAACCCTCCCCAGACCCCTGCTTGAGTTGTTGCTTGAGTTGTTTTTGAGTTTTTTTTTTGAGTTTCTTTTGAGTCTTCCCAGATTCAGACTATTTCAGATTGAGTTTTTCGGATTGGTTTCTTTTTGAGTTTTTTTTGTGTTTTGCAAATTCCTGGATTTACGGCCTGTGTGGGCGAGATCAGGTCTTAAGCTTAGGGGGCTCCCATTTTTGAGAACCACCCATGTGAGTCACAATCAAACCCCGGGCAATTGGGGAAGGGATAGTCCCAACCATAAACGGTTCTGGGTTCATATTGACACCGATCCTTTTAGATTGTGACCCATGTTTCTTCTTTGGGCCCTTATCCTTCCCCAGAACTAGCTCTCCCTTTTTTCCGCTTTTTTGGGGTGATCCTTTGTTTTCCGTGGCTTGTTGGGGTGGTCTTGGTGTTCCACTCAGGCAAAGCCTCATGTTTTTTTTGCCCGGGGTCCCCGACCGTTTTCTCAGGAGGAGCTCTTCGAGACGCGGATCCAGGACCTGGAAGCGCGGCTGGCCTCCGAGGCCGGATTCGCGCGCGCTCGTCGAAGAAACGCGCGCGGGGATCGAGCCGAAAATGAAAATAGGCTCAGGTGATATCCCCAACAGCATGTGCTCTTTTTAGTGCTCGCACCACCCCGCAACCTCGTGGAACCCCGTGGAACCCTCGTGGAACCTTAACTCAGGGCCACCCCGGACCACCCCGGAGCCTATCTGGGCTGAGACCCTGTTGGGGGAAAAACCACTTGGCTGTGGGTTAAAACCATGTTGGTCGGCTGGTAGGGGTTTAGTTTGCTTGATGCCGCCTGAATACAAGGTTCTAAGTAAAATGGCCTCTACAAGTGAAGCAGAACATCTGAAGTGGTATATGACCTCCATATGGCTGTGGGTTAAAACCGTTTTGGGATCCCATTTTGGGGTAGGTGCACCACCCATTTTAGTCGGGATTTTAGTGGGGATTGGGATGTTCACTGGGGGTACGGGGTTTTGACCCATGGCCACTTCGGGTACGTTTTCAGCACTTGCGACAAGGTGCTTGTCACCAGACGTATACAGACTGGCTGCTGGCGGAAGGGAGCCAAGTAGCCGGAGGCCTCCAAATCTGTGTTTATGGAGGGAGCTCAGGAGCTGCCGGAGTTCTGACATGGCAAGTGTTCCGATTTCTCTTCTTACTCGGCCTCCAGCCATTCTGCTGGGATGTTCCGGAAATGTCTGACCTTTTTCGCAGCAACTATACTTACTACCCACTTTCCTGGTTGTAAGTCTCCCAAGTGGGTTATAACCAGGCTTACTAGCCACTTACAAAGTGCACTGCTGCTTGAAGTGCATTCTTGCAGTTGCGCATACCTTGAGGCCGCCTCAACTTGAACCTCCCATGGATGGTTCTTTTGCTTGGGCGCCCGGGCCCAGTGGCTGGCAAAAGTCCACTGAACTCACCGGGCTTCTTTAAGAAGCAATTCTGCCAGCGGCTTAAAACCCGGGTAGATGAAGGTTCGTAAGGGATGGTCCCTACCATACATGGGTCTTGATTATGACTCAATGAGCAACAATACAACGGAAGTGAGATGCGTGGTATTTTTTTCCAGGCCCGTTGATTGCCTTGCTGCTTCAATGGATGGTTTCCTTCTCATCCCCGCTTCTCCCCTGGACAATCTTCTTCGCTTTCGCCACCCAACCCACCGAACCTGCGAGAAGTCGCAGCTGGCGAAGGCTTCCTGCAAGCTGCGGGCGGAGAAGCGGCTGGAGGCTGAAGAGGTGCTGGCGAGGCGGAGTCACGGTCACCGCTTCCGTGTGGGTGTGTGGCGATCGCTACCCTGTTTAGGCTGGCTAGAATGGGAATCAAAGAAAACACCGAAGCTATGGAGGGTGTCCAATCCCTACGCATACCCACATAGGTGTATCTTTTTGAGGGTAACCTTTTTGGGTTGTTTAATTGGGAATCACACACGCACAGACGCCAATGTGGGTCTGTCTTTTCGAGGGAAAACATGCTGGGTCCTTTGAAGGAACTCCAGAGGGAAGAGACCTTAGATTTTGATTTGGTTTTGGCCAACGGATTGGGTCAGGGCATGTTCTAGCTATGTTGCGTATGTGCCTGCTGTTTTGTGGTGCTTCTTTTTTGGATTGGCTCTTCTTTTTTTTTGACCTCATATCGGGTCTCGACAAACGGCCGAGGCTTTTTGTGAGGCCATTAAGTGAAGGACAAGGATGGCAGAGAGTTTGTGTGAAGGGACGGAAGGCTTCAGAACTGAGAATCTTTGAACTCTGGAACCGTGCAAGGGAGCCACAAAGGGATCCCAAGTTTGGCCATCCCGCGAGTCTTGGAGCAGCCAGTATACATCAGAAATGCCAGATGTGTGGAAAATGATGTGAGAACTGCACCTTCCCAGTGCTACCAGTTGCTACCACGGTGATATAGTAGGTACCAGGGAAGCCGCCGTTGGGCAGCTAAGGTTGGAATATCTGCGGCTACCTTATAAAGTCGGAATATTTCCGCTTACCAACCAAAGGCAATCATGTATTTTCTTACTTTAGCTTCGAAGTGGTTTCCCAGAAAAAGCCTGTGGTTTCCTACGACACCGGCTTGCCTAGCCGTCGGCAACTTGGACGTTGGCTGAGGCAGCTGCAGTCGGACCTGGACAATGAAACGTCCGCCAAGCGCGAGGCGAATTCACGAGGTTTCGGTCGCCCGTTGCTTCGATTTGCCTCGAAGTTTCTATGGGGAACTGCTGATTCCGTCCCGGCTTGTGAAATGACACCCAAAGGGTTCATGTGGACCCTTGTTTGTGAGCAGATTTCTTGATGATATTCAGAAGTATGAAGCTGTCGAACCTTGGTCCAACGCGAAGGGCTGTTTGAGCTCCCGGCCGCGACGATCCGACGGGTGCTCCTTGGGCACTGGGCAATGTAAAGAATGAAAGGGAATCGCTGGCATTCTGAATGACCCCTTGATTTGATGGTTTTCGCAACTCCTCTTGCCACTCGGAGGGTTGCGCGCATGGAAGCGCAAGGACTCATGCGCAGACAACTTTCCTGTTGACAATGACTTCTGCCGCTTTGACCTGAGGATATGAGGATATGGGCGTGTCTTACACCCAGCCCGCTTGGGATAGGTGTGTGTGTGTGTTTTTAGAGGGGGCCCTCCAGGTGGGTTACTGGGAAACCAGAAATAAAGCCATTTCTTGGGGTCCCCCTTTGACACAAAGCCAGCCAACGGCAGCCGACCATCTTCTCAACGACGCCGATGCATTTTGTTCTTCTCGGGCCCCAGGAACCCTAACTTTTGATTCCCAAGAATCGGTTGGACTTAAGGGAAGACATGGCCTCCATTTGCTTAAGAATATGTTCTCCCTTGTTGGTTTCAAAGGGAATTTCTCACTGCTGGAAACATTGTAATCCGCTCCCCCTATTAATAAATACGCCCCCCCCTCCCCCCCCCTCCCCTATTATAAATAAATCCACCCAAATATATATATATATATATAATATATTTTAATTGGGTTTTTTGGGGTTGGGTGTTTTTGCTTTTCCAACAATGTGAGGGTTCACATAGGATTTGGAGGAAATGGATTGAATTGTAAGGTCCGCGAGTAAGCGGTTTAATAAGGAAATGTGATGTATCATTCTATTTGTTTACCAGTTTACTGGTTGTTTGTTTGCAGCCAGGCAGGTTAATTAGCCAGCATGCACGGGAGAGAGATAGTCGCAGCTAGACAGCTTTTGGGGACATGTTTTCTTTTGAGGGACACCCCAATAACCAAAGGAACCCACCTTTTGAAAAGTGAGGCTGGAAGCTTGCTAAAAGTGGCCCCTAATAAGGATTCCAAGACTTTAGTATTGGTTTAGTATTGACGCAATGGAAAATCAATTATCCGGAGTGGAAATCTGGTCTCGGGCCCCGGATTTGCATTTATTATTAATGGGGGTCATTCATTAATAGGGGGAGGAGATTAATTTGCTAGGGGGCTTACGAAAATAGAAGATGATATGCCAATTCCAAAATCCTTGACCAAAGGCGCCCTGCCTGTTGCTTGGAATGACTATTATGACTATGGTATTACAATCATTATGATTAGTGTTTATTGTTACTATCGTTTATTGAAACTGGTATTGGTATTATTATCTATCATTGTTGTTGTTATTATGGTTTGCATAGTTTTTTTTATTATTACTATTATTATGATTATGTTATTATTATTCTTATTATTATTCTTGGAATTATTCTCATTATTGTTATTATTGTTATCATTATTATTATTATTATTCGTATCATTATTGTTATTATGATCATGACTTATTTTATGATTACTGTGAATACTATGTTTCGCATCATTCATGAATGTTATATGTTCATTTGTCGTTGTAATTCTGATGATTTTTCATCATTAAGTATGTTGTTATTATTATTCTTCGAATTATTCTTCTTATCATGACATGTACACTTTGTTTATTATTATCATTATTACTATCATTTATTACTATAGTTGTTATGTTGACAACTTATTCAGTATTGTGACATGTGTTCTTTAATTTTATGTGTTTGCTATTATCAGTATTATTACTTACTATTATTGTTATTATTACTATGATTACTAAGATTGGCATTATGCGTGTTATTGTTATTATCTTTTTCCATTACTATCATTACTATCGTGACGATTCTTACTATGATTCCAGGGGAGGTTTTTGTTCGCCCAGCCAGGCGGCCAAAGCCTCCAAGTCCCTGGACCTCCAGCTGGCGAGAGCCACCGCCTGCGAGCACGAGGCCGAGGCGCGATGCGAGTCGATGGCATCGTTCGGGGCCATTTGGAGGGAAGCCTTGGGCTTGGCGCGTCCCAACTGGACGAAGCCGGAGCTGAGAGAGAGAGAGAGAGAGGCAAAAAGAGGGGAGAGAAGGAGAAAACCCAATAGAGAACCCCGCTTTTTGTGGATGAGTTTCTCTTAGGGGAACCCGAAGGGAACGCTTTCGGTGGGTTAGGGGCGATGTTTTGAGAGAGAGCCCCTCTTTTTGGTTGGTATCTTTGGGGCCGAGCGAGCATTCCCACAGGATTTTATTTGGGCAAATGGCACCAACCTCAGCAGGGCAGAACTTGTGGTGGGTCCGGCCCCATTCAGACACATACCCACAAACTCATGTCTCCAAATCGGGGGCTCTCAAATTGGCAAACGAGAAGCTGCTTTTTTCAGCCTTGTTTGGAGCCATTTCTTGTTTGGAGCCATTTCAAGATGCCAATGCGTTGGGCTCGTTTGGCCGGGTTTGTGCCGCCATTTTGGTGGATGCTGCTGTATCCCGAACCATCCAAGGCTTCAGTTGCGACCTGAGCAGCTGATGTGGCACGTGATGCGACCGCGAGACTTGTTCGTTTCGCCAAACACCGCGGTCCAAGCTTTGACGCCACGATCCCAGGCACAACAAGAAGGACACAGCGCCAACTTGTAAGGCAGCTCCGGCTCCAAAATGATTTCACGCCACGCAATGGCCCCCCAAGACCAAACCAACATCAGCATCACCCCAAAACTCCACCTCACGCAAAAAGGGTTGTGCCATCCTGGCTTCACCCTGGTGGAAGTTGCAACCACTTCCACCCACTTCGCTCTCCCAGTTGTACACTTGTGGTGAAATCACCTACTCACCTGTGTGTTACCCTCCCCCCCCCCCCCCTCCCGCCCAGGGCCGATCGAGTCGAGTCACCCCACAGTGGAGTGGAGTCGAGCGGTCCTCTTTGGAGGATCCCTGCGTGAGTTCTGACGTTTCCCCAGATCCATCTAACCTACAATTTCGTTCAATTGGGTCTGCTTCATCACCTTGGAGCAACGTGTTAAAGGTGATCTCACCATGAATACTCGGGTAGCTGGGCTATTTTCAATGAGAACGTGTGGATTGAACATCAAACCCCAGGAAATCCAGCTTGTTTCCTCACTCCCTGAGTTCCTGGACGTTAAACTTTCTGGGAAGACCGATATAGTGGCAAATTCAAAGTTCAGATTTTTTTTGGCCAATCCACGGAGGAAGTGAGCTTCAGGTGGGGCCCCACCCTGTGTGGACGATCCCGTCGGCCCATTCCCTCGCTAGGCGCGGCTGCAGGAGGCGGAGGGCGACGCGCGGGAGCTGCAGCGGGCGCTGCGGGAGGCCAAGCGACAGACCCACGAGGCACGCGCGGGGACGCCGGGGGAGTCGAAGCGGTGCTATTGATCTCTACTCCTATTGGGTTGGATCTTTAGGCTTTAATTTTTTGGTTGAAATCAAGTTGGGTTTTCCATTAAACCCACAAGTGAAACACTGTTTGCAGAAGGGTCAACAGCAACCAAGTGATCGGCTAAACCTCGATGTCGGAGTGTTGCGCATGCTGAGGTCTTTAAGGGGTATGGGTCAAAATCAACCCACCAAGGGACCGCTGGTTTCAGCCTTTGTTTCCATCTACCAGGGTTCCATGTGGGGCTCCTATTTTTGACCCAGACCGATATAGCGAGGGCGGGTCTTGGGTTTGTTTGGGGTTCATTTAGGCTTGGTAAAGGACTGATACCCAGGATGATGTTGGGAGGGTCTAAGGTCGACTCTGAGTCGGTTTGGGTTGGCTTGGAGCTGATTTGCGCGAAGTGTGCGGCTCGTTTTTGCAGTAGCCTTTGGGCTGCTTTAGAAATGTGGGTGCGCAAGTTTTGGGCTGGTTGGACAACACTCGCCCGAAACCAGCCCTGAGCAACTCTGAACTGCCACCAAATCAAAGCCAATAGGCAGCCCCAGTCCGAACGAGGCCAATGATGCTGGGGATGCGGCCCAACCCGACCACCCGGCCAACTTGGGCTCAGAGCATACCGCCTGCTGGCCCCAACCTGAGAGCGAAGCAAGGTTTCCAGCCAACCTCTTTAGAGCCACATGAGGGAGGCCTTGTGAGCCGGGGCGGGGCTCGTCAAAAAAGACGACACCTCAACCCCCCCCCAAAGGTCATCCCATGTTCATCGGACCTTGAGATCACCCCCCTCTCAACCGAAATTATTTCTTAGAACCCCACGGGTCACATGCCCGTTGCGTGATTCTCAGATGTCCAGAGCCCGCTTGAGCGCCAGGCCGAGCAGGAGGCCGAGTCTTCAGGCGTGCGCCCCCGCCGAAAGCCGGTACATGCATGCGGGAGCTCACAAGCGCGTTCACACGGTGACATCCTCAAATCAAGCGTGGTTTAACTGGGTCCTCAAAAGCGACATTCTCAAAGCTATCCTCCAATTGTGGCGGTTTAAATGGACAGCGCCCCTTTTGTAGTTTGGAGAACCCCTCACACTGTTCACTTCAAAGGATCCAGAAAGAGGAGAGCTTCGTAGTTTGGAGCTCTGACGGGTCACCTTTAGCCTGATCAACCGCCTGAGTAATTTGGTCCAAGCGCATACCTCATCTTCCATGACCTTTGATCCAAGAGGACTTGGAGGTTTGAGAGCTTGACTCAAGGCCACCTGTGATTTTCGACTGCATTTGATTTTAATAGCTTGGGCTTCATGCTTCCCCCCGAAGGAAGACGCTCACAGAGGCGACGGGTTCCGACTTCAGCTTGGGGTTCAGTTTCTCTTGACGAATTGGACATATCCTACGCGGGTCTTTGAACCGAGTAGGATTCTGCTTGGGGGATGCTAGTCCTTTCCAACAAGGACAGCAACAGAGTATACTTTTGGCAAGCCGTCCTGGAACCTCCTTCGACTTCATTTGTATGTTATAGGTTTGCCATGTATGGATGGACCTGGGAGAGAGTCCCCATGTTGCTAGGCGGCTTCAGACGAAATGGCGATGACCGTTTAGACGTAGCACGACCATTGAAGCTAGAAAGGCGCGCGAAGATGAAATTGCCGAAATTGGCGAAGACAATGTTAGGGGCGAAGCCGAACACGCCCTCGAAGACGAAATTCACTGCCAAAATCCATCAAGACGAAGTTCATCAAGACGAAATTCGATCCCTCTTCTTAGGATAAACCCTTATGGGGACCTGTGAGTTGAGCTTAAAACAGATTTGCTTTCGCTCACTTTGCGGCCGCAAGCAGCCTCTAGCCAACTCGCCGGTCTGCAGGCGGGCAGCTGGGGGCGGCCTTGGGCGCCAAGCAGCGCCTGGAGGCGCAGATGCGGATCCTGCAGGCCGGGCTTGGCCCAGTTCAATGAGTGAACATTTCTTGGGAAACATCCCGGGGATTCCGAATTTGGATCGTATTTAAGGATCTTTTTATGGCTTTTTAGGTCTTTGTAGGGTGGTTGGGTGCGCAATTAAGCTTTTTGGCTGTTCGGCGTTTTAGATCTTTTTAGATCTTTTTGGGTCTTTTTAGGCCCTTTTTAGTTGGTTTAGTGGTTGGGTGGGCAACTAAAAGTTAGTCGCTCTTAGCCGGGGATCTGATGACAGCCCAGATGTTTGTACTCCGTTTTGGTTTGGCGGGGGTTCGGGACCCACTAAAACTGGTCGACTCTCTGGGAAAAAGTTCCATGGAAAAGCAGGTACGCTAGAAAACGACAACCCCTTCAGGAGAAGTTTGAGGGTTTAGGACCCAACAACTATGGGGTCGATAGATATTCAAAAGCAGGTGAAGTTCAATACATTGGCCCAGGTAGCCCTTGGGTGGATACATTGAGTACCTCCTTGCGTTAGCTTATGGTCTTTTGGAGGGCTGGGGGCTGGGGCCCCCTGGCCCTTTGACCCGACTCGCTGCCTCGGCGGTGCTGTGCCAGTGGCGTTTTTGGTGCTGTCCTGGTGCCTTCTTGGTGGTGTCCTGAATGAATTTCTGGACCAGAAGTCCAAAACATGCAGTTTTGGCTGTGTCATCATTGGATGTGAACCTTCCCATGGTTTAGGCAGGCTGTTCCCATAAAGCAAGGGGTACCGTCCTACGTCCGGAGTTCCAATTCAACTGTTGCTGGATTTGGTGGTGGTTTCTCTTGGTTAAGGTGTTCTGCCGAACGCCCCCTTTTTTTGGCAAAGGGAGAGCGGCGAAACAGTTGAAAAGGAGGTTTCAATTCGGTGCGCACTTTGCCTGGACGGTTCTTAGGCCGAGCCTGTGAGGCATTTCATCATTTTGACTCTTGTGGCTGTGTCTGGGGGTTGTTCCCTTTAACCTACTACTTTGGGGGGACTTTGATGATGGTAGAACAATTTACCCTCCCAGCGAGAGAGAGGGTTGCAGAAACCTGAGGCAAGCATCCCCCTGTTCGCCAAGTGGCAAACCCCAGAAAGGGACTTCATGGGCTACGTAGCAGAAGTGACGGAGCAGCGTGAGCCACCGGCCCACTCTTCCAATGTCGGCTTGGGTCTCTAGGTGCAATGAGTCTGCAGCCCATGTGCACTTCCCACTTTTCAATGGCAAAAAACATGGCCCCAACACTCCACTTGAATTGTATCGTTTTTGTTTGTCGTCACAGGTTCAGCAAGTTCCTCCAAATTAACATGGAACCCGGAACCCCCTAGAGAAGGGGGGCCTTCGTAACACGAGGGTTTTCGGCTATGTTCAGCTCCCCTAGTTCTTTTGAACTTTTTTGTTGTTTGGCTTTCCTTTCTTGTTTTCCCTTCGGAACCAGTGGTTGGACAACAAACCCAAAACGTGCGTAGACCCCACGCGTAGCCCTCACTGGCGTGCGGAAGAAAGCGTGGGAAGGCCTCCCTGGAAGCTGCAGAGAGCAGCGCAAGCTCGGGAGGCAGCGTTGCGCTGAAGCTGCAGGCGGGTTTTGGCCACCAGCCCAGTGGGTTGAGCGCCGCTGCCCAGTGGGTTGAGCCCCTTTTCTCAACTTTTGGTTTGGAGGGGTTTCCCTTTTAGACCTAGCCCAAGCAGAAGCGCCCTTTTCTTCTGGCCGGGGTCTGGGTGAGTGGGTTGTGAGGGAACCAATTCCAGTTGCCCCGGTTGCAACGCTTTACCTGACGTCGGTTGAACATCCAAGTAGATCACTGTTTTCTAGCCGTGGGTTGAACATGCGAGTGGGGTGGGAAGGGTCTTGCCGGTTATGCAGTGGAAACCATGGAATCTTCTTTTTTGGGGGGTCAGTTCCCAAAGTGGTGAACCCCGAAAGAGGTCCCCTTTCTCTAGGCAACTGGGTCGACTCCCTGATAAGCATGCAACCCAAACGCCTGTCATTTTTAGAGGAAGCTCCTTTGGTGGATCCCTAAAAGGGGGTTCCACGTTCGGCCGGCTCTTTTCGACTGCGAAGAAGAATCTGCTGGCAAAGGTGCATCAACTTGAGGAAGTATTTCCAGTTGCCTTCCAACATATCCACACCAGTTCATCCATTTGGCGGGCCGAATGCGTGGATTGGAGAGGTTCGGAGGATGGTTTGGTTTGCCTGTTCGGCTGGGGGAGGTTGCGCGCCGGGGTACCAGATTTGTCGCGTCCGAATACCCTCGCCCAACCTTCTCCGGGATAAGGTCGCGATACTTGACAGGTTGCATGAAGCAAACAACTTCAAGTGCACATGCACAGCTACACATACATCTCCTGATTCCAATTGAAGCCGACAATCGGAGGTGTTGGAAGACTACTTTTAATTTCAGGGAACCCAGACGTCCTGTCCACTTCCACGATCTGATATGGCTGTGGTTGTCAAAACCAATGGGATCCCATTTTGGGATAGGTGAATTCACCATCCATTTTAGGCTTTATTTTAGTGGGGGTACGGGATTTTGACCCATGGCCATATGCACATTTGGAGACACGTCAGGCTCCTAGAAAGGATCATCTCATAGTTATCACTTAGTCTGAACCCCGGACCAATCAACCTGGCAGATTGACGGGGTGTTTCCTCCAAGAACGAAAGCTTGCCTTTGAACTGGGACACCTGAGGTTGTATTAATCCATGGGCTTCCATTACTTACTCATTACGTTGAACCACCGGGGTGAAACTAGATGGCACAACTCCCTCCATGTGGGCAAGAAAAGATAATGACTCAACTGACTCAAATAATATGGGGATGGAATGGTGCCAATTGTGGAAGTTTTCGACCAAGCTTTCCCTGTAACAAAACAACGGTTGGTCTCAAATAACCCCCTCCCCCCAAAAAAAAAGGAAGAAGAAGAAGAAGAAGAAGAAGAAGAAGAAGAAGAAGAAGAAGAAGAAAGAACAGAGTTCGGTCTCACAATACCCCCATCCGAAACAACCTAGGCGGTTTCCTGTATGGTCTCAACCCCCGACAAAAAGGAGCGAGAGAGAGAGAGAGTGAGAGAGAGACTAGGTCACCCAGTAGTGCCCTTTTACCCTTTTTCTGGGGGAGGGTTCCCCTACTAAAAGTAGACTCCAGCAAAAGAATCGGGCACCCTTATTCTAACCTCTCAAATCTGGAGGACCTAGGAGAGAGAGATTTCCTCTGGGTCTCACAAGACCTCACCCTAAATGGTGGTTTATGTGGGGAATAGCCCCCAAAATCACCTTATTTCAGGCTGGATAAATATTATAATTCACCCAGATTTCCTGTATGCAACAACTCCGACCCGGAGCTCGCCAGGGTCAGCTGGGAGAGGCCAAGCTGCAGCTGCAAAGCCAAGCGCAGCAGCGGCAGCTGGCGGAGGCGTCTGGCCGACGTCGGACTAGTCGGACGTCGGGACGTTTTGGGTGGGAGGTGCACCGGCTTGGATGAACTCGATCCGCGCTGGTCCTTCTGGGGTCACTATTTTGGCTCTTTTTGGGACTATCAAAGTCAGAAGAACTGAGGGTGTTTGCCGTGAACTTGTCACTTGGGTGACTTTGACAAATGGTAAAATGGGGGCCAGTCCTTTTGGTCTCATCCTCAAAAAGACACCTTGGGCGTCGAACCTCGGGTAGGTTACCAAAGAAGCTAGCCCGAATTGCCCGAACTACAGCCATGGTTACAAGTTGAACATCCAAGTGCAAGTCAGTTCGGCAGTAGGCAACTAGGCATGGGTTTTGCATGATGAACTCCCCGGGCTACCATACTGGTAACCGAAACCCATGGGTGGGCTTTTATACTGGTTGAGTGTAGAGTTGGATTTGTGAGATAGTTTCAACCGGCTTCCTTTTCTTCCAGCTGCAACGCAGGAACAAAAAAGGCCCTGGACAAGCAGACTCTCCCATGGCCGCTGGAAAAAACGACGGCGAAGAGATGGAGATTGGATGTTGCTTCAAAGACCTTTGCAAGGATCCTTTTTGGAATTTCTGTCGGTCAGGACCAGGGTCTGTGGCAGTCTCCAAGTTTGGGGGGGGGGGGGGGACTTTTGAGATTTTTCGCCTAGATGTGGTTGGCGCAAGCGCTCTGGTGCTTGTCGACCACAAGGAAAGAATGATGTTGCTTGGCCGGTACCCTTTGGGCTATTGTTCTTAAGGGAGACGATTTGGAGACAACGCCAAATGCTGCAGCAATCGACTCGACTCCAGCTTGCCTCTTGCTGACAGGAGACCCCAACAATGCTCGACTGCTATTTAGTTGAATCCTTATAATCTCAAGTCATGCGGGCATGTGCGGTTTTCCCGCCAACCAGCAACAAGCTAAAACCGTTATCTCTACCATATCGATGCAGGAGCAACAAGTTAAGCTTTTTGCCTAGGGGGAAGTTGCTTGCGAAGGTCAGGGTGGATAGATGAAATCAGTTTGCACCACTTGGAAACCATGGTTGAAACCATAGCGTTTGTTGGAATCATTCCAGCGCTTCTTCGGTGGTGTAGGATGTCGTCCATCCACCAGTATGGGTGCGCCTATGAACTTGAATGGGGAACCACCTCCAAAGTGGTCGGTGGACATGAATCGGGATCCACCCAGTTCTGATGCCGAAAAGAGTCTCCTATTAAGATTCACACCCAACGACGCAGAAAACTAGCCCGTACTATACTCAAGCTTTTTGGGAAGACCAATTTAGTGGTAAACAAACAGTTTGGTTCACTTTGGAGACTTATAACCATGGTAAGTGGGTTATAATCATGGTAGGTGGGTTATAATCATGGTTATTACTCACTTACTAAGCACCGTGCCCCTTTAAGTAAAGGTCTTTTGTGACTCCCCCAGAGTGTATGACGGCACCAGGGTAAAGGGCTTGTTCTTGTCTTTTCACAACCCTGTCATGGGAAAGTCAGCCAGTCTGTTGTGGGAAATTGACCTTTCTAAGTACACTGCTCCTGCAAGTGAGCCACAATCAAAACCCGGGTAGACGAAGGATAGTATAAGGGAAAATCCCAACCATAAATGGTGCTTTAGCGCCTTCTTACTTCTTTACGTGCTTCTGGGTAGGCTATTTTAATGCCGGGTTTTGATTATGACTCAAGTACTGTGGATGGACGAAATCCTGCACCACTTGGAAACCATGGGAAACCATTGTTTGTTGGTATTTACAGGTGAATCATCAGAAACCAGGGTTTCTTAGGAGGTGCGAGAAGCGGATTTCGTCCATCCACAGTAGGTTTGACCACATGGCACAGCTCCGCGAGGCTCAGCTCGGGCAGCTGGAGGACTCCCTGAACCAGCTGCAGGGGGAGCTGAAGTCCTCGGGCGAAGCGCGGCGGAGCGTGGAGGCTGAAGTGGGGGCAGTTGCATGGGGTTACCTCACTCTCTCTCTCTCTCTCTATATATATATATATATGTGTTTATATATATATATATAAATGCATATGTGTTTCAATAGGGGAAAGAAAAAAAAACGTAGGAAGGCCACAAAAGTGGAGGAAGCAAACAGTTTGGACATTGGCTTTGGCCAATCCACTCTGGAAGAAAGTTACACCAAAAGGGGTGGCAACCCAACCTTCAAAAGCGGAGAAGACGGCCACTGGCGGCCACTGGCAGCCACTGGGATATCAGCGTGATGCTGGAATCCAACACAGCTCTCCCATCCGCTGCGTCTTTTTGCGCAGATTTTCCAGACTCCGATGCTCAACCAACACCTACCATTTCAAAAAGGGATCTCCTCAAAAAAGGGGGACCCCATTTTTGGGGTCTCCGTCTCTTCCGCGCACCCGTCGGGCTCCTTCTTGAGTAGGGTGCAGCACCCTGAAGCTGGCGCGGGGAGGGAACCATCCCCTAACCCGCCCTTGTGCTGTTCAAACGGATCCCGGGTTTCCCGAAACGCCAAGAACCGGTAAGTTGAGGGATGGCTGGAAAAGAGTGAACTGGCCATGGGAGCCGCTTTCAGTCCCGCGAGAAGTCTCTTGCAATCCGGTTTTCCTCTCGAGAAGACTGTGAGGGCACGTCATACTTGACATGGTAACACCAGTTGCAGCCATGTTTGCAGCTTGAGTAGGGGGCGTTGATTCTTTGTGACCAATACATGGAAGGCAATCCAGAGTATAAGAGTACCTGGTGAATAACACCCCCCCCCTCGACGGCGGACAACGTCAGGAGCATTCAGGTTCCATGTTGCAGGATGAACAAGAGACGACGATTCTTAGCATTGGTTTCCCGATTTGTCCAGACACTTTCATCATCACGGCCCTGCCGCCCTGCCCCTGCATCCATGTTCCTTCCTATGGTTGCAAGGGGGAGATGTACACCACTTGCGAATGGGGCCAACCCCTTCAGGCGCAGCTGGGGGAGACGAAGCTGCAGCTGCAGAGTGAGACACAACGGCGACAACTCGCGGAGGCGGGGGGGGTCTCTGGGAAGCCGTTTCCAGTCCTTGGATGTGAAGTGATTTTGTTGAGGGGTTCTCAAAACCATTTTTTTGGATTTGCATGGTATCTTTGCGGATGTCGCTTGGATGGGATGGACCCAGTTACACGGTGCTTTTGGGGCTAATGTGGATCGCGTTTGTGCCAACATCCATCAGATGAGAGAGTCAAGGTAGCATGTGGCGAGGTTTGGGGCTTGTGCTAGTCTGGTGGGTTGGTAGATGGGTCGAGTGGTGGGGATCTGTGGGCTGGCTGGCTGATATGTTGGCAGGTTGGTGGGTGGGTGGGGTGGGTGGGTTGGCTGGCTGGTTGATTGCTTGCTTGCTTGGATCAGGGCTGTGCAGTTCAGCTGGGTGAAAGGAGATGGCGCAGTTCCCCCCTAGGTTTAGCCATTCGCGAGAAACTTGCCCACAGAAAAGGAATTGTGCCGTTAACTTTCACACTGGAGTGCGCACAGACATGTTACATTCTGCACACTATGGACGTTTGAGAAAGGCATTTCAAAGCAAAACTCATTTGCCCAAAATAAATTCAGATTCTCTACGACTGCAAGAACATGTGAAATAGTGGCTCACCCTTGCAGGAAGACTAGATGTACCGGCGAGCGGTTTTTATCAGCGGCCAGCCACGCTGCCTCCTTGGCTAAGGTGCTTGCTATTCAAGGAAAGCCATGCGGGTATGTATCAGAGCCTAGGACCGACCGTGTGCAAAGTGCATTTAAGAGCTCTGGAAGCAACCATCCAGAGAGGTCCCGAGCGATCAACTTCTACGGTGCTAGCAAAGGACGCATGTGAGCAATTTTGAACCGACGAAAAGCGGAATTTGAGGGCTCGCCTCGGGGACTCTGCCTCAAGCCCTATGTCTCATAGTTGTTCTGACCTGGGTGATGTGCTCAGCCTGTCGCCATCGCAAGTCTTAGGGGGAGCGCTGAAATTCGCTTCGGCCACCAGAGGATGGTGTTGTGGAGCTGCTGGCCTTCCTTTTGCCAAAGCTTGGATGGTTCAGTGGGTGTCTTGCAAGCTCCCGTGCGGAAGCCCTTTCCGCGCTTCCTAACGCCATCCAACTCCCGCAAGTGGGAGTTGTTCAAATTGGTAGACCCACTTTTGGTCGGTTCTTCAAAAACAAAACGCCAAAATTTGAAGGACCCCGGATTCCTGGCCACTTTTTCTGGGTTTTGCACACCGCCTGACTTTTTTTGGAGCCCGGCCCTCGGCGGTTTTTTGTTTTTTTTTCCCCCCGCGAGGCACAGCTGGGGCCGCTGCAGGACTCCCTGGGGCGGCTGAAGGCGGAGCTCAAGTCTTCCACCGAAGCGCGGCGAGGCTCAGAGGCGGCGGAACCGGGGGGCGCGGAGTGGCGACGGCTGCGAAGTCAGCGGATGTGTTAGAGAGAAATCAGCTGTTCTTGGGGAGAAGTATCGGATTCTAAGCAAAGGGCTGTCTCTCTCTCTCTCTCTCTCTCTCTCTCTCTCTCTCTCTCTCTCCCGATTCTCACTCTCTCTCTGTCTGTCTTTCTCTTTCTCTTTCTCTCTTTCTCTCTTTCTCTCTTTCTCTCTTTCTCTCTTTCTCTCTTTCTCTCTTTCTCTCTTCTCTCTTTCTCTCTTTCTCTCTTTCTCTCTTTCTCTCTCTCTCTCTCTCTCTCTCGCTCTCTCTGCCTTTCTCTTTATCTTTCTCTTTCCAGAGCCCGTTTTGAAGTACTTTCCATGGCCCGCGGATGTGGAACTGGGAACCTCGCCCACTCCCCCAAGCACCCCGATCCGGCTCAAAACAAATACAACACATGCCATCGTGACCACGGTGACCATGGTGACCCGAACCTCCAGGGGAAGCAAGGTCAGGACGGTGAGCATGTTGAACATGTCCTTGGAAAAAACAAAACATTTAGGCCGATATATATGTGGACCCTCAAATAGGAACAACATCCTGTATATTGCATGTTCTTCCGCTGATTTTCTTTAAGCAAATGGTCCGCAACTTGCGCGGATCGTTTCATGCCTTTGCATGTGTCAATCAGCCCTTGGAGTTGTGAAACACGATTTCTGCGGGGACATCAGAAGATACATAGGAATTTGCGGCACAAACATGGAAATCCCCACAAATCTGCGGAAATCCACAGCGAGCCTTTTTGGTTGAGCGGTGTTAAAAAGCATGAACGTTTCTTTTCCGGAAAATACAAATGCGAACGTGCCATGGTCGTAGTTGGTTATACTCTTTACGGACATGGATAGATTTGAACGCACCCTGGTTTTCCGCATGACATTTCAAATCCCATGTCCCTCGCAAATGGACTAGACACTATTTGACATTTTGACCGAACCTCATATGTCGTTGACCTGCCAGCCTTTAATTAATCCATTGCCAAGCTAATACAAATTCTAAGTTGTTCATTTTTGACCAAGCCCGCCTTCCGGCAAAATTGATGGCACAGCCCCCCAAAAGGGGCCCTGCTGCTCGCGGAACCAAGATCAAGACCACTCATTCGTCAAAGAGATGTAGAGACCCTCTTGGTGGGGGCGCATCTTTCAGGTTTCATCCTAGATAGTCCTCCAAGGCCCCGACAAAGGTCGCTCAATGTCGCTCATAGTCACGATCGGCTGTCGCTCAACTTCTTTGGCCCTGAATCAGTATGCCGCCGGGGATGGTAGGCTGGTAGGGGTTTAGTCTCCTTGATGCTGCCTGAATACAAGTTGAGGTTCTAAGTTAAAACCCTCATTCAAGTGAAGCAGAACATCTTAAGTGGTATACGACCTCCATATGGCTGTGCATTTTGGGGTTGGTCACCCATTTTAATGTATTTTAGTGGAATTGGGATGTTCATCACTGGGGCTTTTGACCCATGGCCATATCTCCAAACCCCATCCCAGAAGCTCATAGCACCTTACAGCCCGCCAGGTGGCGCTCCAAGAGTCCCGGGACTCTGCCAAGGCAATGAGCCCCGGGGAGAGCTCACGGCTACTCAGGTTCAACTAACTTTCGCATCTTTTGACAAACTAGGTCCTCCAGCTGGGTGCCAACTTTTAAGCCCTTTTTGGTTGGAAGGGTTCTCCTACTAAAATCGACTACAGAAACAAGTTGGCACCCTTATTCTAACCTCTCTACTGGAGGACCTAGCAAACGTTTACAGGACTTTCATTTTATGTTGGAGACTGTCATTTAAAACTATCACATGCCTCACTGTATGGCGCCTCATCAAATTTTGCCCCTTTTTTACGGTGACTGGGGGGCTGATTGGTCCTGGACTCCCGTTTGAATCTTTTGAATCTCGGCGAGCTTTAAGGGAGAAGGCTTTCGGAAGCTCAGGAACCCTGTGAACTCGGAACCCAGAGGACCATACTCAGAAGACCTCCCCTAGTTCCTTTCCCAAGGCAAACAACTGATTAACAGGCTTCTCCGGGTCTAAAGCGAACATATTGCCCCTGGACCGACCAAAAAAGAAACCGCGTGCATTTTCATGGGGATGCTACCTCAAGACTTCAAGCTGGCAAGCAACCATGGATGATTTTGCCTGAGCAACCCTGCGGTCCAAACTCGCTCAATGAGTGCCAGGCCGTCAGCGTTCTAGGTCCCCCAGCTAGGTGCCCTTTCTCACCCCTTTTTTTGGGGAAGGTTCCCTACTAAAATATACTGCAGGAAAAAAGGGTACCCTTATTCTAACCTCTCTACTGGAGGACCTAGGCGTTTATGTCTCAGTTGTTTGTTCCTTTTGAGAGGATCTTGCGAGTGGGTGGTGTCAGACTGAGTAGGCACATCAAAATGGTGCCCCGAACACCCAGCACTCGGGATATCCCTTTCTTGTTGATCAATCAAGGCTGAAGGAGGGTCTCTGTGGATCCATTCATCCCATTCACCGCTTCCAATGTGGTTCCTTTCAAATAAATTATTTAACTATATTTAGCTCTCCTTCCGCAAAGACACTGATTTCAAGCTCTAATGTGACATATGGGTGTGTCTGTTCTTGGGTAGCCCCAAAACGCTGGTTCTCCTTTTGGTTTTCCTTTAAACCCACAAAGAAGGGCCACCTCCCAAAAAAAGGACGGTGCTTCTGGCACAGAAGTTCCCGCAAACAGAGCGCTCGGCCAAATGCTTACATGACGCTAGGTTGGATGGCATGCTTGTTCTTGGGCCCCCAGCCAACACCAATGGTACCATTTTGGGGTAGGTGCACCACCCATTTTCGTCTATTTTAGTGCGGATTGGGATGTTCACTGGGGGTATGGGATTTTGACCCATGGCCAGTTGGGTTTCAGGTTTAAGCCACAAGCTAGCTGAGGAGAGCATAGGACAGCCCAGAGTGAACTTGCTGCTGACATAGGGCAAATCCCTTGAAGGAAGCCATAGGGGATGGTTTTTTGGGTCATTTCATTCTGAGAACCGGCAAGGGCAAAAAGGGAACCACGTATTTCTCAGTCCTTACCGCGCAGGGCATGGTGCCCGCCAGACTTTTCGCACAACTCGAATGGTAAAAAGTGTTTGTCTTTTCGACTGTCCGTTCTTTTCGGGTGGAATACCAGGACTGAAGTCAGGCACAAACTGAGCACTTTTTACTTTAGACTGTTTGACTTTTGGTTGGCTTAAAGTAAACCGAACAAACACCCGTTTTCACAAACCCATTTGTGTCATTGTCAAAAGACCTGCTCACGGATAGTTAGCGACGTTGGTGGGCAGAAATCACCACCTAAATTTGATGTCCACCAAAGGACATCCCCCCAAAAAAGCAAAAAGCAAACAAACAAACAAACAAACAAACAAACAAACAAGCAAACAAACAAACAAACAAAGGTTGGAGTTTCGACCATGGCGCATATAAATAAGCGCCATTCGACTTCAAACTCCAAGATGGTATCCACTACCCCCAAGCCACTAATATCAGGGGTTGAACGTGGCCTCTCTGTAAAGGGTATATACCCCAACTTCCCCTTGGAGCGGACTCGACGGGGGTGGACGCCCCCGAGAGACCACGAGAGGAGCTTGTGGACTTCCAGCTGACAGAGAAGCACGCGGCCTTCGGACTGGAGGCGGGGGCTCGGAGGGTACTTCTCTAGGGTTTGATTCCTTTTCCATTCTTTTCAACCATCTTTCTTTCCAAAAACCGGATCCGTTTATCCGTTTTCTCTGGATCGGAGGTTTTCTAGAAAGATCCGGTTCCCTGGAAAGAATGGGGAAGGTACCCCTAGAACTTGAAGGGGCGATGGTGTGCGTGAGGCAAGTGGTTTGTCTAATGAGCATAGGTGTCCTTTTTGGTTGGTTTGCTTAAACAAAAGAGGGCCCAAAAAATCCACCTGGGTTGAACTTTATCTCTCCTTCCGCATTTTCTCGGGCATGGCAATTCCAGTGCCGGCCCAAGATATCAAAGGGATGTTCTCTTCGCCGGGTATCCACTATACCCAAACTTAGAGAACTAGCCTGCGGGCGAAGAAGTTAACCGTTTCTCCCACTCTTTGAGGACACTTGCTTTTATTAGCGAGACCCAACTCTTTCCGTGGGACCTCTTGTGCCTTGTCAAGCTGTGGCGGTTTGGCAGAGGCATTGCAGTCCGCGGTGTTGGTGTTTTGCCTTGGTATCCGTGTGCCCAAAGAGTTGCAGAAATTCTGTGCCACTTCCGCATTCACAGGTCGCGGGTTCGGACTCCTTGAGTCCTGTCGATTTTTCGCCCTTCCAACGAACAGCACTTGGGGGCATTCCGTGCGCCAATTCATCCATTGACCAACCGTTCGTGGTTCGTGGTGATTCCACCACTGGCCACGTCACGAATCATCGTCATGCGGGGCACTAAAAGTTAAACTTTCAGCGGGGGATCTGAGGGCAGCCCAGGTTAGGTACGCCGAGTGAGATGAATCACTGAACGGAGACTTGCTATGGCTTTTGTGGGCTATAGCCATGGTTGCTACCCACTTGTTAAGTACACTGCCCCCTTCAAGTTGACCCGTGAGTGCCGTTGTTTACCTATGTGTAAAACACGTGTATATATCTGTATGTGTGTCAGTGTTTACAGATAAACATAAAAATGCAGAACAGAACAAGTCAATTAAGGAAATAGAAGAGTAAACGCACAAAGTAGATCGATACGTGAGCAGCAACACAGACATAAACCGACTTAAATAGATAACTACCAAATACATTTGATAAAGAAACAACTGGGTACATAAATGCATACATACATACATGCATACAGACGTCTAGACATGCAGACATACAGACATACAGACAGCCAGACAGAGAGACACGCAGGCAGACATACATACATAAATGCATGCATGCACACATACAAACGTACATACGTACGTACACAGACGGACAGACATACACAGATACATCAACCAACCAATACATGAACGCCAACATACGCGCGAACCACTGAACTCAAACAATACACATTAAAACACAATCTTAAGCAATTAGTCAAGTTAATATCTAAGTAACAACTAAATACATAGATACACCAATACAGAAATAGGTACATCCAACAATTCAGCAGCACACAATGACACATATTATAGATAACACACAATCTATTCAAGCAGTATACATAAACAACCACATAAAGAAATATACATGAATCAGTAAACACGTAACTACAACTAAACACTAAATACATGCATAAGTACATTGTGCGCATAAACAACTAAACACATGAACACTGTATTGCACAGAGTCCATGTAAATAGATCCGTGCGTGTTGCAGCCTTTCTCCATTATCGTCCATATAGATAAGTAAACCTATGAGTACTACGCAACCACACAGACAATCAATACTTTCACAACTGAGTAAGCAAATGGCATAAACACGAGAACATAGCAAGAAACATAAGCAACCAAACACATGTCCAAATTGTTATTTAGGCAAAGTAGTGAACTTTGATTATTACTGTAAGCATAAATGCATACATAAATAAGTAACTAAATAGATATCCGGGGCCCCCGTCTTCCAAAGAGCGCTGAGGCCTTACCAAGGCTTTACTAAGGCCCTACTAGCTGCGTAGTGCTTAGCGCGAGCACTTGGCACTTGAAACCATGCTTTTCGTTGCCTCCAGGAAACTTGTTGCCGGAATGATGAATTGCAGCTTTTGGCTCAGCGCATTTTTGGACCTTGTTGAAGGCAGACTCAGGTCTGTTTGATCTTTTTCTTGGGATGCTGCCCCAGGAAAGCGTCAGAGCCATTCAAGAATGGAGCTGCACACCTGGGGCCTGCCTTCTGGCCAATGAAGGTTGGTACCTGCCGGACGCCTAGGCCTGTTTTCGTGATCTTTTCCTTGGGCAAGGACTGATGACCCTCTTTCACTTGCCTGAGGCGCAGAAGCGTTCCACTTTGACAATGTCCTGTTCACAGTGGACGCTAATGGCGCAACACTGCTACTGCCAGCGAGGCGCAGCTTATCATTGCGTGACAGCCAGCGGCCGCGTGTATAGACTTTCTGCCACTTGGGCACTTTTCCTGCACTGGCGTGAAGAAAGATCCGCATGCTGCCTGCGCGCTTGTTGTCGCAACATAAGCCACCTAAACAATTATATCCCCCTTTTTAAGAAGGTACCGTTGAAAACTGCAGGCAAGAGGTGTCCTGGCTGTACCCTTAAAGCCTCCTGCGAGAAAGAAAAGAAGAACAGCCGCCGAAGCATCTCTGTCAACTCCGAACGTTTTTGGCTCAACAAATAAGACATCTTGGCCAAATTGAGCCGTCTGTGGCCTGCCGCAGCTGTCACCAATACAACTTCAGAGAGGCCAGTCAGATTGGGTCAAGACTTGAAAGCCATGCACAGCCTTCTAATTGAACATTGGAAATCTGGTTCACTGGTTACACCTCCAAGATGGTTTAATCATGGCGGTGCTGGGATAGGCAAAAACTTCCTGAACAAAGGAGGGAAAACAAAAACAAATTAAAACATGAGCAAACAAAAGCAAAAACCTCAGGAGAAGTTTTGGCTTTGCCGAAAGTTGTGTTTCCAGTGTTTTCTCGAGGTTTGTGTTCCCCCCCCTTGTTTTTGGAAACCGCGGACAACAGCGTTCTCAAGTTTGGATATCGTGCGTGGGTGTCCATCATATATATCTAAAAACCACCCTCGAGTTGTTGAATCAGAAGAAGCTGAGGCAAAACCGAAAAATCGAGATTCGCAAGGCCTCCTCAGAGTCTTTGCTTTTTCCTTTTTGTGTGTGTGTTGTGTTTTTTGACTTCTGGATGATCCTGGAGGTTTTTGCTAACTAATTCCATGCAACATCCAAAACAGATTTCGTTTTGCTTTACATTGTGCGGACAGGGGATCGTTTGCCACTGGGTTGCTGAGGCTGGGGAGTCATAAAAGGTTGAGCGGTCCAGAATGGACCATGCTTTTGGCATGGGGGGGCGGTGTGTTGTGTTGATTTTTGTTTCTCTATTTTCTCAAAGTTTGATGTACGTGTAAAATGTATTTGCCTTGGGACCCTGGATTGCTGGATTGCCGGATCCCTGGAATTCTGCATTCCTACATTTCTGCATTCTGGGTTCCTGCATTTCTGGATTCCTGGATTCCTGGTGTGGGTGTAGGTGCAAGTGAAGCGCAAGAGCAGATGTTTCTGTTTGCTGTTTGTGCCTGTGTGCGTGTCTGCGTCGCTGCATTCGCGTGAGGGTCTCTGCCTGCGTCTCAGCCCGTGTTTCAGTCTGTCGGTGTGTTTGCGTTTGTGTCTCAGTCTTTGTGCGTACACGTGTGCGTGTATGAGTCTGTGGTTGTGTCTCTGTCTCTGTTTGTGTTGCTGTTTGTGTTTGTGTGCGTGTCTGTGTTGGTTTCTCTGTGTCTGTGTCTGTGCCTCTGTATTTTTATCTGCCTGTGTCTGTTTGTGTGTGTGCTTGTGTCTTTGTCTGTCTCCGTGTCTGTGTCTTTCTGTGTGTTTTTGTCTGTGAGTCTGTGTTTCTGCCCCTGTCCCCGTCTGTGGCTTGCGCCTGATTCTCCACAAAGGTGAAGAATTTGACCGGCTTCCGGGTCTTCAAAGGAGATGTGATTGGCTTCTAGCTGGGAAGTTGACCGGTTTCTGAGGGTGATTTGACTTGACCGGTTTTAAGGGGAATTCAAGCGGTTTCTCTGAGGGCTGGAAAATTGACAAGTTTGTGATCGGTTTTCGGGGGGGGGGGGGTTGTCGGAGGGGAAGGGGCCCTGAGGGCCGAGGCGAATTAGATAAAGCGATCACTCAGTTCAAATTCTGATTAAACACACAAACAGAGTAGTCAATGCAAAACTGAAGTCGTCAAACCCACAAACTACTTAATGCGCAAGTGGCACTGAAATGCCTGGAAACAAGTGTAAATGCATATGTAAGACTAGTATATAAGTGACCGGCATATTACTAACTGATAAGCTAATTGGTTACTGTATGTAGATGTATAGATGTGCATGGTGCAAACATGCACACTGTGATGATCCATGTCTAGATATGCCCATCGGCCCGCCCCCCTCCCACTTCGTCCTGGCGCCGGCACTTTTGAAAGTGTGTGATGGAAACTCGTTGCTCCCCATGACCAAGCACCACCACCCGCATTTGCAACATCATGTCAGTGCTTGGTCCGACATTGCATCCGGCATGAGTGGCCTGGACAACCCAACTCTTGACTCCAACAAATAATGGAGCTGTCGAAACATACATTTGAAGGAGTCGTATTTTGTCGTTAAACACCCTCCAGATTTGGTCTGCTCTGGTCTTCCCCAAGCGGGTGTGTGTGTGTGTGAGGGTGCTGCTGCTGCTGCTGCTGCTGCTGCTGGTGCTGTTGGTGGTGGTGGTGGTGGTGGTGGTGGTGGTGGCGGTGTGTTTGGTGGGCCCCCGTGACTTCTCTCCCAAAACTCTCTTATGTACACACACACACACCTTCTGGTTTTGATATTTCCGAATGGTTGTCATAGTCCCAAAGATGTTAAACAAAACCCAATCGTTTTCAATGGCCCCGTAGGAGCCCAAAGACCCCCCCACTCCTCGCCCTCCTGATATCTCTTCCGCGAGGCCTCCGAGCGGAAGAGCACGGAGCTGTCGGAGGAGCTGGGCGCGGAAAGGCGAAGCGCTGCGAAGCGCCAGGCGCGTTCCTGGCTCCTGTGCGTCTTCTACGGGCTGTGCGTTGGGGGGAATACGGGTTGGTTGAACAGTGACCTACCGTTGTAAGTGGGATGCACTGGGTACAGCCAATTTGGGCAAATTATGGCGACCTCACGAGGGGTTGCGATCTCATGAAGGTCAACAGATGTGTGTGAATTAGGGAATCGCGCCGTTTGTCAGTTTTCCGTCAAAAACCCAAAGTTTTGTCTCCAAATGAGTGTTTCTCCAAAGAGGGGACGCCCCAAATTTGGTGGTTTACATTGGTAGTCCAATAGGACCCTTTGATCAGTTGATTGCAACGGTTTAGAACAGCCCACCAGCACGGTCAGTTGTGTCCCACATGGACGGATTGCACGTTCCGGCGGACGGACCCAGATAAGCACGAATCAGGGACTGGGGCTGACATGTCAGCCAATCGGATTGACGGAGACTGGTTGCAACTCACTGGGGAAGGCGGAGGAGTGAAGGAGATTCTTCTACCACAGGAAATTGGTGTCTGGTTTCTGGCTTACCCAAATCGGGGCGACCCCGAGCTGTAGATGTCTTGTTTTCAGCAGATAGCAACGGGCAACCAGGCAACCAGGATCATAGAGCTGACGGAGAGCCAGCAAGGCTTGCCGGTGTAGAGACCTTCTTGGCGGCCCTTGCTCCGCACATACCATGTGTGTGGGTCACTTAATAGGTTCGTCCTTTGAATATACATACTGCGGATGTGTGTTCGTTTGATGCTTCCCTGCCTTGGGGGTTTGTTTGAGGGGAACTCGCGATTCTTAGAGTTGGTCGCCAAATGCCCCCAAAAGCTGGCAGGCTTTGCAGGCAACCGTGGCCTCTTCTTGGCAGGGCAATCGCCAGTAATCAAGGTGATCCGAACTCTGGCATGCTGATAAATAGGATGTGTGTATGTGTGTGTGTGGTCTGTGTGTGTGTCTGTGTGTGTCTGTGTGTGTCTGTGTGTGTGTCTCTGTGTGTCTGTGTGTGTCTGTGTGTGTCTGTGTGTGTCTGTGTGTGTGTGTGTCTGTGTGTGTCTGTGTGTGTCTGTGTGTGTGTGTGTGTCTGTGTGTGTCTGTGTGTGTCTGTGTGTGTCTGTGTGTGTCTGTGTGTGTCTGTGTGTGTCTGTGTGTGTCTGTGTGTGTCTGTGTGTGTCTGTGTGTGTCTGTGTGTGTCTGTGTGTGTCTGTGTGTGTCTGTGTGTGTCTGTGTGTGTCTGTGTGTCTCTGTGTGTCTCTGTGTGTCTCTGTGTGTCTCTGTGTGTCTCTGTGTGTCTCTGTGTGTCTCTGTGTGTCTCTGTGTGTGTCTGTGTGTCTCTGTGTGTCTCTGTGTGTCTCTGTGTGTCTGTGTGTCTCTGTGTGTCTCTGTGTGTCTGTCTGTGTGTCTGTGTGTGTCTGTGTGTGTCTGTGTGTGTCTGTGTGTGTCTGTGTGTGTCTGTGTGTGTCTGTGTGTGTCTGTGTGTGTCTGTGTGTGTCTGTGTGTGTCTGTGTGTGTCTGTGTGTGTCTGTGTGTGTCTGTGTGTGTCTGTGTGTGTCTGTGTGTGTCTGTGTGTGTCTGTGTGTGTCTGTGTGTGTCTGTGTGTGTCTGTGTGTGTCTGTGTGTGTCTGTGTGTGTCTGTGTGTGTTCTTGCTTGGGTGTGCGTTGTTTCGGGCAGGACGGTCGCATTTGACCCTACCTCAACGTGGTCGCATTTGACCCTACCTTACGATGAGGTAGGGTCAAATGTGACCGGAGGTAGGGTCGTATGTGACCGGGACCCCTGTTCCGTTGTAACACATGCAACTGAAGAGCCCCTTTTTGACAGTGAGGTAGGGTCAAATGTGACCGGTGCGTTTCGCGTGGCCCTGCCGTGGAATTGGAACGCAGCATTCGATGTATCTAACGATCCAGTAGGGACAAAGGTGACCGGAGGTAGGGTCGTATGTGACCGGGGCCCCTGTTCCGTTGTAAAAAACGAGCAACTCAAGGGCCCCCTTTTGAGAGTGAGGTTGGGTCAAATGTGACCGCAGCCTTTTGAAGTGACAACGCAGCAGAAACCCTAAAAGTGATGTGGTAACTACCTAAAGAAGTGACAGCAAACCAGAAAACCCTAAAGTGATGTGGTGACTATAACTGAAGTGAGAACGCAGCAGAAACCCTAAAAGTGATGTGGTAACTACCTGAAGAAGTGACAGCTAAACCCTAAACCCTAGAGTGATGTGGTGACTTTACCTGAAGTGACAGCGCAGCAGAAACCCTAAAAGTGATGTGGTAACTACCTGAAGAAGCGACAGCGCAGCAGAAACCCTAAAGTGATGTGGTAACTGCCTAAAGGAGTGGCAGCGCACCAGAAACCCTAAAGTGATGTGGTGACTACTTCAAGAAGTGACAGCGCAGCAGCAACCCTAAAGTGATGTGGTGACTACCTAAAGAAGTGACAGCAAACCAGAAAACCCTAAAGTGATGTGGTGACTATAACTGAAGTGACAACGCAGCAGAAACCCTAAAAGTGATGTGGTAACTACCTAAAGAAGTGACAGCTAAACCCTAAACCCTAGAGTGATGTGGTGACTATACCTGAAGTGACAGCGCAGCAGAAACCCTAAAAGTGATGTGGTAACTACCTGAAGAAGCGACAGCGCAGCAGAAACCCTAAAGTGATGTGGTAACTGCCTAAAGGAGTGGCAGCGCGCCAGAAACCCTAAAGTGATGTGGTGACTACTTCAAGAAGTGACAGCGCAGCAGCAACCCTAAAGTGATGTGGTGACTACCTAAAGAAGTGACAGCAAACCAGAAAGCCCTAAAGTGATGTGATGACTATAACTGAAGTGAGAACGCAGCAGACACCCTAAAAGTGATGTGGTAACTACCTGAAGAAGTGACAGCTAAACCCTAAACCCTAGAGTGATGTGGTGACTATACCTGAAGTGACAGCACAGCAGAAACCCTAAAAGTGATGTGGTAACTACCTGAAGAAGTGACAGCTAAACCCTAAACCCTAGAGTGATGTGGTGACTATACCTGAAGTGACAGCGCGGCAGAAACCCTAAAAGTGATGTGGTAACTACCTGAAGAAGCGACAGCGCAGCAGAAACCCTAAAGTGATGTGGTAACTGCCTAAAGGAGTGACAGCGCACCAGAAACCCTAAAGTGATGTGGTGACTACCTCAAGAAGTGACAGCAAGCCAGAAAGCCCTAAAGTGATGTGGTGACTAACTAAAGAAGTGACAGCAAACCAGAAAGCCCTAAAGTGATGTGATGACTATACCTGAAAGCGATGTAAAAGCCTCAAGACCTAAAGTGACGCATTTGGCAAGAAACCGTCAGGTAGGGTACGGTCAAATGCGACCGGTGCGTTTCGCGTGGCCCTGCCGTGGAATTGGAGCTTGATGCTGCCATCTCGTTGCCAGCTGGCAATGTTGCTTGAACGCAAAGTAGGGTAGGGTCGCTTGTGGCCGGTGCGTTTCGCGTGGCCCTGCCGTGGAATTGGAACATAGTATTGCCACTTGGCACTGATTTTAAGCCCAAAGTAGGGTAGGGTCAAATGTGACCGGTGCGTTTCGCGTGGCCATGTCGTGGAATTGGAGCTTGATGCTGCCATTTCTTTGCCAGTTGGCCATGTTGCTTGAGCCCAAAGTAGGGTAGGGTCAAATGTGACCGGTGCGTTTCGCGTGGCCCTGCCGTGGAATTGGAACATAGGACTGCCATTTGGCACTGATTTTTGAGCCCAAAGTAGGGTAGGGTCAAATGTGACCGGCGGGTAGGGTCGTATGCGACCGTCCTCCCGTTGTTTCGAGTACCCTTTTGAGGGAACCAAAGTTGAAACCGACACAGAGCCATCTGACAGTGCGTTCTTTTGGTTTCGAACCCGCGACGCGATTGATGCCCAGCTCTCAGACCAGATGCACCAGTGATGCCCTGTCCTTCTTTTTTTTGGAGGAGGCCCGGGCCTTTAAATTCAGCTCCAAACAAGTAGAGCGCATGTTTTGCCAAGAAGGCCACAGGGGTTCTGTTCGTGGCTTAAGGAATTCGAGTGAGGTTTGCGTGAGCCTTTGTAGCCAGCCACCGGGACCCCTGACCCAGTCTTTGTTGACCTCCATGTAGCCTTCAGGCAAGCCAGCTTGGGGTTTCTGGGCGCGATGGTTGACATTAATCATATTAGTAAGTTGGTCATGACCATGCTTATAGGGGAGCTGGCCCCAGCTACCACACTAAGGGATGTAGCCGTAGGAAGTGGGTTGAACATCCTTACTGGCACGGCTTTCTCGCGCGTGAGGCGTTGCTGGGAAGCTTGGAGCTGCAGCTCGAGGTGGAGCAAAAAGGCAAGGAAGCCGCCCAGGCCACTGACGACAGGTTCCTGCGATTTTCGCGGCTGGTGTTGCCGGGGAGCCGTTCTTCTTTTTTTTCAGGTGAGGGGTTTGCGCGTGGAGCGGAGTGGAGAGGTACCCTCCCGCCCTTTTCACAGGGAACCTGACGTTGGAGGGGTTGGACCATCTTCCTTTCAAGGGATCCTCTGTCCCGACGTCGAACGGTTCCGGTTGTGAAAAGGGGGGATTTGAGGTATCCGTGTGCCTGAGGCCTGCTTTATGGCGTTCTCACCGATTCTGGGGTATAACGAGTGAACGCCATGATAAAGGTCCCTTTCTTGGGGATCCCGTTCTTAATTCAGCCTTTGGATTTGCAGTAGAGCATTTGGCAGACCTCGTGTTTTCCCATGTCTTGTTTCTTTGCTTCAGCGGATCCCTCAGAAGATCTCAGAAGCCCTTCCCGCAGGGAGGCTGAAACATGTTCGGCTTCCCTTTCCGCGGCGCGTCCCTCTCCTCCCGTGGTCTTTCGAGCGCCTGGGCGCGTGGCGCGTGGCGTCCGCCGGACTCCGCAGGACGCCTTTGGCCGGGCCCAGGAGGCGGCCAACTCCTTGGAGTGCCAACTGGCCTCCGCCGGCGCGGTCCTGGAGCGGCTCAAGGCGCGGGCGGGAGCTTGGATCGCGCGGGCGGCTTGGGGCGGCTTGGATGGAGCAGGGCCTCAGGGACCGGTTTTCTGGGGGGGGGGGAGGAAATTATAACCACTGGTTCGCTTACTCGGAGGTAGCCGCAAAGTTATTTTGCACAGGACATCGCGATCATATTATATACATGAGCCTCGACGATGGGGATGCCATGGGACGGACACGAGATAGGTATGCCAGTAGGCTTGTTGGGGACGAGGGGGTGCCATTTGCTTGATGTCGAACCTAAATCGAAGCTTAGGACTGGCTTCCGCGTCTCTTGTGCAGCAGAGAGCCACAATTTCAGCCGCACGCCCCAGCCCAGCCGTGGACTTGCGCGAGGCGGCCAGGAACTCTGGCGCCCGCAGTCGCCGTACGGACCTGGCTGTGGCAACGACCATCCCTCCCTTCGATGTGTAGTAGTAAACGGACGCGCTTGAATGACACTTGCTTGCAGTGAACTTGGGCAACTGCCTCAGGGCAGTGTAGCGCTCTGCGCCGGGGTGCGTCTCTCCCAAGAGGGGGTAGGTAGATGGGGCGGACAGGCTTGCCGCAGGCGCTTGCGGCTTTGTGGTATTGCGCTCCTTGTCTATCTTGAGCTCAACGCAACCATAGTTTACAGCTCCATCGAGACAAATCAGCGCCAGTTGCCTGCAGCCCGAAACCGGCCCTGGGCCAGGAACGCAACATGTACGATAGATAAAACGAACGACCAACGGACCGGAATTGTACTTCTGTGTTGCAACGACTATACGTTGTGGCCTTGCAAGAAGTGCTCGCAAGGTAGCCCATCTACTGCGCCATGTGCGACATCACGCGCAAAGTAGATCCCGACGCTCGCTGTGCTTGGGTTTGAGTGGGATGGTTTATCTGCGCTCTTGGGGAATCCAGGCCACCATGATACGGAGTCCTTTGAAAGTCACCGTGACCGGCCCCAAAGTGGAGTTGTTTCCATGCCAGCTGTCCGTAGTGTCGTAGGAGCAGCAAGTGGCAGAGGGCCAGGGCATCGAGGAGTTTGCTGCAGCGCTGGGCATTGCCAGAGAAGAGCAGGCGAGGAACTCCACCCAGCCTTCGAAGCCCGTTTACGGCATGTACAGCATGCTCGGCTTGCCAGTGCAAAAGGCAAAGTGAGGTTTTGCCACACGAGCTTATGCTGACAAGATGTTTTTGGCCCAAAAGAACCTGGGCAGCTTTCAAGGCGCTTGACATGTTTAGCCGACAGTGTTGCATGGCATTTGATATTCAACCACTGAAAACATGGGCGGTACACGCGCCTATACTGCATGAACAAATAAACACGGGTGGCGTCACGTCAACGGCAAGTCTCTTCGGGGGGTGGTTTAAAGGGAAGCCAAAGGCATACTCGCATTCGGAAGCAAAGCAACGTTCAATCGGGATGTTTCATAATGTTTCATGGTTCAGCTTGACAGGTGCTCACATTTTTGGGTTTACTTCTCCAACCTTTCCTTGGATGGCCGACGGTGGCCTCAGGGCCGCCGTTCCGTTCAACTGAGTTGGTTCTATCTATTGTTGCAGCTGGGGCAATTGGGGTTCGTCCCTTTTAAAGCAACGAACACAACGACACGCCCAAAATTCAAACCATAGATCCAGGAGAGCCGTTCGAAGAAGATGCTCAAGGGGTTCCTTTCTTGTTCCGCGGCTAAGCAGCTCACAAAAGTTGTACTCACCCCCTGAGTTCCTGGACTGTCGTCACTTTTTGGGACGATCGTTTTAGTGGCAAACGGAAGGTGTGGGCCTTTTTTTTGGCCAGTCCACTCAGGAAGTGAGTAGGGACACAATCCCAGTTTGCCCAGCTATAATCATACCTCCTTCCATAGGTACGTTGTCATTGCACCCATGTCAGAATTGACTTGGGCACTTGGGGGGGGGAACCAAAAGAAACCAAAAGGAAACTCAAGCCACCACCGAAACATGTTGTTCGTTGGGACCCACCCTTTCTTTACCCCCGTCGACCAGAGTTCGATTCCACTGAACCAGGGGATCCCCAGTTCCCCAAACCCCGACATCGATCAGCAAGATGGAAACAGAGAAACAGATTGAGCCTCTCTCGCTCCCGAGTGGGTTGGACCTCAACCACTTGTTGGAAGGACCGTTTTAGTTGCTAAGTTGACTTAGATGTGCCGTTGGCCGAATTTCCCTCCCTCGGGCTGTGGTAAATGGGTGAATTTTCCGCCGAATTTCGCTCATCGAAGCGAGGCGGAGCAGGGGGAGGAGCTGGGCGTGCTGCGGGAGGAGCTGGACAGGGCGCGGTCCCAGCGCCGTGCCGCCATGCAGGCGATGCATGCGAGTGGCTTTCTCCGTTGGGACGGGGGAAGGGGAGGGGGAGGGAGGGGGAGGGGAGGGGGTGGGGGGAGGACTCATGTGTGAATCCTAGTCTTTTACAAGGGGGGTGCTGGGCCCGGGGGGGGGGGGTGAATTGAAGCAACGGGTTCCGCAGGGAGTTCGCCGTCGCATGAAAGATCTTCTGTTTCCAGGCGGTGGAAAGACTGGCAGCGAGTTAAAAATGGCAAAGCAGAGGCCATGGCACGCCACTCCTCCCTCCCAATCTCCCTGGCCGCTTCGGAAGGCGAAACATCACATAGGAACCGCCTGTGTTTCGTGGCCTCAGTCCCACGGCGATGTCCTGTGCCAAGTTTGGTGACTTTTCGGGCCGCGCGTAACAAACCCACCCATCCCCATTCCTTTCCAGCTCATGTCAACTCATCCCGCTAAACCGCTTGCCCCCCACTCCCTCCCCACCCCACCCCCTCCCAACCCCAACCCCCCCACTCCCTCCCAACCCCAACCCCAGCCCCCCACCCATCCAAAACCCATCCACCCCCCCAACACCCCAACCCCCCCACCCCCCCACCCCCACCCACCCCCCACCTCCCGCTCTCCCGCTCTCCCCCCCCTCCGAGCGCTCCGAGCAGGCCTCGGAGCGCGCCCAGCTGGCGCGCCTCGAGCAGCACCACCAGCTCGAGGCCGTGGAGGCGCAGGCCACCGACCCGGCGCTCGACGAGCGCCGCGGACGTTTCGGCGTGGCTTGTGTCTGGGCGAGGGACGTTCGAAGGAGAGAACAATCCCATTTTGGTAATTTAGCCCATTTCCATGCTGTGCAACACACGACGGTTACATAGGTAATTAACCCTTTGCCAATGTCCTTGTCCCAGGGTTCCCTTAAAATGTGGGAAATGGAATCACTCGGGGGTTGGCATGAACCAAAGTTGGTGATGACACAAGCAAAGGAACTGATCGCGAGAGGCTTCCCTATGAAAGTTCAGGGGAGCGGCGTGGTCAAATTTCGGGATTGGGACCCCCAATGCGTTATGTCGTAAAATGAGTTGTGTCGTACTGCGACCGGGGGACTTTAGGTGAGGGAACTGACCCCGGTTTGCCAGCGATTCCAAGTCCAGTTGCCGGCAAGGGCTTTCGGATCCGAGCAGAAACCTGGTAAGAAGCCCTGGAGTAACTGAAAGCGGGTGAGGCAAACGGATGGGGTAGGGTTTCTGCTGCCGACTCAACACCGGGAAGTGCCAGAAGATTCGGGGTCAACCGGTTTGCAGAAACAGCCCCACCTCTGCTGGCTAGTCTTGAAGGAAGAATATGGGACTGCCTTTGTAAGGGTGCCCCCTTCTGTTGGTGGTGTTGAAGGGAAACCACAGGGAACACCACCATTTTAGGGGGTTCCAACCTTAAGAAAGACACGCCCATGTGAAGTGTTTCAAAGCAAAAAAAGCGGAGGCGCAGAGGTTCCAGTGAATGAACCCGCTTCCAAAAGCAAGGCCATGTCCAATTACAGGATCGCCTTTCATACCTCAACCCAATTCTTGGATGCTGGGGGGGGAAGAGTGTTTTGATAGTGAATGATTGGGGCAGGTTCTTTTGCTCTTTGTTGCATTTTGTGAAAGTCAACAGGGAAACCGACCAAACAAGCTCAATTGTACAGAAATGAGGAGTCTGCTTTTTCGTGGCCAGAGGGACATTGATTTGTTTTGTGTTTTTGCGAATTTCTCTACAAGAGGATCTCAAAAGCGTTGAAACTGCACCTCCACGGATCCGTGAGACCCACGTGGCGAAACCGAGAAGTCATTGCCCAGTTGCCAGTTGCCCAGCAGTTTCCACCCGTTTTTGTTTTTTTAAGCAGCAGGTTTCCCTTTGCGCATCTTGCGCCCGTTTTTTCTTTACGGGTCCCCACACCCGTCGGCTGCGCTCCGAAAGATCGGCCAGGCCATCCGCTGGAAGAAGCAGACCTTGCCCGCCTCTCAGATCCGAAGATCCCAGCAGCTCGGGGAATCCCTCCGAAGCCTTTGGGTTGGGACTTGGAATTCTGATCGAGTCTCAAGATGAAGGAGCCCGAAATGTTTTTTTGTTGCTCAGGGGCCAAACCCCAAAAGAAAAAAAAAGCAGAATCGCAGCCTACCTTTCAGGGGGTCTCAAAAGTCATCTGATAAGGGGCTAGAAATGAAAAATCATCCGAACATACTGTTTTCTGCGTACGGATGTGGACCAAACTTCTGGAGCATGTTGAGGTGCCCGGATTTCTTCGTAAGGGCCCCTTATGGCGCTTGGTTTCTTCCGGCCTCCGATAGCCCAGACGGAATCCCAACATCCTTTTCTTTTTTCCCGCAGAGTCTGCAACTCAAAACCACATGCGCTCGACATCCCGAGAGTGCAATTTTTAGCCTGGTTGTTTCAGTTTCCTCCCCCAGGCTTCCCTTTGGCCTGAGGGCGTTTGGGGGAAAACAACCCTTGACTGGGTGCGTTGTTGTGAGTCTCCACTTGGGATAGGCAAGCCCTTTTGCTGTCGAACCCAAGTGCAACTGTGCCAAAGGTAGCATCCGGAAACCAAGGATAGCCCTGATGACATCGTTTTAGAAACAAGATCCTGTAAGCCCTCATTCGACAAACCCGAGTCCAACCTCGGTGCTCGAGGCTCATTGCTTTCTTTGAGGGGAAAAGGGAAAGCCTTTTAAAGTGACACACCAGTTGGGATTGGTGGTTTCATTTGTCCCAACTGGTGCAAATTTATGTGGAAAAGGGAATTCGGAAAGCCTTTAAAGTGACATCCAGGCGTTATAGGGATGGGATCAACCACTTTGGTGCTGTTGGACCAGTTCTGCGCCAGGCACCTGTTGGGATAGGGTTTCATCCGTCCCAACTGCGAAGTTGAATTTTAGTAACCGTCCACTGGTTTTCGTTCCAGTGAAGGGATCCTCTCTTAAATAGGATATTCCTGTATTGAGCAACGAGAGGATGGGGATCAGCAACATTGTTGTGGGTGAAATGTGCTTAGCATTTGATAGGATTTCATCCATCCCAGGACTTTGTTTATCCAGAAAGTGGTTCCAACATGGACGAATTGTATGTACCAAATCCAGCAGTGCATGCAAGCACAAACTAAACAGATTTGGACCCTACAATTTCTGTTTTTTCCTTGAATTTCCTTTCAAGCCACTGAAAGGTACTTCGCCTCAAGAAAAGCACACCCCTCTGGGCGTGCGTTTTTTTTTTTTTTTTTTTTTTTAATATTATTTTATCGGGACCCCCCTGAAAAGAGGTTGGACATAAATCCCCACCCAAATTCTCAGTTGTCCAACGCGAATCGACCGACTCTGACCTTTTGGCTTTCCCATGTTTGGTTTATGTTTAGTCGTGGCCGCAAAAGGTGATCACCTTTTATTCCTGGGTCGAAACTGGGCAACTGAGGTTTGTTTCCCCTAAGATGTGTGTTTCACTCTGCTGTATCAGGGATCCCGATTCACCCTCCTCCAAAGAATAGCATCGCTTCTACAGAGCGTTGGTGCCCTTTTGTTCCTTCGTCTTGGAGGGGTTTCCCTTTAAACGTGAACTACCCCCACGAAAAGCCCATTATTCATCAAGCGTTCAATGGTTCATTCTCCCCTATTGGTTTTAAAATGGAACCTTATCACTACCGGACATATCGATGTTTTTCCAGGGGGAGAACAAATGCAAATGGAACGTGATGTTCCTTGGAAGGTTTGTTGGTTTCAACGTAGGTTTTGATCTTGTCGTGATTTCTTGCCAGGGGGCGTAAAAAGCCACTGGAAGGTGATGTTCCCCGGGTTTCTTAAAATGCATGTTCCCTTTAAACACGGGAACCGTTTTTTTTCTTCTTCTGTTTTCTCTTTTTTAATAAAACATAAAACATAAATAATTAAATAAACAACATATATAATATGTTTTTGTTAAAAAAGGGGTTATTTTCCCCGGGTTTCTTAAAACGGGGTTTGCCCGTTGGTCGCGTTCTGAGGCTCGAGGAGGCCGCGCGGAGCTCCTCGGTGTCGTCGCTGCTGGAGGAGTCCAGCGCGGTGGTCCGGGAGCAGCAGGCCAGGGCGATGCCCGGGGGAGGGGGAGAGGGGGACCCTCCACATTTCCACAGCCACTTCCACTTCGTTCGGTTCGTTTCCCGTTTTTTGTTTTTGTTTTTTTTTGGTCTTTGTTGCTTTTTTTTCACTCTGTTCCTTTTTTTCCGTGCATTTCAGTCCTTTTTCCGTCCATTTCATTAGTCCATTTCGTTCCCGTTTCTTCAGTTCCATTCCTTTTTCTTCAGTTCCATTCGATTACATGTTCTTCTATTCAATTCCATTGCATTCCCTTCCATTCCATTCCCTTCCCATCCATGCTGGTCCGTTCCGTTCCGTTCCGTTCCATTCCATTCGGTCAGTTGGCCGGTCGGCCGGTCGGTCAGTGAGTCAACGTGAGTCAGTGAGTCAGTGAGTCAGTGAGTCAGTGAGTCAGTGAGTCAGTCAGTCAGTCAGTCAGTCAGTCAGCCGGTTATATGACGAGTCATTCAGTCATTCAGTCATCCAAGTACGTGTCTATTGTGTTTGCTAGCCTCTGTGGCTACACTGGACATCGCGCGTGAGCTTATAGGCTGGTGGCGGAATCTCGATTCTTTGCGTTCCGTGCCTGGCAGGTCGTCGGGAACTTTGGGGTGGGGTTGTTTGGCCAGATGGTTCGCATGTCCCTCTCACCACGACGAGGTTCGGTGGATCTATTTGCTTGGATCAATCTGCCACTTTTGCAACTTTTTTGGGAGCATGTTCTTCCCCCCCCCACCAAACGTCGCAAAGTTGTGTCGGCAATAGCCGGGGACTCGACACCTCTGCGAAACTTGAAGGCTCTCAGCCTTTCCCGGAACGACTTTGGATTTGCGACGTATCCATGTCACAGAAGTTTGCAATCCAATTGTTTACGTTTTTCAAACTCTAAGAAAGTGTCAAAGACTTACACATCTTCGACCAAAAAAAGAAATTCAACCATCAAATGTTGGCAAAATCAAGGCGAAAAGACAAAATAACTTACAAACTCTTCGAACTTTCGAAATGGCGAAGCCCGCAGAAGGCACACGAAGGAAAAGCCGTTGCGCCATTTTGGGGGTCCATCCGAAACAACAGACACGTGTAGAGTTGAATGTATGTCACATCCATGATGCAGAGAGTTTTGAAGAAGGCGAAGCCTACAGATCCCAGGCTGAGCTGGTTCAGGAGGTGAAGTGCCTGCACGCAGGGGGCCATAAAAGCTCTTGAGAGGCGCTTCTGGTCTCTGAGAGCTGTTATCAAGCTTTGTTGCCATTTTTTGGTGGCTCGTCTTTTTTAGGGAACACAAAATGGTGTTCGTCGCCATTTTTGGGTGGCTCATGTTTTTTTTGGGGGAAAACTCCCAAAATGGCTTCGGTTGTCCTTTTGGTTTCTTTTTGAAACCTACCAAAACCAGGAGAGTACCACACCCGCATGTTTATGGGAATTTGCGAGGCAGAGGGACGAGCTCCTGACATTTCCACAACCAGGGGGCTCCCTTTTTTTAAACCAGTAGTTTTAACCAGGGCGTGGAACAAATCCCCACTGCAATAGATGCGGATGAGATGGTGCCTGAAAGTGATCCGGAGCCCCTCTACAGCAGGACACTTCTCCCACATTATCCCACCAGGTAGTCTCAAGCCACGAAGCGCTCGGGTTTCATGGAACTGACCTTCTCTTCGGAATCTTTGAGATCCATCCATTGCCGGCCCACTTCAGTCCAGAAAGTACCGGAAACTGAAAACGGACCCCTCTCCTTCTGCATTTCCTTGGGAGAAAGTTCAGCCACATGGAGGAAGGTCAGTGGTTCGGTGTGCCTTCTCAAGCTAGTGCCAGGGGAAGAATATTGGAAACACCACCAGCGTGAACATAGGTTTCCTTTTTGCTTGGTTTGCTAAAAACATAGAGGGCCCTGGTTTGGATGGGGTTTATTCCATCTACCAGGGCCATCCATTTTTCTAAAAGGCCACCTATGAGCGTGAATGGAGCCGATCGATCTGAACTTCTGCTGATTCTGTGGATTCCCCTTGCTGGCTGGTGGTTGGAGGGAAGCCGGACAGACTGCGCCGGGGGTATCCACCCAGTTGCCCAGTGGTGTCCTTTGTTCCTTCTTTTTTTTGGGAAGGGTGTCCCTTTAAAGTCCACCAACCAAAAAAGGGTGCCCTTTTTTTCCCACGGCCACTGGGCATCTGAGTCCACATCGGCCTTTAGGGAGACACCCGATCCGAGTTCGAGCCTTCGGACCCAGGCAGAGCTGGCGCAGAACGCGTCAGAGCTGTCCACCGTCGAGGATGCGCGGAATCACAGCCGGTCCAAAGGACGGTAGGATTGTCAGGTTCTGCCCGGTGGCTGGGTGGTTGTTTGGTCGGTCGGTTCGTTGGCCGAGCACGGTAGCGTTTGGCCATGTGTTTGGATTGCTCGATTGAAGCTGCCAAAAGGAGAAGCGAAGTGCTTTCTTTTGACAACTCGGAGAGGAAACATTTGCCGTGAGGGGCCTATTCTTTGATTTTCTTGGTCCTTCCTTTCTTTCGCCGTGCAAAAGCGGATCCCTCGTTTGAGGAGTTCCACTCCGGTCCAAAATGGTTTTATTTTTAGAGGCCCTCAATGCTTTTTGGCTTTTGGGTTTGTTTTGTCTTGTGGGTACCCTTTTCACCTTGGCTTAAAGGGAATCCAAAGGTAACACCACAACTTTTGGAGGTGCCCCTATTGAACACACACACGCACACACGCACATGCACACACTCACACATCTCCTCTCTGTGGATGGCCGAGCGGCGACCCGCGAGTCCCGCAACACCGAGGACTGCACGATGCTGAAGTATCGCTTGACCCGGGCGGAGAACGAGGACTGCAGCCCCGAGCCGTGACGATGAACCAAGGTGTATTTTGCATCACTTGGAGGTTTGCTTCCGATTGGTTAATTTCCGAGTTTGGACAATTTGTCCTATATAGCTAAACAACATTTCCAAAAATGGCCCAGCTGTTTAGCTAGGACAAATTTTCCAATACATACATGCATGCGTACGCATGTTATACACATAAATGGCGACCCCGGATTATTACCCCCCCCCCCTCGCCGCCCCGCAAGTTCACAAGGTCTGGTCTGTGGCCCCCCCCCAATAATGACAAGGGAAACCTTGTAAGAAGGTCAGGGCAGGGAACCTCCTGGGAAGGTCAGGTCAGAGTACCTTGAGAAGGTCAGGTCAGGCACCTTCCTGTTGAAATGGTTCTAAAGCAAGAGGAGGGGAGCTTCGTCAGGTGTAATGGGAACATCGGATCGATAGGTGGTGCCCTTTAGGCAAGGCAATGGGAGAAGAGTGCTTAAAAGGTAGGGGCAGCCGCCGCAGTAAGGAAAAAAGAACAGACAATGAGTAAAGATGCCAAGTCAAGATAGCGCTCTGCCAACTTCAATACAGGCCTGGAAGTTTTTCTTCTTTGCTTCTAGCCCCTTTTCCCCTGGGGATTGTTATTGGGGCTGCGCCGAAGCATCTGGTTCCAAGAAACCAAGGCCCCGAACCAGGGTCGAAACCAGGGCACACCGTTGGAAGCACCATGGCGCCAGAGGCAACACCAAGAAGAGCTAGGAGGCATCCGGTTTCAATACACAGCCCAAGGTCAGGCTTGGTAGATTTATTGGGGGGGCAGGCTCCCAGCAAAGTTCTGAATTGAAATAAAGACACCTGCAGGTGGCCTGGGAGAAGCGGGCTTTATTGGGGGGGAGGGGGGTTCAGGCAGGAATTCGGGGGTGCTAGGGCAGCTTTGCTGGAAAACCGGTGGCTTTAATAGGGGGAGGGGGTGAATAATTCCCCCCAGGTCAGCATTATACAATATCTTTCTGTATATATTGTGATTAGCCATGGTTCATATCATCATCAGGGACGTCGCGTTAGTGACCGACCTGTGGTGTTTTGGCTCAAGTTTTGGGTTCCGTCGCGCCTCGAATGGGCGTCGCCGAACCCCTGCGTCGACCGACGGCATCTCGGGGGAGAAAGAGACCTCGGGCCGCCGCCAGGTTGGTAGGGACCAGTCGTGCGGCCTGTTGTCGACCAAGGTTGCGGGTTAACCCTTTTCTTGTTTGGTTTGTTTCCTTTTGGTTGTTGTTCTCTGGTGTGTGGGAAACCCTGATCTTTGGGACCGGGGATTGGTTTGCTTTTGGGGAACCTTTCTTTTGTGGCTTGTTTACCCCAACTTACCCATTGCCTGGGCACAGGCTCGTGCCCGAATCACAGGTTATCAGCCGTAGGACTTTCCTACGCGCTTGAGACCATCAACTACAAGCTCTATGTCGACCCCACGATCTCGAAGGAGCGTCGTGGATGAGGAGGCCATCCTAGGTGGCCTCCGCTCAGGTGAGGACCTACCGGACTATGACTACGAGGATTTCGAAGCAGGTTCGACAGGTCAGGATCGCAGGGGTGAAGATCCCGGTAGGGACACACCCAGGAGCCGTGGCAGGTACACCGACGATGGAGACGACCGTGTTTTCCGTCAGGCCACCGATGATGAGCAGACACGAAGGGTTCGCTCCGATAGGAGCGGCTCTGAATCAGGTCACAGGCGCGGACAGTTCGACTTCATCAGCATGGCGATGAACATGGCCCGCCCCCATTCGGACGACCCGGAGGCCATGCCGACCCGACCCCCGAGATCTCTTGTTCCAGGTGAATCGCAGGTCTCGGATGAGTTTGAGGACAGGCCGCAGGGACCAGGGACTATGGTTTTGGCTCCGAGAGGTATCTCGGGTCGATCCACCGGTTCTCAAAATCCAGGTCAGTTTGATGAGCACGAGGAGCGGAAATTCGCAGACTTCGGATATGATGCTCTGTTGAAATCAACCGCAGGTTGGGGCAGTAGCTCAAAACAGGGATCTGATGCCAGGCCCAACCCTAATACTGCCAAATCTGAGTCTTATGATGGCGAAGATTACAATTTTGCGGATGAGGAGGAGGACCAATCACGCCGAAGTGCTAGGATCCGTGATGCTGCGAGGCCCAGGAGCCTCTCTCGTGGAGCCGCCAGGGACCTTCGCGTTGACAGGGATGCCCGAAGCGAGAGAGAGAGAGGCCAGGGACAGTCGGGAAGTTCTTCGGGGATTGGAGGCCATCCATGACCGTGAGGGACCGATAGGTCCCCCGGCGATTGGTGATACCCCGAATGTTCCCCCTTTTCCCAACATTACCTTTGGAGGTCCGTTGAATCAGAGAGACGTGAACTCGAACCGGGTTACTGGTTCGCCGAGGATCACTGAGCGGGCTGCCGATGTCGTTAGGACAGGTGCCAGAGATGGTCGGCTTGCCGATGCACTCGGGATCGAAGATCGTCCGTCGATCGCTAGCCCGTTAGGGCGAGATACCAGCGATCTTGAAACGCTGAGGTCTAGTAACGAGTTTACACCTCAATGGGGCTCGACCGCCAGGGAACGTAGTGTTTCTGCGAAGAGGCCGTCACCTCTCGCCATTGAGACCGATAGGTCGAAGGCGAGGAGGGCTAGCCCCTCACCAATGGGCTTGGCTCTGCAGGATGAGGAGATGCCCGATCCTGCTGATGTACACATTCACTCCACCCCCGAGTCACGTGCATCCAACATTGATCCCCGATCTGGCGATAGCCGGAGAAGGGGATCTACCCCGAGTAGGCCATCCAGGATTGATGATTGTCCCGTAGATGACCCAAGAAGACATGCCGGGGCTGGTGGGGCTCCTGAGAGGATCGAGATATCGACTCCTCCCGCCCTCAGATCCCAGTCTTCCGGCGAATCAGGTGACACAAGGGCAAAGGAGATGTTTGATCTGCACATCCAGGAGATGCTCGAGAGGGGTGAGGTTTCTGGCTCAGTCGCGAAGGCGTTCCATATTTTTGCTGACCAAATCAGGTTACTGAACGGTCAAGTGAGTTCCATGCGAAGGGAATGGAGCGACGAGAGTCAACAGACGAAAGACAAGGTCGATCGCCTGGCAGCTGAGGTCGCGACTCAACCTGATGCCGGGAGGATGCGAATGATAGTTCAGCGGTTTGCAAGGGAAGTTATTCCCGACAGCAAAGCCATTGTGAGGCAAGCCATCGATGAACAGGCTGAAGTCGTGGAGCAGAGGATCAATCTACTTTCCCACGAGGTTCACGAATCTGTTAAGGACAATGAGGCCGCGACTGATCGGCTTCGCCAAATGATTCAAGAGAATCGTGAGGCCGTCCACAGGAGCCATGCTGCTTCCGAGGATGAGATCCTTAAGGACTTGGAAAAGCTCGAGAAACGGATGTTCTCGGTAGAGAAAACCGTCGGGATGCGGACGCCAGCAGGTGAATGGAGTTTGAGTCCTGTCGCGCAACCGTCCGATAGGGCCAGTAGCAGTGTGGTGAACGCGAATTTCAGGGAGTTAAACCTGAAGCTCGAGAAGGCTCTCCTCGAACACGAGAAGTTTGCTAAGTGGGCCTCCGAATCTATTGGTGGCATCAATGAAGAGCAAACCCTTCTTGCTAATCGGATGTCGAGGCTGCAAAGTGGAAGGGGTTCACAGGCGATCGATAGATCATCAGGGCCCGTATCCCCGCAGGACTGGCATGAAGCAATTGACGAAGTCAATCGAAAGATCCAGGATCTATCTCGTGGAGTTCAACGCCACCATGGGGACCATGACGATGTCCTTGCAAGGTTTGAAACCTTGAAATCCCGTGTTGAGCAGTACGAGGCGAGTTCGGGAATTCTGAATCAAGTTCTTGATGACATATCAGAAGACAGATCCGCAGTCTCCCTGCGAATAGTGATCAAGCGCGGTCTGCCGTTAGGCGTGAAATTGACTCATTCCGGAGTACGCTTGAGGGCGCTATGCGGAGGATCAGCACTGTTGAGAGTAACATGCGTACTCTTAATGGAATGAACAACAGGATCATGGCTCAGCTCTATGAAATCGAAGGTCATGTTGATGAAGCTGCTGTCATTATTCAGGGTGCCCAGGACAATCAGGCAAATCCCCCACAGCCTAGAGAGAGACGGAACGTCGGATACGACGCTTTCGCGGGGCAAGGACACAGAATCAGGTCTCCGACGCCCACTCCCGGAGAAGGTAATGGTCGGGGTACTGGCCTTCCGGTGAGACCAGGCGGAGGTGTCGAATTGGTTGATCACGCTTTGCCAGATGTGCCCGGTAGGGTCGATCCTTCTCGTGCAGACAGGCATCCCATTAATCCCGATAGGGAGAGGGCTGATAGCAGGAGCAGGAGGGCTCGGGGGTTGCCTGACAGGTCGCATTCACCGCCAGGGCGTGCGAGGGATGGCCCCCGCGCGCGTGCAAGGGGGGACATTTCTGTTTCTCCCAATAGGGATGTGGGTAGGAATAGGAGCCCGAGGCCTGCTGTCGTCCCCGATAGGGGATCTGAGGTCCGGAGTCGGCAATCAACGGGGGAGAGGCCGATCCGCGATAGCGGGAGCATCTCTCCGAGTTTGGACAGGCCGATCCGCGATAGCGGGAACGTCTCTCCGAATCCAGGCCGTCATCCAGGAGGTGGTAGGGGTAATAGGGCCCATGCCGACATCCAGAGTCCCGGTGATGACTGGAGGACTCCTGGGAGTAGAGCTAGTGCCGACATCCAGAGTCCCGGCGATAGGTGGGGGACTCCTGGAGCTCCGTCTGATCGTGGACAGGCCTCTGCGCCGGCCGCAAGAAGAGCTCCCGGCACGGGTGGCCCAGATGCGCCAAAGATTTGTGCCCTCGATAATCCCAACGACCGTAGGCACCCGGACGCTGAATTCTCGTGTGTTACGTGCAATCGTGAGTTTTGCAGGCTTTGCCGGGGTGACGACGGGGACTGTTGCAATTGTCAGTTCTTGAAAATGAAGTGTTGGGCATGT